GACGCGGTCGCCGACGCGCGCTCCGGCATTACGTCCACGCACTTCTCCGTCGACGACTGGGATGCTGGAAAGCGGCAACGCCCTTTGGTCGCTCTCGAGAACGCACATCGACGTCGCGCGCAGTCGCAGTGGGCTCGATCGCGTTGGCGTCGGTGTTTTTCGTCGCTGGGTAGCATTTTGCTGCGTACGCAGCGCACGCCCGCGAGCAACTGTCCATTGCGGACGAGCTCCACGAGTATCACTCGGTTCGCCACGCGTGGCGGGCGTGGCACTTTGCTCTGCAACGTCAGCAGATCCAGCGACGCTGGCCGGGCCAGTGGGCGACGCAGCGTTTACGGCGCGCGATTGCCTCCTGGCATCGACATCGTTACGACCGCGTGACGCGCCGAACGCAGACCCTCGAGGCGCGCCGGTACTTTCTACGCGGCCTGCAGCGACGGATGTGGCATCAGTGGTGGCAGTACGTGCAGCTGCGCCGTGCCGGACGCGTGCGCCGACGTGAGACCATCGAGCACCTTCTTTGGTTTCGGGTTGCTCAGCGGGTCACGCAATGGCGCCACGAAGCAAATGCAAGAGCCCAAACTCGGTCGCTCGTTTTATTGGGGCACACGAAAAGCCTCGCGCACCAGCAGCGCCGCCATGTGCGCCGCTGGTGGACGCAAAGTCGCTTGCGTCGAGAACGCGAAGAACGCGCGACCGCCGCTGCGGTGAGCGTCGCACTGCAGGTTGGATGCACTCTGATATCCCACGTGGTATGTAGGCGTGGCGGCGCCAGAAGCAAGTGTGCATGCCGTTCCTCGCCTGGGCGCGTACGGCAGAGCGGCAGCAACAGCTCCGAAAGGACGTCGCCGAGCGTTTAGGGTACCGCGCCAACGTGATGGCCGGTCGAGTGCTGCAGCGGTGGCGTGCGTTCGCGGCCAAAGCGCTCACCAAGCGAGCGGCGTCCGAGCATTACCTGCAGCGGAGTCTGCAGCGGCGCATCCGGCAGTGGCACGCCATCGCAGCTCAAGATCGCGAGCTTCGGCGACGCCTCGGGCGCTCCGTGCACGCGATCGTCGACTTGACGCAACGAGGTGTCGTACGCGCGTGGGCCTCGCACGCTCGACAGCGGCGGCAAAAGGAGCAGAACCTGCGCGTCGCAACCGACCATGCACGTCAGCGGCTGCGCCGCCGCGTCTACGCGCACTGGCTCGATGTCTACCGTCGGCAGCTGCGGCTGCGGGAAGGTCTCCAGATGCACCGCGTGCGGCTTCGACGCCGCGTTCTCATCGCCTGGTCGCATGTTCAAGCCCAAAAAGCAAGCGCACGGGAGCAGTCCAAGGTACGTGGCCTTGCAGCCAACGGCTGCAATAACAGCGCGTGCGCGATGTAGAGAGCACGCGCCCATCAAAGTCGCGTGACCTCCCAACGCGTCCTCGCTCAGTGGCTGGTCGTGCAGCAGCGCGCCCAGCAGCATAACGAGGCCCTTGTCCAGGGTCTCCGTCGTCGGCACTCCGTCGGTCCGCGTGGCAGCAATGGCGGCAGCATACGACGGCAGCTCGTCTCCTCCGCCTCGCGACCCGGCAATGGCATCTGCAGAGTCGTCTCAAATGCTTTCAAGCATGGCAACGGTAGGCAGCCGGCACGGTGGCTTCTAGGACGACAAGGCTTTTTTTGCTAGGTACACGGCGCGCACGCAGCGCAAGACCCGGAATGCAACGGTGAGCACGTGGCTCTTCTTACGCCAGACGCGCCGTCGCATCTTTCTCCACTGGCGACGGGTATGCGAACAGCAGCACGACTTGGCCCGACGCGCTGACGTGGCAGCGCGCATGGCGAGTACGCGTACGTACTTCATTGCTCTAACTAACGTCGCTGCAAGAAGTCGATGGCATAGGCATCTACCGCGTGGCGTGGCGTCACTGGCAGCGCTTTCTCCATGCCGCCCACGGTCGCCGGCGCGCGCTGGCACACGCGCGAACGTTGCGCACACAGCGACAACTCGGTGCGTGTTTCCGGTCGTGGATCCACCGGTCCGATCGCAAACGGCTCGAGCGCGCCAGGGCGGTCGAGCGCGCCGAGGCCATTGGCCTCCTCAAGCTCGAACTCGGCGTTGGCGCGTGGCGACGGTTTGCGTCGGGGCGGCGGCGCTACCACGTGCTGGAATGCCGAGCGATGGAGCACCTGCGCCAACGCCGCCTCGTGCAGGTGCTGGACTCATGGGTCGCGTACCGCTACGTTCACAAGGAGCGGGCGCTCGCGCGCGAAATTGCGGCGGCGCATTTCGCACACAAAGCGCAGTCGAGCCACTTTGACGCGTGGATCGAGTACTCGTTTCTTTGCTATCAAAAGCAGCAAGCCCAAGTGCACTACACACGGCGTCTCCTCACGTCGTTCTTGACGCGTTGGTACGGCGCTCTCTCGTCTCGGGCCTTGTCGCGACGGCGTCTAGGGTCAACGCGCTTGCGGCGTCGACGGTCTCGCCCGACGAGCTCGCACGCGCCCACGCGTTTCGACGCAGAAGAACCTTGCGAGGCGTGTGGCGGGCGTGGCGCTGCTTCGGCGTCGACCGCCTCCAAGCTCGCATGGCGCGTCTGCATGCCAGCCGCCAGGTAGACCCACTGGCCGAGACGAATATCCACTCTGACGACGATTCTACTAGCGGCTGCACGCGGCGTGGCAGTCGTGGCGCCACGCCATCCACTTCTCGCGGCAACTGCTGCACGCGCGCGCGTACTTTAGCGCGTCGTCGCTCTGTGTCCATTTTCTGCGCTGGCGACGCGCCGTTGAGGTCGTGCAGTCGCACCGACGCAGCGCCGACCGACTCCGCCGTCTTCGGCTCACGCACGTGGTGGCCCGATGGCGCGTGCACGCCGACGCAGCGTCCGAGAGCCGGATGCAGCAGCACACCGCTGTCCGCGCTGCGTACAAAGGCGCGCTTCGGTGTCATTTCCGGTCGTGGCGGGCGACCACCGATCGACGGGTTGCGCACGGCCGTCTTTTGGAGCGCGTGCGAAGCCACCTGAGCAGTCAGAGTGCTCGGACGACCTTTGAACGGTGGTGTCGCTTCACGGCTCGGCGTCGCAGCGACCGAGAGGCGACTGCGATGGCCGAGAGCCACTGGATTGCGACCAAGCAACGCCTTGGTGTTCTATCTCTCGCGATTGCTGTCGACACCGCCCACGATCGGCGGGCGACCGCCGCGAGACTGTGTGTGTTTACGCTGCAGCACGTCCACCGCCGCGCGTTTCTTGGGTGGGTGGGCGCCTCGCGCGTAGCGAAAGCGACGCGAGCTCTGCTCCGCAAGGCGCAGCAGCACTTTGGCAAGAAAAGCCTGCGCCAGAGCTGGCAGCAGTGGCGCGCGTTCCAAGGATACCTGGCGGACCTCCGTCGTCGGCTCTATACGGCACGCCACGTGTTTTTTAGTTCGCTTCTTTCGCGGTCGTTTGCGCGCCTCAAGACGTTCGCATGCCGGAAGCGCCAGCTGCGCACGCTCTCATCGTCCCAACGGCATCGCCTGCAATCGACGAGCTTTGGCCGGTACCGCTTCCCACTCTGTACGACACGAAGACGCATGAAGCGATGTAGGTGGGCCGCGTACTGCCACGAGCGCAAGCATCGACAGCACCGCACGGCGCGCGCCGTCAAGCTCCACCGTCAGTCCCGGCAGCGACACTGGTTTGCGCATTGGCGCAGCGTGGCCTGCGAGCGCTGGATGACGACGTGGCTCGTCGCGCATGCGGTGAATGTGCGCGCGCAGCTCGGTCTCTTGCACGGCGTCCGTCGCTGGCACGAGCGAATGCAACGCCGACGCGCCGTGGCCCGCCTGCTGTCGCAGCATCGACGGCCGCGGGACCTCGGCCGTGTACGCGACTGCTGGGTCGCGTGGTGCCACCACCGTGCCATTCAACGCGCGCACACTGCGCTGGCGCACTCCACCGCACGCCATCGGGCAAGTCGCAGCCTCCGCGCGTGGCTACTCGCCTACGTCCATCGCGCCCCCTCGTTGTAGTAAGAGCATCCAATTATGAATCAATTTTGACACGTCGACGGTACTGACAAGGTTGGTTTTACAAGGCCGATGGCAGCGACGTCGTGCCGTCGGTCGTCGGGTGGAGGAGCGTCACCTCGATGTTCTTGTCGTACGAGATGAGCGCGGGGTACAGCTGCCAGTCGTGCGAGCCAAAGATGCCCTCGAACGCCACGCCAAGGTCCAGCTCGTTGCGGAGGAACCGGATCGAGCCCGCGTCCGCGTCCCAAACGCACGTGATTACGTCGCCCGACTTGATTTTGGACGCAAACGGTGCGTCGTCGTGGTCGCGCGAGCAGAGCGACCCTTTCCGCACGTTGAGGTACCACCCCGTGTGGTTGAAGAAGAAGACGGGCGCCGTGTTCGTGATCGGGTCTTGCCAAAAGTCGGGCTCGTGCGTGAGCCCGATGGCCACCGTGTTGTGGTGCTTGTTTTTTGGCAGTGTCACAAGCACCGAGAAGCGCCTCGTGACGGACGCGCCAATGACGACGTTCCAACCGGCCGCCGTCATGGTGACGGTGCGCCGGTGGTTGCGGATCATGCTCAGCGGACCGCAGCGCCCGAGGTCCCACGTCACGTCCGTGTGTGCCACGTGTGGACTCTCGTGCACGGGCAGCACGATCGTCGCCTCCTCGGCCTTGATGCGCTTGTGATGAAAGAGTTTGCGCTTCTGCGCCGGCGCCGCACGCTTCGCCGCAAGTGGCTGCCTCCGGGATAAAAGAGCGTCGAGGGCCGTTTGGCGCTGGCTGATGCGGACAAACTGCTTGTCCAGCTCGTTGCGCTGCGCATCGAGCTGCCGCGTGACCATGGCAAAATGCGATGTCATGGCCTCGAGCGCCAAGTGCTGCGAACGCTGGAGGTCCGCGAGCTTTTTCTGTTGCGCGCGAATGTGCAACTTGGACGTGGCGTAGTCCTGGCGCAAGGTCTTGAGCATCTCGAGCGTCTCGTCGCCGTCGTCGGGTGCGTCGGCCGGCAGCATAGGGGTCGATAGCTCGGCCTCGGGCGCTGCGCTGCTTGGCGTAGCGACCGCCGGTGATTCTTCGTTCGGCAGCTGGAGATGCGCGCTCACGGCGAAGCGCGGGATGACCAGAGGACGGGACATGCTCGTCTCGATCGTTTCCACCGATACCGGCCCACCGACATCCTGCACACTATCTACACGTTCACACTATTCCGATGAAATGCAATGATGTTGAACAGAAATAGTGTACGGCAATGTGGGCAGAGCTTAGACCAACTGCACGCCGACGCCGCGGTCGTACGACACGAGCGCCGGGTACAGCTCCGTCTCGGCAATGTCCGCGTAAGCAACGCCGAGCGAGCTGCCGAGCGCGTTGCCATTGCGCAAGAACCGGATCGTCCGCAGCGGTCGGTCAAAGACCACCGTGAGCACGTCACCGCTCTTCAAGCTGGTCGCAAAAGCCGAGTCGTCGTGGCCGTCGCGCGAGCAACGCGTGCCCTTGCGCACGTTCAGGAACCAGCCAGCGTCGCAAAAGTTAAACACATTCGTCGCGGCCGAGGGCTGCCGCCAGAAATCGGGCTCGGTCGTAAAGCCCAAAGCTATCGTGTTGTGGGCCTTGGTCTTGGGGTAAAAAGAGCTGCACGCTGAAGACGTCCACCATGCCGTCGCCCATGACCACGTTCCAGCCGTTCGCTGTCGTCTTGACAAGCCGCCGATCGTCCGAGATGGAGGCCAGCGCGCCGCAGCGGCCGAGGTCCCAGCAATACTCGAGCGCCTCCTCTGGTTGCTTTGCTGGGAGAATGTCCATCTTGGCGCGCTTGGGCGCGACAGCCGTAGCGACCGGCGCGGTCACACGCTTCTTCGGCGATTTGTTGGGCGCCGGTGCGAGCGAGCTTTGCGGGGTGTGCAACGCGTCGTTGTCTTGCGCCTCGAGCAGGTCGTCGAGCACGGTAGTCTGCGCTTGCAAACGCGTGCGCTGCTTTCCGAGCGCCGTCAGCTGGACGTCCATGAGGTCTTGCATGTCGTGGTACGAGTCTTCGAGGGCCTCGAAGCGGTCTTGGTGCGCCTTTTGCAGCGCCGCGAGCTGTCGCTGCTGGTCGCGAACCAACTTTTGGTTCGTCGCGAGCTCCTTCCTGAACGCGTGCAGTAGCGACACCATGGCATCCGGATCGCCGGCCACCGCGTCCTCGAGGAGCTGCACGTCGGTCGTCTCGATCGTCGGCGTTGCTGGAGCCATCGCAAATCGCGTTATTGTGTTGGAATCTGCAAAATCCAGGCCAGATGCATTTAATGCAATGCCATACAAAGGGCAAGCTATCATTAAATTAGGATTTATATGATTCCGAGCAATTCCCCGAAAACCCAACGGGATTCCAACGCGCCGTTGGCTCGTCGAGGGACAGAGCAGTGAGCTCACGTCGCTGTCGTTCGGGCAACAGCGCCTTCGAGAAGACGAAGCATCTCATCGTACGTAGCCTCGACGCTAGCAGTATGGCGACCGCCTAATACTTTGTGGTGTTGTGCTGATCCTTGGCGCCGAATTGCAGTTTGGCATTGGCGTTTGTATGGTACCGGGCCCGAAATTATTTAATTGGATGAAAATTGAGTTTTAAAAAGCCATGACGACGCGGGCCTCGGCGCGGGCTGCGCTCTGGACAGACCTTAGCCGCAGCTTGAGCGCACTGGAGCTATGGGAAGTCCCGGAAGAGATCCTCGTCGACATCTACTCCCATCTCATGCAAGGTCTCTCGACGCCGGACGCGGAAGAAGGCTATGACTACCTCCGCGACGTGTCCAAGGACGCGCTCTCGGCGCTCGCTGGCACCTTCACGGCCGTCCTCGAGAGCACGTGCGAGACACCCGAGACGTCCAAGCAATTCTGGCAGTGTGTCCTCACGAGCATCATGCAGCAGCGAGATGCCGTCGACGACAACGACGACGACGACGAAGAGGCGTCCGGCGGTAGCCACCGCCACCTCCTCGTCGCCTTGCACCTTATCATTGCACATGCGCTCGGTATGGACAAGGCCGCAGCAGGCATCGTGCCGACGATGGAAGCCATGGAAATCGGTCTCATGGCGGCCCACGTCTACCTCGTGTGGCTGCAAATCCCAGGCGGCTCGGCCTTTGGCGTCTTTATCCCGTTCCTGTACCGTGAAGTCCTGCGACTTTTGCACGCATGGGCGACGCTCATGTACTCACCCGACAGCGACGTGGCTGACCCCAACATGCCACGGCAGCTCAAGCGCAAGCAGCACCAGACCCGTCGCGCGCCGGTCCAGTCCCCGGCCCTCGTCGCGTCGGGCCAGCGCGTGCTCGACTCCCTCGTGGCCACGACGACGCATGTGGCGTTGCAGCACGACGCGCTCACGCCAACAATCGATGCGCTCCTTTCGGTCGTCAACTTTATGCTACTGCGAGCCGCTCCGACCGAGTTGCCGCTCCAGATTTTAAAGACGATATGTCTGCACCAGTCGCCGGACGCAGTGCACTTGGTGCTGGGCCGGCTCATTCCGGGTGTCGCCCTGCGCGACAACGCGCTGCCGACCGGCCCATGGGACAAGCTCCGGCACGCCCACGTCTTTCATACGTGGGCGCTCGATGCGATCGATGGCATCCTGCGCGAGATGCCTGCCAGCAACGAGGACAACGACGACGATGACGACGACGACGAGCCGATTCCAGACGGTGCATGGACGCCATTGCTGCAGACGACTGATGTGATTGGTGATTGTAGAGCTCGTGCTGTGCGTGCTCCAACAGCTCTGTTTGCGCATCCCCGACAAGAGCGACGACCGGAAAAAGGTTTGCGCCGGCATTCAGCAGCTGCTTTCGCACCACATCTTGCACCGCCCACCGTCGCTCTCGATGTTCTTGACGTTTCTCGACAGCTACGCGCGCCACGAAAAGGTCAAGTACCGTCAGTTTGCGGTCGAATTGCTCGCCGACCTCGTGCTGGAGCCGTCTGTCTTTGGCGCCGCCGACGGCGACAATGACAGCTTTCTGGGGCTCGTGCCGCTGCTTCGTATACTGGGCCACCGCGCGTGCGACCGGGTCTCCACCGTGCGCACCAAGTCGATTGCGGGCATTGCGGCCCTTTTATCGTTTGGCACCATCAACAGCGAGCATGCGAGTCAAAAGCAGTTTGCGTCGGTGCTCGCAGAGACACTCACGTCGTCGGCGGTCGTGTGTCCGACCTCCCTTCGGTCCGCAACGGTCCACGCGCAGCTCCTCGCGCTGTGCCGCGACCGCCTCTTTGACGACAAGACCTATGTCCGGCGAGCATCGCTCCAAGTGCTTGAAGTGCTACTGCTGCGCCACGCAGACGCAGACGTTCTCGGTGACATCCACGGACGCTGCGCCGACCCGTCCATCATTGTGCGCAAACAAGCCATGCTGACGCTGACGACGCTCCTCACCGCGTCGCCCAATGACAAGGACATTCAAGTCACGTGGAACCTTGGCGTGCTGCCGCTCGTCCTCGACCCCGAGGCCACGGTGCAGGTGCGTCCATGCAATCCGCCGACGCGAAATTGACATGTGGTCGTCGCTATGTGTAGACAAGCTGTCTTGGTTTGGTCGAGAAAATCTTGCTCGAGAGGTACACTCGCAGCTCGTATTGTTCGCTTGACCCACCGGATGTAGGCTGTTGCAGTGGCACAAGAAGCACGCAACGGATGCCTTTGTCGCCGCCGTCTACGCACAGCTCGCGCACCTCGACAGCTTTCTCATCCGGTTTCTCCAAAAGGCCGTGCGCCTTTTGGTCCAACGAGGCGACGTGTCGGCCGCCAAGCTCGTGCGGCACGCGATCGACGGCGTTCGCAGTCGCACCGACGACAAATGGACCATTAGCTGGGTGCTTCTCGACGAGCTCGCGTGTCGCAGCGATGTGCTCGACGACGTGAGCGCCGCTGACGCCAAGGTCGTTGCGGGCTGCTGGGCCGACCGAACGCCGACGCCGCGCGATCTCCACAACGACGTGGACGACGACAACGTGCTGCGCATTCTTCGCGTGCTCTGCGCGCTGGCCGAGAAGCTGCCAACAGCCCAAGCGACCGAGGTCGGTGCCATGTCATGATCCCGTCATCTAAATCTTTCAACTAGCTCGCAACGGGTCTCCAAGATGCGCTGCAAGGGTTTGCACATTCGTTGAACCTGATCCCGGTTGCCCTTCAGGGCTTGCATGGTATCCATGGCGGAAGTGCGTGGCGGTCGTCGCTCTATGACGCGTGCGCATCTGTCCTCGATGCGGACGCGCCGTCGTGGCCGACCGTCGAGCGCGCGCTCCAGACGATGGGCGACCTCGTTCTGCTCGACGTCGACGACCGCGCGTCGACAGCACTGCCGCGTAGCCTCGTGGCGCGGCTTCAACGGTACCTTCTCCCGCGCCTCGCCGCCGACGTGGCTGAGACCCCGGCGTCAATCCGCGCATTGGCGTTTGTTGCTGTCGGCAAAGCCTGTCTGGCCGACGAGGTAGGATGCCTCGGTCCCTGTATCGATGCTGCATCAAGGGTACATGATGTATGTAGGCGTTTGCAAAGGAGAGCATCACCATGTTCATGCGCGAGCTCCAGACGTCGCCGATCGAAGCGATTCGGTCCAACATCCTCCTCGTGCTCGGCGACCTCTGCATCCGGTGGACGTCGGTCGTCGACGTGTACATCCCGACGATCGCGTCGTCGCTTTTGGACCGGAGCCACGCCGTGCGGCGCAACACGCTGCTGCTGTTTTCGCAGCTCCTGCTGCAAGACTATGTCAAGTGGAAGGAGTCGCTCCTGCACTACTTTTTACGTGCGCTCGTGGACCCGCATGAGGAGATGGCGTCCCTGGCGCAGCACATTTTGTCGGGCCCGCTCCTCCTCAAGACACCGTCGCTCTTTACCATGAAGTTTGTCGAAGCCGTCTTTGTGTTCAACAACGTCCCGACGCCGTCGCTGACCGGTGTCATCTCGACGCCGATGCTCCAGAACCTGAGCTTGTCGGGCAACCTCCATTTCCCCAAGCGCCTCGTCATCTACCGCTTCCTTTTGCAGCACATGCGTGACGAGCAAAAGCTGCAAGTGTCGATGAAGCTCGTGACGGAGGTCCTCGACGACGTGGTCGACGGCACACTCCGATTGGCGTCGGACCCGACGACGATATCGGAAAACTCGATCGAGGCCGTGCTCCAAGATGCACTCATTCTCTTGAGCAGCCCCGAAATTCGCTTGTCGGCGCCGAAGGACCGCGACGAAGAGCTCCTCGAAGCCGGTGACACACCGGCGTCGACCCTCCAAGACGCGAAGCGGTCGCTCCTCTCCAAAATGTCGCGCAAGAATTTCATCGAGAACGTTGTGCCGGTCGTGATTGGCCTCAAGCACACGCTGCAGGCCAAGCGGAGTCCGGTCATGCGCTACCTCATGCACTGCATCAAGGAGCTCTTTGCGTTCTACAAGGCAGAGGTCCACGACATCCTCGCCGCCGACCCGCAGCTGGCGAAGGAAGTGCTCTACGACCTGCGCCAGTTTGAGCAGACGACGACACGCCGCCCCGCGCCGCCCGTAACCACGTCCTTTGCGTCCCAGCGCGCGTCGCTCGGCGGCTTGAGCACGAAGAAGGCGGCCATGATGACGCCGCTCACCCGCATCCAGCGTGAGCACGACAAGCGAAGAGACACGAGTACGACGACTCATCGACGATGCGGATGGGTAGTCACGGCTTGCATAGGCGACGCGGGCTTGAGCGACAACCTCGCCAAGACACTCTTTCTCTCGCCCAAACCCGGCCACAACAAGAGCGAGAGCGAGGACAACAACGACGAGGACGAGGACGATGTCGAGGTCCCCAAGACACTCCCGCGGCCCGTGCAGCAGTGGAACGTCTCGGTGGAGTCGCCGTATGTCAAGCAAGCCGCACCGCGCGAGGTATTAGCGTGCAGCGTTTGAAAATGAGCGCATTATTGTGATGGCGTAGGGCGCGACGGCACAGACGCTCGACTTTGCCGACGTCTCGAGCGACGACGCATACGAGTCACCGAGCAGCCCAGTGCCTGCCGAGCAGCCCGGTGTCTAAGTTCGTCGGCAAGGGCAAGGGCCGCCTCGCGCATCCCAAGAAAGCCAAGCGAGCATAATAAGTTTTAGAATAAGCGCAAGATACCTTATTGAACATGGCACCAAGGTGGTCAAGCTAGCAACGGGAGTTGGCGGAAAGCGTATCTTCCGGATACAGCGCCGGATACGCGGACTTGAATTTTGGTGTGGCGCGATGGAGGTCGCCGTGATCGTCCTGGGACGCCTCCCGCCAACAGCCATGACAAAGCCAACGCCGTCCAAGAAGAGGGCGCTCAAGCAGACGCACGATGTCGACGTTCATGAGAGGTTCGCACTGCGCGTTGCGCTTGGCGACTCGGTACTGCAGCTCAAGGAAGCGATTGCGATCGAACTCGCCAAGGCGCTCCAGGTCGACGTGGGCTTTCCGCCCGACGTCCAGATGCTGACGGCGGCGGGGCGCATGCTCTCGGACGGCGACTCGATAGGTGCTGCGCTGCTGGATGCGCGTGTCGTCGTCTGCGCGCTTGACTTTCCGACGCCGCCGCCGATCGCTCGCGCCACCAGCCCCATGGCGCTCAACGACCGTGGCATCGCACAGCTCGTGGCGATGGGTTTTCCAGTGGCAAAGGCCAAGCACGCGCTACGTCTTAGCCACAACAGCGTCGAGACTGCGATCGCGTACTTGACCGAGCACATATTGCCGCCGACCCTTGAGGACGACACGGCCACGCGGCTCGCCTCGGTGGCCATGCACCAGCCGTACTTGCTTCAGCAAGCGATCCAGGGCTGCTCGCTCGACGCCCTCGCGACGCTATCGCTCGACATGATGCAGGACGCCATCGACAAGACGCTGGCCGTTGGCAACAACGACGCGGTCGTTCTCACCGACGAGTCGGACGTCGAAGAGTCCAAGGACGCTAGTACAGACGACGGCGAAGCTGTTGCCATCCGAACCACGAGCTTCGATTCCAGCGACGCAAAGGAGGCAGTCCTCTTGCGGGTATCATGTGCTTTTTTGTATGGTTCCGCAGTCGCACGGGTCCTCATCGCGTAAAATAATAGCTGCAATCGCTCGGGTTCGGCCGCGACGACGCCCTCGCCGCTTACATGGCCTGCGATGAGAACGAGAGCGCCGCCGCCAACTGCCTCCTCGACTCGTTTGCCTAATTCGTGTCCAATGCATCGATCTCTTCTTCGAGGCCCTCATACTTCATAATGCCATCCATGCTTGGCTGCATGTACCATGTACGTTGGCGCGCAATGCGTCCGAGGCGCATGAGCAGCAGTGAGCAGTGCTCGGCGATGCGAACGGCTTTCTTGGCGACCAGCGTGCTTGGCGCCAAGATATGGGCGAATCGAATGACTTGACGTTTGTATGGACCGACTGTCGCAAGTGGGCTAACCGGCATGGACCGACTGTCGCAAGTGAACTAACCGGCAAGTTCCATTTTTGCCAAAATCGATGAAGTCGGCCAGTGGCTGGGAGCGCAGTGGTTCCCGCGACGAGGGCCGCCGGGACGCGCGTCGGAGTCGGAGTCGTGGTCGCCGTAGCCGCAGTCGGAGTCGGAGTCGGAGTCGGAGCCGCGAAGCGTCCAAGCGGCGCCGGTACGACGACGACCGGCGGCCACCGCGCGACATGGATGGCAACTGGAAAGACCAGCAAACGATGCATCAAGGCGACGACGGGGGCCGCTCTACGTCGGGCCGACCGTCGCACGCGTCGTCGGACGGCCACGTAGAGCAGCCTCGTCACATCGAGCCCACGTCGAGCCTCATGCTCAAAGGTCTGCCGTTCGCGCTTACCAACGCCGAGGTGCCCGATCCAATTATTGATTCTCTCAAGTCTCTCAGCGCGGCAACCTGCAATAGCTCGTCAATATCCTCGCGCCCTTTGGACCGCAGTTTGTGCGCATCATCACCAACAAGGTCCGTGGCGCTGCGCGCGTCGACGCTGACGCCGCGTAGGTCACGGGCGAGAGCCGCGGCTTTGCCTTTGTGGACTTTTCGAGCGTCGAGAGCGCCCAGTACGTCGTGCAGCACTACGCGACGGAGCCGCTCATCATCTTTGGCCGCGGCGTCGCCATCGGGTACTCGGAGACGCCCAGGACAAAGTCGTCGTTTGCGCCGCCACTGCGCTGCGACTGGCTCTGCGAAATGGTACGCGTTTGGCGCTTGCCGATGCGTCGCGTAGCTGCGTCTCGTAGTGCCACGTGTCCAATTTTGCCAAGCGCGTCGCGTGCTTCAAGTGCGGGTACCCCAAGTCGGAGCACTCGATCGACGTGCCGCAAGGCGGGTTCGAGGCGCACAGCGGACCGTCGCACATTCTCGTGGTGCGCGCGCTGCCGCCGACCGCGACCGAGACCGAGGTAGCATATATCGTTGAACGCGTCGTCACGTGGACGTGCGTCTGTAGCTCGCGCATCTCTTTGCCAACGCCGTCGGGCTCAAGGAAGTGCGCTTGGTGCGCGACCGCAGCACCAACGTCTCGCGCGGCTTTGGATTTGCCGAGTTTGACTCTGTCGAAGTTCGCGGCCTCTCTTCATCTCGGAGCTCTTACATTTGTCCTGCCTCCAGCTGGCCTCGTCGGCCTTGGCCGCGCTCGGCCCCGATGTCTTCTTTCTCGGCACGACCCTCCGCGTCGCGTTTGCGCAAGAGTCTGGCCACATGGCGCCCCGTGCGTTTGGTACTAAACATTCCTGCGTCAACCCTTCTCTGACATGGCTATCAGGCATGAGCGGTGGCAACGTGCAGGCACTTGTCGCAGCGGCGATGGAGCAGGCGCAGTGGAGCATGGGCACCCAGTACACGAGCCAGGTTCGCATTGTGGGCGCATACGTGGTCACCGAAAACGTAGGGAGCCACCGCGAGCGCGCTGGATGTCGACGCGCTGATTGACAGCGCAGCGGCCGCCGTGCAGACGCCGGCGACGCCACGCAAGACATGGCCGCTCTCGTTCGAAGAGGCTGGCGGCAGCTTTGTCTTTGTCGCGGAGAACGGTGCGTTGCGCTCTTAACGAAATGCAGTTGCTCATGCTCGGAGGGGTAGGGCTCTATTACGACGCCGACAGTATGTTTTACTACGACCCGAGCACCAAGACGTACTACAACAGCTACACGGGCGTCTACTACACGTACGAGGTGTCGATGTTCCGCGTGTTTGAGCCGCCGGCTCCGCTCGACGACGCCCCCGTGCCGACGTCGAGCTCGGCGTCAACGAAGAAGAAGACCAAGGCCAAAGCTGCGCTCAACATTTCGTTTGGCATCAAGACGTCGGCGTACCAAACCCACTGCTCTTGTCGATGTTGCAATCGCATCGGTTGTAGGTCCAAGCCCTTGGGCGCGCCGGTCGCCTTGCCGCCGCAGCCGATGCCAGCGTCAACGCTGCACACGGGAGCGGTCAAGAAGAAGCACGCGGATGAAATCGCCAAGTGGTCGCACCAGCAATCGATCGACCCGGCGACGGCGCCCGTGGCCGACGTGGCGCCCGTCGAGCCGTCTACACCGGCCGTGTGCTTGGTACGCTCGCATTCAAGAAGGATGGATGTATTGAAATACAAATGACGGCCTGTAGCTCTGCCGGCGCAAGTTCAATTCGCACGCGCAGCTTCAAAAGCACGAACAGCTCTCGGACCTCCACAAGCAAAACGTGCTCAAAGCCAAGCAAGCTGCCGTGCTCGTATGCATCCCGCAGCACACCCACGTCGCATGATGGATATTTACATAGGTGCGCGAACGGGTCGTGGAGCGGGGCGAGCCGATCTCGACGCCCGCACCCATAGTTACCGAGGTTTCCCACGTGGACAAGCCTCTCGACGACGCCTCCAACATTGGCGGGAAGATGCTCAAGATGATGGGCTGGAAGGCCGGCGAGGGCCTCGGCAAGCTTGGGACGGGAATCACGGCGCCGATCGCGACCGTCGGCCAGATCACGGGCGATACGTCCGGCTTGGGTACCGCCACTCTGATGATGACGCTGCTTTGAACGTTGGCGTGTAGGCGGCACCTCGCTCGCGTCCAACCCGTCGGTGCTGGCCGCGTCGACGCAGCGCGAGAAGATTAGTCATCTGGTACTATTATCTTGCATGCGTCTGTGGCTGTTTTCCACTGTGTGCCCGCTCACCCGAGATCTGCTTGGATCGTCTCTCTTGTAGACGCGCGCCCGCTTCGAGCGCCTCGACAAGCACGCGTAATGGACAAATATCAAGGTTTCAAGTTGACAGTTGTCGCGTGGGATTCCTATATGCGCAAAGTGACTCGGAGGCGACGCGGGTTGAGGGTCTCGACGCCGCGCTCGTCGAGCAGCACCAAGTAGTTGGTCTACAGACACGACGTTATGACTCAAAGCGGAATGTCGACGTACGGACGCCACGCGCACAGCAAACTCGGCCGTCGCGTTGCCTTCGTAGCGCCCGAGGCGCCGTCCGTTCCAATAGATGCTCCCTTGCGTCAAGCCGATCGCATCCAGCGCTACGTATCCCTTGCGGCCGTCGTATGGACTCTGAACGACCGTTTGGAGCCACGAAAGCGGCGGCAGAGGCCCCCCTTGAAGCGCCGCCACGGCACCGCGGCCATCCATGTTGGCTCGACTCTAAAAATACATGCCCCTGGAGATCTTATAGCCAGAGGTCGTACATGCGCAGATGCTCGCCGACGAGGCCTGGCTCCAGCGTCCACTTGCTCAGCGCGTGCGCCTCGTCCCAGGTGACCGAGACAAGGGATGGTCCGCGCTGCAAGCCTAGAGCAGCATCATGTGTCACTGAAAGAAACCGGCAGGCGTGTCTCGCAGATGCGCAACCTGTATCGCCGCCAGTTGCTCGGACAATCTCGACAGACGCAGAGGTGGAGCTGGCGCCAACTGCCACGCGTTGGGTCTCGTGGCGCGTCATGATGTTCTTATGGCGGGCGTCGTGCGTCGCGACGAAGGCCTTGGACGTCGCATTGGCCGCGAAGACGAGGTACATGTCGTCGGTCGCCGAGAGAATGCTCAAATTGAACGACCGCGCTGGCGGCCACGGCGTGCGGTACGTGGCATAGCTGAACGGCGCCAGGTCCACGTAGTCAAGCGACGAGAGCGTCGGCGCCAACACGCTTTGCCGCAGGCTGTGGCCATTGGGCTCTGTCCATTGATGCCACGCCAGGTCCAGATATGTGGTCGGCGTCAGCGGAACAGGCGGCGGCGTCAAGAGCGCCGATGGCCCTGCCAAGCAGACGCCCAGCGCCACGAGCGAGAAGACGGAGACGCAGGCGCGGTCGCCCGAGTTGAGGCGCGGCTTGCGCGGGACGTCTACGATGTGGTCAAGCAGCGGCGTCTCGTGGCCGTCGTCGGACATGCTCCAGATGCTCTCGGCCGTGCGTCAAGAGAACGCGGATCTGCTGTCCGGCCGATGATTGGTCAAAATCCATCGGCGTCCGACCAATCAACGCGCGGTTTCGGTTGAAGGCGACTTCATTGGCTTGACGAACCAATTGGGCAAGATTCGAGAAGTGTTGTCCGACCAATGATTGATTACACCGTGACCCACATATGTGCACATCGTGTATCCGCAATCCTGGAGCGTCGCCGTCGTCGGACGCCGACGCGAACGCGCGCGAAGACGTCGACAAAAAAGCCTCGCGCGCCAAGTAGCCACAGCGTGAGCATACACCATTACACGACGCGCTCGGACATTTCTGCGCAGCGATCCGTGGCATGTCCCTGCATTCTACCAACCATTTTGGACCATCATACTGTACGAGGACAAAAATCACCACTTGATGGTCCTGCGGATCGGGTGGACGGCCGCCCGACCGCTCGCCCGAGGTGTCGGACGACGGCCTGGCCACATCAATCCACGTTCGCGGCGACGGCCACATCACGGAGGCAGCAAGGGACTGGGTGGCGGGAACGGCCAAGTCCTCGTCAAGCCGATTTTGGCCAATCGATGTGCGACGCAGGTGGAAAACGATGCGCGTCTGTGCAGCCGCGTTCTGTGATTGGTCCAAAGCACCCAACGAGCACGCCCAGTGATCAGCACATCTCGCGATTTGTATCGAATCGGGCAATAAACACGCAAAACACACGGCGCAAAACCACGCACGCCTGCACCACCCACGTACATACATTTCCCAACTTGAATCTTTGGCAACCGCCAGATGCGTGCGAGTCATCCAAACATTTGGCCAATCCGACGCGAGAGACGCCGCGTCCGTCCATCCGATTGGCTGATCCACGGACACCAGTTGGTGGCGGCAGCAGCGTCTTTGTCAACCAACTGGCTCTGACCCCGTCATCGCTCCAAGTGCAATTTGCCCACATGCTCGACGCCGTCTTCAAATCCAATTTCGACCGAAACTAAGAACTATGTCGGCCGCCGAAGCCAGCACCTCGCGAAAGCGCAAGCGCAGCACGGAGACCAAGGACCTCGACAACCTCGCGCTCTCTCTCAAGCTCAAGAGCCTCGTCGCCGAGGCCTGCCTCTCGGATATGAACAATGTCGTCATCGAAAAGAACTTGATTGCGATCGCCAAGGAGCTCGCCGTCATGCGCCGCGCCGGTCTCTTCTCGGACGCGCGCTGCCTCCGCTTCCTCTGCATTTGCTTTGAGCGCATTCAGATGCTCCTCGCCAAGGTCGAGCACCACGCGCCATTGACCGTCACGGCCGAGAGCCTCTGGGAAAGCGCCAAGTGGCAGGTCTCGGACGCGGTCCACGCCGACGTCCTTGACACGGCGGCGGTCACCACGTGCTACGAGAATGCAGTCCGCGACGTCAAGCTGCTCTGGAAGGCCATGGTGCTCTCGCGCGAGCAGGGCGCCAACCTCTGGCACGAACACAAGCAAGAGGAGGCCGTCCATGTCCTCAAGACGTCGGAAGTGTACATGCGCCGCTTCCACCTCAAGTACCAGAAGCTCAACATTGACTATGCGCTCCTCCACTCGACGTCGTCGCCGGCCAAGAAGGCGACAACAAAGAAGTCGGTCTCGTTTGCGGCATCGCCGACGATTCTCGGGACGGCCGACGCGGACGTGGACCGCAGCCCCACGAGCTGCTCCAAGCCGTCCAAGCTCGACGCGCTCCTCCTGCGCTCGTCCCGCAACTTTCCGACGCCATCCTTTTAGTTGGTTACGAACGATTAGAATAATTTATTAGTTTTTATTTATTCCCACACACAATGTCTTGATGTTTGTATGGGCGGCGGCAACGTGCCATCAAAGGTGGCGCGGGATCCAATCGATCGACGACGGTGGCGTTCGACTAAACGACTGAATTCCTCCCGACCAGCAATCCGGCGGCGAGTTCTTGTGGCAGGTGCATCGAGTATTGTTGTCAGAGGGTGGGATGGCGTGAGTAATATAACACGCCTCGTGGACCACGGGTGGCGCGCTGTGGACCACGAGCTACTTGGGTGGCTGGCTCCACGCGGAGTAAAGATTCGCGACAGATTCCTCCCACGCTCTCTGAAACCACGACGCACCACAACAGCTCAACCACCGCAGCACGTTGTTGTGAGCTCAACTCCATCCTCCTATATTTCTTAACCGAGCTCTTGCTTCTATCCTGCCCACATAGCGCCGTGGCGGCGTGGATAGCACGCTCGTTGGACGTATTACACACCATCGCGCCATAGCCCAGCGAGTTGCTAGATGTAGTTGAGTGCTGCTGGATAGTAAACAACGCCGCATCATCCGCCGTCGCTCGTCTGGTCCTTTTGCCAGTCTCGTCAAGGCTGGGCCGTCGTTTGTCCATGATGATGGTGTAGCGACGGCTGGCGCCACGGATCCTCGTCGGGTCACGGCATCCAAGGTGCACATGGGGCCGCGAGAGTGGCACGATTCATGCGCTTGGTCCCAATTGGTTGGAGGTGGGCACACATCTGGCGGAATCAGGGAGGTGTGTAACGCAGGCAGGTAGAATTTATTTTTATGTGTGGTTGTCCTGGCAGTTGAAGCTGGGCTACTCTACCCAGCTAAAACACCCAGAACGTGGCTTCCAAAGGTTACTTTTGCAGCGTTTGAAGGAAGAGGCGCGCCATATCATCGCTAAAGAGCGGGTCGCCACCCGCGGCGCATTGCTGTCGCGGCGCCAACTCTGGCTCCGCATCCAAGCAGAGGCGCTCAAACTCAACATCATCCACCGTCGTCTCTGCGGCCTTCATCATGGGTGGCTTGGCTGGCGCCGCGCGATCCGTTTTTGGCTCCATTGGCGACGACGTGAGGTCCACCACTTTGCTGCGGTGGAGAAGGTTGACGTAAGCAGACGCTGGCTTGCCTTCGGTCGACCCTGATGGGTACAGAGGAGCCTTGGTAGCGTTGAGAAACCCTTTCTTGACCACGGGCGCTGTCTTCTTTGTCTTCAATTGGGCTGGGGTCGTTATGTCTTCGATGAGTTTTTCTTGGCGGGCGGAGCTGTCGTTTGGAGCTCGAAGGGTGCGTTGGCAGCATCGAGCTGGTTGGACGGTGGCAACTCGAGGGATCGAAGCAGGTCCTTTGGTGACGCCATCCACTGCGTCACTGGCGTCGTGGGGTTGTTGTCGGCTTGGTTGCTGTGTTTGCTCGTGGCTGGCGTCTCGCTACTACCCTCTTCAGGTACGTAAAAGTCGTTGGGCACAACCTTGGTCCCGATACCAATGCCGCCTTTGTACAGACTCTTGATCAGTTTGCCGGGCTTCTGGAGCTTGACGTGCTTTTCTTCTTCCACCCAGTGGCTAGCGAGCTGCATGACGTCCATTTTGAACTTGGCGTCCCACGCCGCCCGCTCCAGCACCCACGGGTGGAAGACTGCGTCGACAACGCTGCAGACCTCGCCACTGAGCGTCCGCGTCCGAAGGTCGCCGATCGCGAGCGGGATCGACAAGTTGCTCGTGCTCGGGACGCTGCGCGTATCCCGGGGCACGGCCTTGTTGTTGTTGGGGTTGGTGGGCAGAGCGACGCACTCGTGGGCGCAGCAGTTGATAAAGAGCTTCTTCGTCGACGCACCGTCCGACGCAGCGGCGTACTTGATGACAAAGCCAGGCACGGGCGTAAACTTCTTGCGTCCCGCCTTGGCCTGCGCCTCCATCTGACTCGCAATGAACTCTTGGTACGCGGCGGGGTCCGTCGCCGCCATGTCGTCGAGCATGCTCCAGATGTGCTGCGCCTCGGCGCCGAGCGACGCCGGATCGACGCCCATTTGACTCGCGACCTTGTGCATCGGGAGCGGCCCCGCAGTCTTCGTCTTGGGTGCCGGCCGGCGGTTGTGGAGGATCCCGAGGTTCATGGTGCAAGCCAGAAATGCGTCGAAAGTGCAGGATCCGCCGGTATCTTCAAGGGTCGTCCTTGACCGCTAGGGGCCCCCTACTTTTGGAATAATTGGTCCTACCTCCCCCACGTGGTAGGCGATAACGTGGTTGTTGCAACGTTTCACCACGACCCACCCACTGAAAACAGGTACCCCAGAAACACATGGTACACCCTCGTGGCGCCACCAGACGACGTTTAAAAACCAAAAATGATGAAATGGTATACACAGAAGAAACCCATCTAGTCGAGGCCCGCGAACGGGTCGTAGTGCCCCGACCCGTTCGAGTTGAAGTTGGTGGGCATCGTCGACATGTCGACCGAGTGCGTCGACGAGACGTTGATAAGCGTGTTGGCCGCGAACGGGTCAAACACGTCAAAGGGGTCCGTCGTAGCCGCGATGCGCGGTGGCGACGCGAGGTCCAGTAGGTTAAAGCTGTCGGGAATCGCCGACGACGACATCGACGACGTTGGCGCCGTCTCGGTCACTTGCGCGACGATCGGGTCCGGCGTGAAACTCTGTTGGAACTGGCCGCGGCGCATCTGGATGTTCCACTGAAGGTTGCTCAGCGATCCATGGTTTTCCTTGAGCACTTCGTTGACTTGCTGCATTGTAAACTCCATCACGACTACTCAAATGCGTGAGTATATGTCGCAAGCAAGGTTCTGACGTACCCGAGAAGGAGCTGTACTGGGCGTTCATGCCGCACCAGATGCAGTCAAAGAGCAAAAACACTAGAGCCGTGAAGTTGCACCCACGACAAACGCACGAGTTCCTACCTTCGGCGAAGAGCGTGTAGAACGCATCGGCGTTGGCAAAGATGGGCCAAATGTTTTCCCGCTCGAGGAAGAGCTCGCCGTCGTTCTGCCACAGAAGACGCGCGAGCAAGCATGTGATGTTGATGCCGACGGGCCCCCACGGGTACGTGTGCTCGTGCGAGCCCGGGATCTGCGAGCTCGTCATGCGCTTCACCTACACGCACAGTATCGTCGCTGTCGCAAGAGACGGCTGCCAACCTCATCGATCGACGTGGTCGCAAAGTAGATGAAGCAATTGAGACTCAAAAGACCGCCCGAGCGGAAGTCGGTCGTTGGGTCGGGCCGCTGGAAGCCGAGGCGGCTCCACGAGTCGCCACTGCGCTCAAACGCCGGGTCTACGCACACGACAAAGATACAATATTGTCCTCGTAGCGACAGACAATGTACCAAAGAGCGCGTCCGTCGACGAGTAGATGATGCCCCAGAAGGTGCAGAGTAGCTCCTCGTAGTCACTGTTGCCGCCGACGCACGGCCGCTTCGAGAGAAGGAAGAGCTTGTTCATGTTTGCAAGCACAACAGGATCCAGCGCCGACGAGTACTTGCCCTTGGGAAGGAAGACAGTCGTCGCCTCCTTGATGTCGTTGACAACGGACGCCGTCGCACGCGCAAACGCCGCAGCCTCTTCGGCGCGCGCCTTCTTGTCGCTGAGAACGCGCCCCGCGTCGCGGATGCCGTAATGAAGCGCATACATGACGAGAGATCCGTCTTCGTAGCCCGCGACGACGCAGCTATCCAAGAAGCCACGTGTAAAACCAATATCAAAGAGCCACGTCTTGCGGTACCGCTCGTCTTGCGAGAGCCCAAAGCACGTGAGCGCGCACGATCGCTTCGTCTCGATGCGGCGAATCACCGACGTGAGGTCACCGATCGGGCGCACGTCAAGGCCACCGTCGCGCCCGGCGCTGGCCGTAATCACAAACTGCCCGTCGCTCGTAAAGACGACGCCGCGCTGGAGCAACGCGAGCGGCTCGTCCTTGTCTTTCATCTGCACGCGCGAGACGACGCGGCCGTTGATCGAGACGAGCGCCAGCTCGGACTGCGTCGCCGTGTTGCGCCAGTCGGACGCCGACGCGTCGAGCGTGTGCACCGCATGCGACAAGATCGTGCCTTCGCACGAAATCGTGAGGTAGATGCTCGTGTCGACGACGCTCGGGAGCGAGAGGTCCATCGTGTGCAGCGGACACGACGTCCGAAGCGAGTGCAAAAGAAGGCGGTGGCCGCGACACGTGCTCGCGACAATGTCCAAGTGCACCTACGCACAGGCGTCAGCCCAACGCGCACAACACACACACGGCAACGTACGTTGAGCGCGACGCTGACGACCGGCCGCGTGTGGCCCACGAGAAGCACCCACGGCAGCGCGCCGACCGGCAGCTCCTTCTTGCTGCCCGACGAAAACATCCGGCGCGGGCGGCTCGCGGCGTACTTGGAGATGGCCCACACCTACGCAAAACGACTTGATGCCATGTATATTTGCAGCGTGGACGGACCGAGATCGTGCAGTCTTCGCTGCCAAACGCGAGTGCGACGTCGCCCGTGACATCGTCTTCGCTGCGCGCCATGCACAAGATACGCTGCTTGTGGAACGCAATGCGCTGGAGCAGCTCGCCATCGGCCGACCAGTGGATGCGCCAGCTGCCGTCAAAGTAGCCGCAGCTCACCATGTGCTCGTAAAAGACGAGACCATCGTCGATCGAGCACATGGCCGGGAGCCGCCACCACTGCTCGACTTCCTGGAGCGTGAACGGCGCGCCTTTGGCCGAGTCGGGCGTCGCGTTCTGGTACCGCTTGGCGAGCACGAGGCCGCTCTCGTCCGTCGTGTAAACGACCGACCCCGCGGGTGCATCGTCCGAGGCCTTGACCTTGGCCGCAACGTTCTTTACGACGCCCATGCCGTGGCCCTAGTACGCTCTGGATGAGCTTCTTGTCGACGATACATGTACACGCGCGGTGGTACCGTGGCCGTCGCGGTCGAAAAGCGGACGCTGGAGAGCGCCATCTCGTGGCGCGACGGAACATCGTACCGACGCACTTGGCTGCGCGACGAGAGGCTCGCGAGGGCGTGCGACGCAGGGTACCTACGCCCTTCGTGTCAATACAAACGACGCGACGAAAATGCGCACCGCTTCTCGAGCGCGTCGTCGACCGAGAGACGCGTCGGGTGCGCCTTGTGGAAGAGCTGCGATGGCACCGTACCACGCTGCGCGATGCGGTCGCGCGCGCACTTGTCGAGAAGCTTGAGTTTCAAGTTGTCCGGATAGCACTCGGGGTGGAAGACGTTGCCGTGGGCGACCGCGTCGGGGCCGCGCTGGTTGACGCCGAAAATCAAGTCGATCCACAAGTGCAGGTGGCACGAGACGTAGTCGCTCTCGAGCGCCTCGACTTGGGTGCGAATGAACGCGTCGACAGATCCGTGGGCCCACGGCGGCAAGACCACGGCCTCGAATCGCACGCTGCCCATGAGAAAGTGCGGCGACATATAAAACTCGGGCGTGAGCTCCCACCTACAACGAGCGTCCTTAGGATCCAAAGTATCAAATTATCGAGCCGGGCCGTACCCGCGCTCATTCGTCGACGACGTGCACTGCGCATATAGCGCCGGGATCGACGTCAAGGCGTACGATGCGGGCTTTCGGAGCGCGTCAAACGCTAGCGTAAACGGTTGCATACGCACGAGGGCGCCGAGCACACCATCCTGGCTCGAGTACGGACTGCCAAAATGGTATGGGAACGCACCGGACGACGCAAAGCGCGCGCCCGCACTCTCGAGGGCTTCGGTTGTTTGGCCGCCAATGGGCTTGGCAAAGTCGCGAAAGATGCTCGGGTCCTCAAAGTCGAGCGTCTCGGACGCATAGTCGGCGAGGACCCACGGAAACACTAGATGCGCGTCAGTGGCAAATTCCTCGCATCCTTCCTTGTCGTACCTGGGTACTGCGCAATGTCGTTGTACGAGCGCCCCGCCGCCACGTTGAGCAACATGATGTACTCAAAGTTGGAGATCTCTCGGCGAACCCACTGTGTCGTCGCGTGCCACGTCGAGTGCGCAACGAGGCGATCGCCGGTCAAGAGGCGCTTGGTCGTCACGAGGCACGGCGGTTTGCGCTGGCGCAGCACCGAGTAGACGATGTCCACGTCTTGGTCCGAGTCAAACCTACGTCCACCATCGAGTCAGACCATGCACTATCGACATTGAATACTATCAAATAGTACCCCAGCAAGAGCGATGTGCCGTCGACAAAGTAAATCTCCATGCCGCAACCCATGTCGAGGCGGAACCGGCGCCGGTACACGGCTTTGACGACACGGACGCTAAAGATGCGTCGCTTGAGAAGCACGAGACCCGTCTTGGCGTCGATATTGTCTTCGTCGACAACCTTTTCGCCCTCAAAGACGATGCTCGCCTGGCCAAGGCGGAACATGCCGTACACGACGCGGCCCTCGGGCAAGAGCAAATACGCAGTCGTGCGGAAGCTCGCGTTTACCGCGACCTTCTTCTTGTCGGCCGCCTTGGGCGACAGAGACGTTGCACTTGTCGGTGGTGGCGGCGGTGTCGTCGTCGCCTCAGTCGGGTCGTTGTGGTCCGACGACATGGACGACGGTTTGCGGAATCGACCAAACCCTGTCATGAAGCGCGATGACATGGACGCGCGCTTCGTCTCGGACGACGTCTCGGCCGGCGCCGTCGGCGCGTCGTCCACAGGCACTGCCGGTGTCGGCAACGGTGGTCCGTCGACACCCAGGATGGACGCTGACCGCGCGCGCTCGAGTGCCGCTGTCGCTTCGTCAATGGCGGCGGCGATCTGGACTTCGATCGCGCTGTCGTCGTCTTGGTGTCCGAGAAGGTGGTTCACAGTATGAGACTCGTCGTCTTCCGTGTCGTTGTTGTACTCTTCCTCAATCTCCAAGTCGTCGAGGTACGGCGACGTCGCGCCCGATTCGGCTCCGCTCTCTTGCGCCAGAAAGGCGTCGGTCGTCGACGCGTTGGCGCGCGACTGCTGTTTCGTGTACGGCTCGCTGCGCGCAACGTCGGGGAGGAGACGACAGCGCTGCCACTTGGACGACGTGAACGCGTCGAGTTGCCAGTTGCTCGCAGTTGTCTCAAACTGCGCCGACCACACGTGCTGAATGTTCCAGCGCAGAAGCCGCTCAAGTTTCATCCAGTCGTCGTACTCCTTGGCGAGCACACGCTTACGCCACACGGGGTCGGACGAGGGCCGCGCCTAGGATGGTTCCATATACCAACGTTTCAAGCAACAATATCAATGGAGTACCTGGACACCCGCCGAAAAGACGATTTGGATCGCACTACGCGCTTGGTCCGTCTCGTTCTCGACAGCGCTTTGAAACGCCGCGCGCTTCTTGAGCCGCGAGTCGCGCAACGTCTCGAGGTGCTCGTGGTAAAACATGTCACGGCGGTAGACCTCGGTTTCCGTCAAGACAAAGTCCTCGCGCTGCAGCATGTGGCGCAGCTCGTCCGTGACGCGAGCGTCACTTGCAGGCAGCGCGTAATGAGCTATCGGCACCAGATGAGATGCATGCGATTCAAAATTGCGTACCTCGGCACAACGGCGCGCCGACTCCATCCAGCGTGGTTCTGACGCGCAGAGCGACTGTGTGTGGTGCATGAGACGCGCGAGCTCGAGGACGAACCAGTGCACGAGCGACGTGTCTTCCTTCGTCGCGACAAACTGGGGCAGCTTGAGCACCTGCACAAAGTAGTCGAGCTTGTTGAGCTTTGCGACAAACACCGCGTCCATCGGCAGCGGCATCGAGTTGAGGCGGCTTCGGCGGCGCGCCGGCGCGCGACTCGCATCGTCGTCGTCGGACGAAGAGCTTTCATCGTCGCAATCGTCCTTGGCCTCGTCGTCGTACAAGACCTGGTACATGGAGCGCAGCACGAGCCCGAGAATCTGGCGCATGGCGCCGCCCGGAAACGGCTTGAGCGCCGACGGCACCAACGGGGCAAAGCTCCCGCGCTTGGGCATGCTGTTCGACATGGTCAAGCTAGGGCGCTGCGACGGCGTCGTCGTGAGGCTCGCGCGGGGCTGCGCCGTGCGGCCAAAGGTTGCGTCCAAGTCGAACGTGAGCTGCGACGCGCAACGCTGCCAAATGTTGAGCAGCGACTCGCAAAGGTCACGCTCGCCGTCGAGTTCTTCCCGACACTTCCAGAACGCAGTGTCGTCCATGGTCGAATCCCGGCGCTTCGTCGACGGCACGTCCGGATCAAAGTGGAAGACGACGCTCGCCGCGACGCTGCAGACGTGCTCAATGTTGCGCCAGCACACGGACGCGCGGGGCGGCACTTGGATGTCGACGAGATGCGTCACGCGATCCAGGATAGCCTTGAGCCATGACACAACCGCGCGCGACGACGGCGGGTACAGTGCAAGCGGGTGGAGCACGAGCTCGCCCGCGCTCTCGTTGGTCTTGAACTCGAGCACGACGAGCTGCGCCGCGAGCTCCAAGCACGCACCACCCACGAAGGAGTGCACGACGCCCGGCGCGACCGACACGAGAAGGTACATGAGGTGCGTACGAAGATGGTCGCTGAGGAGAGGTCCCGTCTCCTTGGTGCCCACGAGGCGTCGGTACTGGTCGCGGCGCGCGCCATCCTGCGCGACCACATCGACAAGGTATTTGTGGTCCTGGAACCGCGCAAGGGCAGTCGCCGCCCGCAGACGCTCCGTGTCCGTCAGACTTGCATTGGCCACGACCTCGCGCAAATGAAGTGTCGTCGTGTCCGCCGGTGCATCTATCACAATGGATGAATTAGCATCAATCATCTCCAATGACGCGTACGGTCGGCGTCCGGACACGCGTCGGCAAACAGCGTCGCGCTCGCGGGCAGTGGCACCGAGAGAAAGCTCTCAAACATGGCTTCGATCGCGACAGGTGGGTACGCGTGCGTGGCGTAGCACTGCAGAAGCGTTCGGCGGTTGATCGTGCACTCGATCGAGTCGTCGCCAAAGAGAAGCTTCCAGTACACAAAGCCGGCCCAACGAATGTGCAGTGGGCTTTGCTTGAGAAGCTCGAGAAACGGGAGTAGCATGCTCGGGTGCCGCACGACGTTCGAGGTCGTTGTCGCATCCGAGAGCAGCGCTGCGTGGTCGTGTACGTCGTCGCTGTCGCTCTGGAAGAGGTGCACCGCGGGATCGCCATAGTCGATGCCCAGGAGTAGCGAGTAGAGCTCGTTGAAACTACCGAGGTGCAATGGGTACTCTTGCACGTTGAGCGCCTCGAGGATCATGCGCACATCGATCGCCGACAGCGACGGCTACACCCATCGTAAGCGCATGTTGCATGGATATGCGTACTCTACCTTGAGCGTCGGCGTCGCGTTCAGGTTGCACTTGAAATTGATGTACGTGCGCAACAGCCGGAGGGTCATGCGGCGCACCGGTGCGTTGTCCGTCGCAATGAGCGGCAGCCAGATGCGAAGACCCCCAAGCCGCTCAAAGACGCTCAAAAACTCGGTTTGCGTCTCGGCGGTGATCGACAGATCGATGACGATTTGCAGCAAGTCGGGAATGTCCGAGTCCGACACGTGCTCCGCGATCGAGCCTGCGTCAATCTACAGACATGGAATCATGTGCGTGAGATTCGATGGGAAACGGTACCTCGACTTCGCTCACAGCGACCTTGATCGCATCGTCGACGATGCCGTCAGGGTTGGTCGGCTTTCCGAGCATGCTGAAGATAAGTGTGCGCGCCGCATCGAACGAGAGCATCATGGACGAGGGTGGCGCCGCGCCGATAAGGCCGAGGCCACTGACGAGCGACTTTTTCTGGCCTTGCTTCCACGCCTCAGGGTCGTACAAGAGCATGCGAATGGTCTCAAGAACGCGGTTCCGAAGATGGGCAGCGTCCGCCGGCGATTTGGTCGTGAGGTTCGACTTGCAGTAGACCGATGAGAGCATGCGCAGCATGTACCGGATCGAAATGACGGCGCTCGACACGATGTTTTCTTGATCGACATGTGCAGCTTCTCAAAGATCGTGTTCTATAGGCATACAACCATGAGCTTTCATCGCTATGAATGATGCTCGAACCTGGATCTCAACGGCTGCCGGGACCCACAGCTGAAAGTTGTACAGCAGGTTCTTCTGGATGTCATCACTGAGGTACCGGTCCGACGCCACCGCGCTCAAGAGCCGCTCGACCGTGCTCAGTAAATCGGGCGTCAAGTACGTCGTCGGAAGCGATCGCAACAATAGCGCAAGCAGAGGAATCGTTTGGCTACGGCGACACACAAACTAGGCAGCAGTTTACATGAGATACAAAATCACGCTTGCTTGCACCTTGTTGATCGTCGAATGGCGAAGGGTCTCGGCGAGAAGTGAGATCATCTTGGGGATCGAGAGCGGCCCAAGCGGGCGCGTGATGGTTTGGCACGCATTGAGGTCCAGCGGTCCGGCTTCGGCCAGCGGCGACACAAAGAGCGGCAAAAAGATCATCGGGCCGCCCATCTGCCACACCGAGTCCTTGAACGTCGAGATTGTCCGCAGGCGCACGGACGGAGCAGACCCGATGTTCTCGCCATGGTGCATGTTGCCGCTCGCGTCCAAAAGCAGCTTGTGCTTCTCGTCGTAGCTCCGCGCATCAAAGGCAAAGACGAGGCCTTCGTGGGGTGCCCCGGCCGATGTTGGCGCCGACGGAGCTGCGGCCGCGCTCCCTCTACACACAGTATCAAGTCTCGATGACAACACGGCGGGAGCGCGTACCCAGAAAGCGGCGCCGACGCCGTGAGCGACGACGACATCACGGCAGCGTTAAACTGCAAAACGACATTATCGTAGTCGTCGGCCGATTTGATGCTAGCGCAGAGAACCTTTAGATACAAGAGGTATCTTGATGGCGATGTACCCTTCGAGGACCGAGGCAGCAAGCGGCTGCGAGAAGAACGCGATGGACCCGACGTGCGCGATGAGGCACCGGCTGTAGTTGTTCTTGGTGCGCCCCACGTAGCACTTCATCTTGGTGCCTGGCGTCGTCGCAATCGCCGGGTAGCCAAACCGGAACGACTGGCGCGCGTCACCGTTGACATACACGTCGAGCTTGGACCCGCGGAACTGACGGTACGTGTGCACGATGCAGATCCATTGCCTGCAAGGACACTTGAATCAGAGAGGCAGCTATGCAGGGCGAGTACCATTGGTGCTTGACGAGAGCGTTGGGCACTTGAGCTTCGTTGTACTCGTTCTTCTTGACATCCAAGCTCTTGACGACGAGCGTCGTGTCCATAAAGCTCACTTCGACCCCGACGTTGCCTTCGGTGCTAAGTAGATAAGCATGAGGATACCAGCAATCGCACTCCTTCTTCTCAATACCAAAACGAAAACAGGGGCGAGTTCATCCCTGGCGAAGACTCGACGCGGATCCACGTCGAGAGCGTGTAGCCGGACGGCGGGAACGTGACCGTCTCCATCGAGGGCACGACAAAGCCCGACTGGTCGCCCGAGAGGTCGAGGTACCACGACGGCCCTGGCGCGCTCCGGGCCATCATTTCCATGGACGCGATAAAGGTCGCGACCGCGTTGTCGTCGGGGGCCACGTCCTTCCAACTACGCATGATCATTGAGACTGCGACTTCAAGTATGAGGAGCAGTGTACCGCGGCGACTGGAACACCTGCAGCATCGCGCGGATATCGTCGGCCGTCACCGAGTACTGCGCAATCTGCATCAAGAGCGCCAGGATCTTCTTCAAGATGGGCCGCGAGAAGCCGAGGAGGAGCGCATGCGCTTCGAGAGAAGCGACGATTTGGCGGTGGAAAGCGACTTGGATGCACGCTTGCGCGTTCGCTGCCTCGTGCTTGACCTACGATATGGCGGACATGAGGAGACGGCGACTGCATGCGGCAACGTACCATGAAGGTCAACGCATCGAGCAGCTCGATCTACATGCATCTGCATGAGCGTTGCGCGAGGTGCATACCCGTGGCTACCTGCTGCGGCTCGTCGACGACGCCGACAAAGTCGGTGAAGACACGGGCAAGCTGGTCGGGGAACCGGATCGTGCGCACGAGGGAGTCGATCGTGGACGCGTTCATGCCACCGACCGACATGACTAGGATAGCAGCATCTCCATGAGCATCCACTTCGTCTTCATGGAGAAGCATCATCTACCGAGGGTACTCCCGCAGAGATCCACGAGGTACGCGTCCATCGGCCGCATGCTGACAAATTGACTTTGAGATTTGTTCATGACGGCAGGGAAATCCCGCGACCGGATTGGCCAAAATTGGACCAAAAAGAACGTCGGTGCCAGATGGATCGTCGGGCGAAGATACCGCAGCGTTGGCGTCGCTGGCCGTGCTTAGCCGCGCCGTCGCCGACGACAACCGTCCTGCGGAAGCGCCACGCTGGCGACCATGGTAGCTTCATCCGCGTGCAGCCACGTCAAGCGGCGTCAAGTGCGCACGCGACCAGGCAGCGGCGCCCGTGCCCATCCTCCTCGACGAGCAGGTCAATGAATGGCCGCGATGCTTGCCCTCGTCGTCGCCACAGGCCAAGTGAAGTGGCAGCGCGATTGACCACACTCCGCCAGTTGGTCACGAGATGGGTCTCGGCCATGAGGTTCGGATCGGAGACCTTTACTCTCTGGCCCATGCACTATTTTATTGCATTTTGCTCCAGACGCTGCTGCAGGAAGACGACATATTTGGATGGCAATAGAACACGAAAAGGAGCATGATGCAGTAGGGTCGTCGAATGGAAGGCTAGGCTGTGGGCTGGACCAAGCAACGGTGCAGGCGCGTGTACGTCATGGCCACGAACGGGTTGAGGCTGGTCACGGCCGTCGCTGTCGCCGGGAACGCTTCGCAGCGCTTGAGCAAGATAATGGTGTTGTACTGGACGCTAAACGACGCGTGGAAGAGACCTTGCGCGATCACGTGGAGCCCGCCTACACAGTATGATCATCGATGCGCAGGATGTGCAAGCGCTGCGCCTACCGCGGGCGCGCGGCAAGTGGCTCAAGAGCTCCTTGAGCTCGGCTTCCGTGTGCAGGAACGACACAAAGTCGGCGTACATACGCTCGACGAGCGCATCCTCCAGCACGCGCTCGTGGAGAAGCACTTGAACGTGCCTGCGCAAGTCGACGCCCCGAGCTCTGGCGTATCCTTCGCGTCAAGGACTCTGGTCAATGGCACAGAAGAGAAAAGCAGGCGGAAAAGGATATGTCAAAGGCCGGGGTCGTCGGCGCCATGGCGGCGCGCGCGGCTTGGAATCGTTCGTAGTTTTCCGTGCGCGCCCACTTGGTGATGCGGCGGTTGTTGATGGCCGTGCGCCGACCCTGCGCGTCGCGGTCCATAAAGTGCGCCTCGCCCGTCACAATGTCGGTGATGTTGAGGCGCGTGTAGTCTTCAAACATGCAGCGCACCCACTCTTCGCTAAAGCCGGCCGCGATCCCGTCCATGACCTAGGCGCCGCATTTCGATTAATCGTCCATGCTGGCCTCGCGCCAAGCACTACCTCGAGAATAAAGTCGTGGTCGGATGCGTCGGCGTCGTCCTTCTCGGTCGGGAGGTTGGTCACGATGTCGCCACTCGAGAGGTCGCAGAGCACGTCCCACCACTCCTTCTTGCCCTTGAACATGGGGTTGGTGACGCCGGCGATAAAACCCGGCACTTGAAGAAACGCCAAGTCGGTCAAGTTGGCATACGGGAACTGCCGGTAGAGGATCCCGACGAGGGGCGGGCACAAGAGGGCGCTCATCGAGAGCACGTAGTTGCACACCTCACCTGCCACAGCCGTGGATACATTAGAAAAAGAGGCTTGTATCGCAGGCGCACCGGCGGGGAGGGTGTAGCCAAGCATGATGATGCGGGCGCCCGTCAAGACAGCGTTGTACAGCGTCATGGTCTCGGCGCCAAACTTGGCGATGAGGTCGAGCAGCAAGCCTTCCTCGTGCTATGCAAGGAATCGATAGTATCTCTGTCACCATGATCCCACTTTTGCGTACTTGGTCGTGCGTGCTGCAGAGCTTGATCTGGAGCGGAACGCTGGCGCCGTCCCATTGCGCCTGCGTCTTGAAGACGAGCGATCTATCGGAGCATGAGTACCACCCGTCAGGAATATCAAAGCACCAACTCGTCGGACGTGCGGATGTCGCCACTGAGCGGCTTGGCACTCATCGAACGCTTCAGCAAGCGTACTTCCACTGGCGACCGCTGGAGGCACGTGACGCCCGAGACGTCGACGCGGTTGATTGCGTCAAAGAGGCCTTGCAGGATCTGCGTTGTCGCGGCTTCGGGTGCGTCCAAGCGCAGTGCAAAGAGCTTGTCGACGGCCATCACGACCAGTGGCTTGAAGGCGTAGCAGAACTAAGACATCATCAGCCAGTCGTCGCCACAAGAGGAGGGCGCGTGCCTGGTACGAAGAGCTAATGGCGACGGCCTTGACCCGCGCGCCGCGGCGGACGTTAGCGTCGTGCTGGGTCTTGACGACACTCAAGCAATACTGCACGCTCTCGGGCTCGTGGATGAAGAAGACAGTGTAGTCCTCTTCGCGATTGTGGACGCCCTCGGGCAGCATCATGTCGGCGAAAAACTCGGGTGGGCGATGGACCGTCGCCTCGAGCGCGTCGACCGCGGCCGGGTAGCTCGCACGGAGCGTACTGCCCTTGTCAATGTCTACCAGCGCCGACCTGCATATGGCCATCGTACCAAGGCAGCGCCATCGTACCAAACTCTGCATACAAGGTCGTCGTCGCCATGCTCGGTGCGGTCGCGTGTTCGCCGTTTGGGCTCGGTATCCGGATGATACGAGCCGCCGAGGATCTCGACGCCGGACCGAGCAAGCACTGCATCGTTCGACAGACCAGCTGCTCATGGACAGTGCTTGTCATGCACTGTGCGACGGTTGCTGCTTCTAGGATCTTCCCAGCGTGTCCACAAGCTGCATGGCGCCCAGGGTACGCCGCATGGAGCGACTGCGATGCCGGTACGGATCAGGCGAGGCGTCGAGGTTCACGTTAATAAATAGAGCATCTCTAGGTTACAAGCACGGCATGGGAAACTCGCGCGTCGCACGAAGCAAGAGCGCTTCGAGCTGTGTCGGCTTGGACGGGCAGATGGGCGTCCGGTCGACGTCGGCTTGGGCCGTCCCGAGCACGAGCGGTGTGTCGGAGAAGGACACGCGGTGGGCCTTCGCTTTCTTCGCGACGGGCTCCACGTGGCAGTCGATGATCGCGTGGTCAATGTTGAGCTTCTGGTGCTTGAGGTGGATGCGCTTAAAGTACGCGTCGGCTGCATGCAAATACGGCAGCGCCTCCTCCAGCTTCTCTCGCTTCCAGAGGTCCGCGGCCTTGTCCTTGACGCGCAGCATTTCGTGCCAGAGCACCGAGATGTCATGAACCTCGGCGGCGTAGCATGCGTCGACGTTACCGGGTTTGGAGCCGAGCACAGCGGCCTTGGCGAGGCTCCAGATCGCATGCGGCGACGCGGTCCACGCCAAGTCCTTCTTGGCGAGCATCTTGGCGATGCGGTCGTTGGCCATGACAAGGAAGCGCACGCAGCGGTCCTCGGGCTGGATGCCAAAGGCGCAGAGCGTCGCGAGCTCATTCGCGATCGCGACCAGGTTTTTCTCGATGACGGACGCATTGAGGTCCGAGAGGTGGGCCTCGACCACGAGACTACGCAGCTTGAAGGCGAGCGAGAGGCCTTCGACGTTCTTCGTCTCGCACGGGCGAACACGCTTGCAGCTCATGTCCCAAGAGGCGGTGAAATCAGCGACTGAATGTCAGCGGCCGCCGCCACGGGACGGCGCACTCCGGCTCTGCGCCAGGTCCGGTGCCAACCGAAGCCACCACGTGGTCGAGACATCCGGACCGTGTTAATGCTTTGTTATAATTGCCGTCACAACGGCAATTGGACAGAAAAGAGGCAACTGGACAGTCTAACAAGTCGCGTTACGCGCATCGCACCTTGGTCGAACGCGCGCACAAACGACATTCTTGCGTCGTGTGAACGCTTGTCGATGAAGAGGTGCGCTAGCCTGCTGGAAGCTCCTGCTGGACGGATTTGCTATGTCGTCGTCCCGCTGGCTCGTGCACATGGTGGGTGAAGTAATGCAAATTCGCACAGATGAGTTGTATTGTCTGATCCGAGTCATGGCCAGCTTACGTTTGATTGGACAAGATGTGATGTGGCGCGAATTCGATGACGGGCGACTTGAGTTTGCTATGAAAAGATACGGCAATGTGGCCGTGGTCGTGGGCTGGTCGTTGGGACCGGGCGCACTAACGGGGAAGCAGGTGGAAGTTCCCTCCGTAGCCGCTGGCGACTGCGTTTCTCTTGTCCACGGCTCATGCCAAAAATGCGTTGCACTTGGTCGCGGGAGGTCCTTGCCTGGATGCAGCGATGCACCCAGCACACAGTTTGCACTCCAAGCATTTGCACCTAGCTGCACGCGCTGGCACTCCTAAAAATATGCGACGAACGCCATCTCGCCCGCTTCGACTTGGCCAAAGCCCTCGAAAGAAAGAACAAAAGCGATGGCGTTCATCGTCAAACGCACTCCCATGCGAGCACAAGCTGATTCACCGAGCTTACATTGTGTAAAGTTTCGATCGTGGCACCAAGAGCCAGCATGCCGTTGGCGTCTCTGCAGTCCAATTGTACCCAGCCCTCTCCTCGCTTCGATGCTGGAACGGAAAGGAACGCGCGATGGATCCTGGATCAAAAGACACAGCTGCGCTTTCTTTTTATCTGGACTTGGTCAATGGATTCGAACGTGTCGTCGGCACGAAGTCGCGTCTGCACGAAAGTCCAAAGATGCGCAGAATCATATCTTGGGTGCGGGATTAAACTTTCATCTTCCAGAGCTTCAACTTGAAGCCAAACATCTCCGAGAGCGCCGACGAGAACGCCGAGAGCACAACGACGCGCGTGATGTTGTACAAGAGCGGGTTCATCGTCAGCCCCGAGATCTTATTGGGCGAGTTGAGCTCCTACATGCACAATGTCAACAACCAGTCCATGGGGCATCGATCGACCTTGAGGAGCTTGGAGGCGAGCTTGAGCACGTTGTTGGAGATGAGGAGCTTCTCCTTCTTGTGCGGTGTCATGAGCAGCTTCAGGTACACGTTCATTTGCTCGGTCAAGAGCAACGACGTGTTTTGGTACTTGCGGTTGATGTTGGAGCCGAGCATCATGAACCGCAAGAGGAAAAAACTATGCGAGCGTTCGCCTCTCATCCTGTCGGTATTTCGTGCACTAGTACCTCGAGAGGAGACACCACAGCGTCACTTCCGTGTGCACGAGCGTCGAGAAGAGCGACGCCGAGCTCGGAAGCGTCTCGGACACGGCTTGGACGCCCATGACGGCGAGGAAAAGCAGCACAATCAGAAACGACGTCGACACGATCTCGTCGGCCGCTCGCTGCCGACCCTGGCGCTTGAGCCACGACCGACCACCGCGGAGACTCAGCCACGCCTTGATGTTGACAACGTTCTTGAGCCGAAAGTGCGGCAAATGCGACGCCCGCGACCGCCGCGCCGACGTGAGCGCCGTAAAGCACTTGGCGTATCTAGCACGGTGCCGCCATGAGTCTCCTGCAACGAGACGTCTGGGTACAGGAAGCGGCGGTGGTACGTAACTTCGGCGTCCGCGAGTGCGGAAAAGATGAGCGATGCCAAGATAAAGGTCGCAACCGTGCACGAAAGCGCCGCGACAGCATAGAGACCCATGTGTAGCCATAGCTTCCGCTCCAGCGTCGCCAGCGGCATCGTCATGAGTGCCATCACAACCGAGCGCACATGCTACGCGCATTCGTTGTCAGTGACTTGAACAAAGCAACGCACCTCAAAGATCATCTTGGGGTCGTACACGTCAATGTTGTGCTCGGTCGAGTAGCTCAGTGCCCGGTGCGTCCACGGGACGAGTGCGATGATCGTCGCGCTCATGCGCGCCGCGATGCGGTACAGAGACCGCGGCGGCGTTGCTTTGACCTACTTCTGTATGGATCCGGAACGCCACCATGAAATGTTCTACCTTGAGCAAGATGTTGGACCGCAGCTCCGCAATCGTCATCGACTCCTTGATCGGAATCCCGCCTTTCCAGACAACGACTTTGACACGTCGGTGCGTAAACGTGTCGCCAAACGACGGTTCGCTAAAGCTTCGCGTGGTGCGGCGCTATGCAGGCGACAACGATTCATCACGAGTGCCCTTGCGACACCAACAAGAACGTACGTCGCCGTCGAGTGGGGAGCCGCGATTGGGGGGCGCGTTGCCGTGCAATTGGTGCTTCATGCCATCGGTGTCTTCGTCGCTCGATGACGAGGCACCACCGTCGCTGTCGCTGTCGCCGCTTTCCTGCGACGAGCCTTCGGACTCGAGCAGCGCCGTGTCCAGCCCTTCGTGCTCGCGCTTGGTTGTCGCCGACAATTTGGCCGTCGGTGCCGGCGACGTCGGCGAGTTCAACTGCAGCGTAATGTGGCCGTCGGGGTCGGCCGATAAGACGAGCGACGAGACGCGTCCATAGCCGCACGACGTGAGCGTCAGGAGCACATAGGGCGCCCAGACCTCGAACGACGTGAGCGTCGATGCGCTCGTCGTGTCGCCGCAAAAGTACCAGATCGTGACGCAGAGGTGGCCGACGTACACGGCCGAGGCCAAGTAGTAGAACACAAAGTTCTACGTCCATTCTCCTGAGCCTCCAGCGAGCGCGCATCGCAGCAACCTTTTGCGTCCAATACTCTGGAAAGAACGGAAACAAGATCGCGCGGTAGAAGCCTTGGCGCACAAGCCGCTTGTCGTACTTGCTCGGCTTGGTGTTGAAGAAGGCCGACCTGCATTCCATTGTCCATGAGCCATACTACTTCGCTTCCTGGCGTACCCCTTGATGACGTCAAAGTCGATGAACTCTTGGTTGAACACCGTTTGCACGGGCGGCAGCTCGTACTTGCGCGATGCCCGGTGCTTGTGCGCCGCTGCATCTAGGCGCCATGAGCCCATGGTCACGTCCATACCCGTACCTGGCGCAGCTCCCTTCTCATGCGTGCTCTTCCGCGCCCGGAGCGTTCGTGGCGCCGCCGTCGTCGCCATCCCACGTCGTGAGGATGGGACAGTTACGACATCCGGACGCTCTCCGCATATCCTTATCCGTATGGTCGCTGGCCAACCTTATCCGGCCATATTTATCCGGACTTCCAGCCCTCCGGCTGGCGCTAGACGCACGCAACTCAAGCGGGGTCGTGGTGCACGTCTGGGCGGAATCATATCGAGGTCCGCGCACTGGACAAACGTACGAGCCTCTGATTACGCGAGGCCTGTGCTGCGAGTTGTTGACGCAGTGGCGTGATTTTAGTATAGGAACGCGTAATCTCGTCGCGCTTCTTCAACATCCCGCCAACCGTCGAGAAGCCGAGTCGTAACCGGCTTTAGTCTGCCTTCCTCTGCGCCATGACCACGAAGACCTTGCTGCACGCTGCCTGTACTGTCAATGGCGACCCCATGAGCCTCTCGCTGCAAGAAGACGGGCTTGTCCTAGCGCGTGGTGCGGCGCCGATGACGACGATCGCATGGGCCGACGTCCTTGGCGCGTCGGCGACCGAGACCACGCTCACGATCCATACGTGCCCGCGCCAGGGCGAGGGCACGCGCAAGCTCCGCACGCTTGTGGCCAAGAGCGACGACACGACCCTGTTGGCGCACTTCGCCATCGCCACGCACTTTCTGGCGCGCTTTGGCTGGGCGCCGGAGCGCAGCCTCGATGACATGTTGCACGCGACGCCGGCACCCCGCGTACGTCGTTCGAGCTCACGAGCGAGCCACCCTGCTAATGTACATGCGTAGAAATGCCTCGTGCTCATCAACCCCATCGGCGGCTCGGGTACAGCGACAGGCGCGGAAGGGGCGCGATGCTGACTCATGTGTTCTCTGTTCTCAGGCAAGTCGGAAGCCATGTTTGAGAGCGTGCGTGGCTTCTTTGACGCGGCCAGCATCGACGTGACAACCCAGTGCACCGAGTATGCGGGCCACGCGACCGAGATTGGGCGCACGCTGGACCTTACAGCGTTCGACTTTGTGGTGTGCGTCGGAGGGGACGGGCTCGCGTCCGAAGGTATAAAGAACCATCTTGCATTCCTCGTTTGACGACGCTGCGCCTGCGTGTAGTCGTGCAGGGCCTCATGCGGCGCCTCGACTGGCACGACGCGATTCGCTTTCCGTTCGGGGTAGGCCCAACCCTTGCAACATTACGATTGGATGGACGCTGTCGTAGCTCATTCCGGGTGGCTCGGGCAATGGCCTTACACAATCACTTACAAAGCTGCTCGGCGAAGCCTTTGAGCCTGAAAACTGCGCCTACCTGATCGTCAAGGGCGCGCCGCAGCCCATCGACATGATGACGGCGCGTGCGTCATGCGATGGTCGACGTCATCCACTTATTACGTGCTGCGTAGGCAACGCCGAGCAAGAAACGTTCTACAGCTTCCTCTCGCTCGCATGGGCGTTCGTCGCGGACGTCGACTTGGAGTCGGAGACGTACCGGTTCCTCGGCGGCGCGCGCTTCACGATGGCGTCCGTGGCCAAGATCCTCTCTTGGAAGCGCTGGCACGGGACACTCTCGTATCTGCCGATCGAGGCCGACGAGAGCAGCGAGAGCGGGTTCTGGGAAAGCAACCCCACACCATCGGGGTCGGCCCCACAGCTCGACCTTCTGCACGACATTTCGGCGCCCGTGCCGACACATTGGAAAACGATCGAAGGACCGTACTCGTTCTTTTGGGCGACGAGTGCGGCCCTTCCGTCGTCTGACTGCCACCTCGCGCCTGGTGCGCACATCAACGACGGCTACATTCACATTATTGCCGCGCCTGAGAATCTCTCGATGGTTGCGCAGACCCAACTCCTCTTGGGCCTCGATACAGGCGCGCATATCGAGTACCCGTTCGTCCACGTCATCAAAACCCGGTACACATGTCTGTTGTCTTTTCGCGCGATGCGACGCGACCGAACAGGGCCTACCAACTGCGGCGCACCGACACCAACTACGTTTCGATTGACGGCGAGCGCCTCGGTGGCGAGACCATCCAGGTACACATGTCGCATATGCTTGATACATTGATACAAACCCAGGCAGGTGCAAATGCACAAGGGCCTCGGGCGCGTCATGTGCTTGCCACTGCCGGCGCAGACGTAATGGAATCTGTATTACACAACGTGTCGTCTAGCGAGGTAATCGTATCTACTTGAAACGGAGCGCAACGAGCTCCTTGACGCAAAACACCGTGAGCAGGAGGGCCATGGTCGCCGTCGACTTGGAGGCGAGGAAGCCCGCACCACGCGACGAGGGAGGGTCCTAGCACCAGATGAGCGTTCGCGGCAAGAGGGCGGTCGACGACGCTGTTGTACGTACAGTCTTGGTCAGTTGGCGGAGACGGTCCTCCCGCTCTTTGATCTCGGCCTTGAGCTTTTCGATTTCAGTTGTCGGCGTCGGAATCGACCGCGAGAGAACGCCCGACGGAAGCGACCGCGGCTTGGGTGCTGTCGCATCGACGACCGGCGCCGTGTCCGTCTTGGCATCGGCCATAGTGGCGCACTTCTACACAAATCCGTGAGCGTGATGGGATTGTAGGGCATCGTGTCGGTACCGCAGCCAGCTGCTTCACGTCGACGTCAATGTCGCGGCCAACCGCCGACTGATGCACGGCGCGCAGCGTATCCAGCTGCTCTTGGAGAGTCGCCAGCTTGCTCTGAAGCGACTAGATCATCCCCGTCAGATCGGCAGCGTTGCATGTATCGTTCGAGAGCTGTACCTTGACCTTGGCGCTCTCGCTCGGGGCGGCCGCTTGCAATGCGCTCGCCGCCACCGACGAAACGGCTTCGACAGCGCGGGGAGCGACTTGGAGCGATTTGATTGTGGCGACATGCGTCGCAATGGTTGCCTACGCACGTATGAGCACCGAAAAGCGCTCTTCTTGTCAGTACCATGGCGCTCGACTTGTCCGCGTCGAGCTTCTCCTCGAGCTTGACGAGCTGAGTCTCTAGGTTCTGGACTTGCTCCTGGCTCGCAACCTTGCCTTCCTGGAGCTGACGCACCGTTTGCGCCAGCCCTTCGGCAGCAACATCACGCTCGTTCTTGGCAACCTCAAGCGACGCGTACTGCGCCTTGAGCGCGCGAAGTTCCGCGGTCACCTCGGTGAGAGCAGCGTTGTGCTCCGACTTGGCAACCTGAACAGCGTCGATGGCATCGAGAAGCTGCGCAGCACGCGCATCGCGATCCGCTTCGAGGGCTGCACGCTGCGCTTCGGCGGCGTGCAGCTTGGCCTCCACGTCGGCCGTTGACGCCGCTGCGGTCGTCGAGAGGGCCGTCTCGTACTCGGCTTTGGCAGCAGCGAGGGCCTCCACCAACTTTGTTTCGACGGCGCTGCGTTCCGCGTTGGCGTCGGCAAGAGCAGCCTCGGCAGCTCGCGTGCGACTCGACTCGGCCGCCAGAAGCTCCGCATGCCGGTCGTTCGCATCGGTCAGCGAGGCTTGAAGAGCCACAAATGCCGCTTCGTGTTCGGCCTTGGCCGTGGCTTGCGCCGTTTGCAAGGTCGCGATCGTGTCGTCGTGCACCGCCAGTGCCGCCTACAACGAGAACATTCGGGCTTCGATTTCCGATGGAACCGAAGCACTGTACCGTTGCGTTCGTCAATTGGGCGCGGGTCTGGTCAAGCTCCGTCTCGAGACGTGCCACTGCCGCCGCGTGGTTGGCGGTGGTTTCGCGCAATTGCTCCTCGAGAGCCGCGACCGACGCCGCGTGCTCGGCGACGGCCGCGGCATGCGAGGCCGCGTCGTCTGCCATTTGGCTTTCAAGCGCAACGATTGTCGCCAACGCAGTCGCCTTGGCAGAGAGCGCTGTCTGCACATCAGCTTGCGTCACCGCCTGATGCACCGACGCTTCGCTCAACGAGGCCTCGAGTACCGCCACCGAAGCCGCAATCGCGTCGCGTTCCGCCTCAACGGCCTCGACGGCAGCCGCAGTGTCGCGGAGCTGGGTCTCGACAGTCGACTTTGCGGCCGTCAGTTCGATCAACTTCGCTTCGAGTTCAGCAGCCGTTGCCACCGACGCTTTGTTGATCGCGGTGAGGCTCGCGACTTGAGTCTCCAAAGCAGCAATGGCAATGTCGCACTTGGCCTTGGCAGCTTCGGCAGCAGCCATGGCAGTCTTTGCCTCTGCGACTTCTGCAACAAGCTCGGATGCCGTTGCGATTTGCGACGAGATCGCCGCGTCGCGGCTAGCCGTCAGCTCAGCGATCTTGGTATCCATCACCGAGACGGCAGCGTCGTGGCTGGAGGTGAGCTCGGCGATCTTGGCTTCAAGAGCGGCGATGCTGGCATCACGCTCGGCCTTGGCAGCTTCAAGAGCAGCCGTGGCCTTCTCCGCCTCCGAGAGCTTGTTCTGGAGCTCCGACGCCGAGGCCTCGTGCGACGAGACGGCAGCGTCGTGGCTGGAGGTGAGCTCGGCGATCTTGGCTTCAAGAGCGGCAATGCTGGCGTCACGCTCGGCCTTGGCAGCTTCGAGAGCAGCCGTGGCCTTCTCCGCCTCCGAGAGCTTGTTCTGGAGCTCCGACGCCGAGGCCTCGTGCAACGAGACGGCAGCGTCGTGGCTGGAGGTGAGCTCGGCGATCTTGGCTTCAAGAGCGGCGATGTTGGCATCACGCTCGGCCTTGGCAGCTTCAAGAGCAGCCGTGGCCTGCAGCTGCTTCTCGAGGGTAGCACGATGGTGGTCTGTTTCACGAAGTTGTGCGTCAAGGTCGGTCGTCACCTGTTCGTGCTTGGTAGTGTTTTCCTGAAGAGTGGCCTGGAGGGCTGCAAGCTTCTCTGCCGTGGCTGCAAGTGTCGTCTCGAGAGCAAGCTTCGCGGCCGTTGCCTCGGAGATTGATGTGTGCATCGCAGCCTTCTCCGTTGCATGTTCAGCGAGTGCTGCACGCAGCTCTTCTTTGATCGACTTGCGCCGTGCGTCCGTTGCCGAGACCTTGGCTTCAAGCGTGGCAATCGCAGCCGCGTGCTCGGTCGCCAAGGCTGCCATGGCACCCGATGACTCGGTGCTCTTGGCTTCCAGCGTCTGGATCTTGATGGCATGGCTCACGGTAGCTTCGGCGAGCTGGGTCTCGAAGGCGTCGCGCTGCGTCTCGGCAGCGGTCAACTTCTCTTGGAGGCTGGCGACGAGCTTCTCGTGTTCGATCTTCATCGTCTCGCGCAGCGCCGCGTGAATGCTGAGCTTGGTCTCAAGCTTCTTGACGCGCGACGCGTGCTCGGCTGCCGCTGCTTCATGCGCCCCCGCAGCTTCAGCCAACTGCGCTTCGAGGTCCGCGCGCGCTTCGTCGGCCGCGTCGAGCTTCGAGTCGAGTTCTGCGATCGCCTCGTCGTGCGCAGCCATTTGCTCGTCGACCTTGGCGCCAAACGCAATGAGCATGTCTTCGTGCGCAGCGACAGCCTCCTCATGGGACGTCTTGGCCTCGGCCAGCTGCGCGTTGGCCGTCGCCAGTTGCGCTTCCAGGGCCTCAACAGCCGCCTTGTGCTCGGCTACCATCGTTTCTTGCGTCGTTTCCAAGGTCTGGCTCTGCACTGCGTGGTCCACCATGGCCGCTGCGTGGAGGTCTTCGGCTTGGACGCGGGCGGCGTCAGCGGCGGCCAGTGCCGCTTCGAGACGTTCAATCTCCATCGCGTGCTCGGTCGCCGCGTCCGCCGACTGCTGCGTCATCTTGGCGTCCATGGCAGCAATCGCGTCGTCGAATTCTTCTTGGAGCGTATCGAGCGCGTCGTTGGCTTCCTCCAAGCGGGCAGACACGGCAGCACACGCCGCGTGTTCTGCCTCGAGCGCCTCGAGCTTGAGGCTCAACGCCGCGAGTTCGCCTTGGAGCGACGTGATGGTCGTATCCTTCTTGGAAATCGTCCACTCGAGCGTCGTCTCGGCGTCCGCGATCGCGTCGTTGAGGTCTTTGGCTTCCATGCGCATCTCGAGGATCTTGCTGTCCTTGTCAGCGTTTTCCTGGTCGAGCCACTGGATCTGCACGTCGGCTTGCGCCAGCTTGGCTTCGAGCGCGTCCATTGAGGCTTCGTACTGCGCCTTGGTTGCAGCATGCGCTGCCGCCGCCTCCTTGGCGTCGACGGCGACCGCAGCCGCCTTGGCGTGCGCGGCTACTGCTTCGGCCTTGAACGAGTCGATCTCGGTCGCCATGCGCGCATTGTCGAGCTCGAGGCGCGTCAGATGCACGCGGCGGAAGAGCCCCACGAGCTTGGCCGACGCCGTGAGCCAGAGGCGCATCTTGCGCCAGTGTTTTTGCGCTTGCATCTTTTTGCGCAGTGCGTTGGCTTCCTTCACCGCAAGGTACCGCCGGACCTACGCACCATCGACTTTATACATCGTTTGAACAAAGGCACACGAACCTGCGACTGGAGCGCGATGGAAGCACGCTTCTGCCGGACGTGCTCAAGGAGCTGGACAAAGGCGCGCTTGGCGAGGTACGTCATGCAGGCCGACTTGCCGAGCTTCTGGACGTACATGGTGCGCTGGAGCGGTCCGAGCCACTGGAGGAGCCACTTGGAGTCTTGTTTCACGTCCTTGCGAAGGAGGAGTGCGTGCAGCAGCGTCATCTTCTCTTCGACGCGACCTTCAAACGCCGACTGCACGAGCAGCTTGTCCTTCATGCGGCTCCAGATGCGCGAAATGCGCAGTTTCTTGCGGATGGCTTCGATGCGGCGGCAGGCGCGGCGCTGGCGCCACCAGCACTGCAGCATGATCGCCTTGTGCCGCATTTGACTCGCGAGGAAGAGCTTCTCGAACGCCTTGGCGACCATCACCTTTGTGACGGCGCGGAGCCAGCGCTTCTTGACGAGGTACTTGTTGAGCGTCGCGATGAGCAACTCGACCGAGATCCACTCGGTCGCATTTAAGAGCTTGTCGAGCAAGTCGACCTTGCCTACAGAAACAACATATCGCATGGCGTGTCGGAATACTGCCTTTGGGACGTACCCGCCTTGAAGAAGAGACGCGACTCGCCAAACCGAACCGCGTCGAGCGGAATCTCGAGGGCGTGGCACAGCCCCTGCGTAAACACGCGGGGCTGGGACTCGTACTTGGTGAGAAACGACGGCGGCACCACCGGCGCGTAGACCGCGAGGAGCTCGTGGTACGCGACGCGCGTCGGGAGGCCGACCTGGAGCACCTGGCATGCTTGGACGGTCCCCGAGCAGCGCAGTTGACTCAGAACACTGTCACGGTCAAAGAGTGTCGGGTCCATCGCCGCGTTGGGCTTGATGCACCGGATAAAGTTGCAGCGCGTGCTGTCGAGCTCGGCCGCAAGCCCCTTCATCTGCTGCGAAAACATCTTCGAGATGCTTCCGACGTTGCGCGACGAGAAGACCGTCTCTTTGAGCACGTTGAGCGTCGAGCTATGGATGAGGTCTTGGAACTGCACCGACGTCACGTTGTTGTTCTTGTCAATGAACGAGTCGATGCGGTAGTGCACCGTGCCCGCAAAGTGCTTGATACAAAAGTCGTGGTGCGCGTCCTTGGGGTGCGGCAGCGGAAAGCTAGTCGTATTTCTTGTAAATCGCCACGCATAAAACGGGAAAATGTACCATGGGTGCTTCTTGAACGCTTGGTGGAGCTTCTCGTTGAGCTTCTTATCGCACGACCCGGCGAGAATGCCGACCGTGTCGATCATGGCAAAGATGCTGTCGTAGCGGCCCGCGATGAGCGAGAGACACGCATGGTTGTCGTCGTAGTGGATTTCCGTCGAGAGCTCGTCCAATCGGCGCCTAGTGGACACCACGCATAAGAACTGGTCGTCTCAAGACTCGACGGACGGGATCGGCGCTGTCGCAAAGGTACTCGGGTCGAACGCAAAGCGAAGCCCGATATTTTGCGGCGCAAAGACGTGCTCGGCTTGGTACAATTCTTGCTCGGCCTTGAGAATGCACACGTTGAACATGTCTTGGAGCGTCTCGTTGGCGTAGTTGATCAAGAGCTGCTCAAACGAGTTGCGGTTCATGGGCTCGAAATCCTCGAAACCAAAGATATCGAGGACGCCAATGTACGGCAAGACGTCTTGCGCGTCGGCGTTGTACTTGAGCGCGGCCGCACACTTGCGCATGAGCCAGCCAAACACCTACGCCACGCTCAGCGTCGCTAAACTAGTCGAGTGCAATGTACTTGTTCGTAGATCATCTTGGCGATCGTGTCGCGCGAGTAGCTCGCTTGCTTGACGTCCTTCTTGACCACGTACACAGACGCTTGCCGCTGGAACGTCTGCCGGCGGTCCGTGCCTCCGGCGCTGTTTTGGCGCGAGATGCGGCGGCTCGTCATGACGTTGAGGAGCGTGTCGGCGCGCAGCCCGAGGAGGTCGGCTGCGATCGAGAGCGCGTCGTCCATCTCCGGTGACGTCTGCAGCGTCGCCGTCATGCCTTGGTTGGTGTCCTCTTCCTCGAACGTCACGTTGCCGAGGTGGAGAAGACCAGCGACCACACGCGTGAGCTCGTTCGTGTCGATGCCGATCTTCTGGAACGCGCCAAGCAGCCGCGCAAAGTTGTTGCGATCGTCCATGTTGGTCGCGTGCACGCAGCCCGAGACGTTGAGGTACCGGTACGTGCGCATGTGCTCCTCGACGTCGCCGCCCTTGACCTTGTCGTCGTACGGGTTGGGCACGAGCTTGAGGGACTCAAGCAGCGGCGCGTCGCCCGACCGGAGGAGCTCGTAGAAGACGTGAAAGTTGCGCTCGCCCTCGGGCGGCATGACGAGGCGGGACTTTTCGAGCAAGTACGTGTCGATGGACGCGCCCGAGAGCCGCAAGAGCGAGTTCTTGGCGCTGGCATCCTTGGGCGTGAACTGGAGGCGCATGTACTTGCCAAAGCGCGACGAGTTGTGGTTGCGGTGCGTCTTGGCGTTGCCAAACGACTCGAGGATCGGGATCGTCTCCATGAGCTGGTCGCCGAGCACGTGTTCAAAGTCCACCTGCTTGGACCGCGTCGGCTTGGCGCTTGCATCCAGTCCCGACCGGGCCGTCAAATAGTCCAAAATGATCTTGGACGTCTCGGTTTTGCCCGACCCGCTCTCACCCGAGATGATGATCGACTGGTTCTTCTTGACCGTACGCATTTGACGATAGGCACTCTACGCAGGATGAGGATAGGATGTACTCGTATGCACGGAGGCGATGGTACCTCGGACACTTGGTACGGATGCGGCGGCGACTTGTCCAAAGCGTTCTGCACAATCGCGGCCTTCTCGGGGTTGGGCAGCACCTTGAGCGGGTTGACCGCGATGAGCACGTTGGACATGGCCGTGTACGTCAGGCGATCCGTGGCCACCCAGCGGTCGTGCAAATTCTTGACCAGCGCGGCTTCGTGCAAGTAGCGCAGGCTCGTCATGTCGGCGCAGTGGCTAGTGGCATGTTGTAGTAGCCATTCACATCGGACGCGAGTACCTCGTGAGCGGGTTGGCCGGGCGCAGCTGCGCGGCCTCGACGTCGTGCTCTTCGTTGGGCAGGAGCGCGCCAGTGGTCTCGTCGACGAGCCCAACCGTGGCCATGCCATTCTCTTGCTGCGATAGAAGCTTCGCGAGCGTCCACTGCGTCGGTCCATCTTGCTTCCAGAAGAGGTCGCCGATGCGAAGCGTCGTAGGATCACTGGTGTCGCGCATCCCTCTCGCCGTCGACTCCTACTGTACGTGGGCGGAGCTTGTTTTTGCAAATGAACGTGGGCTCCGGCGCGCAGCCATCCGGATACGAAACCGATCACTCTCATCCGGATAGACAAGACGGCTGGGTACATTCCCTTGCCACGTATCGAATGGCCATGTGGATTGGAATCGAAGCGCGGGCAACTTGTCTGCATTGCGGATCGTTCATTGGATTGTGAAGGAATTGCCCAAGGAAAAGCCGGAAAATTGGCCAGTATACAAAAGCAAGGATGATTTCTGCTGTCCAATGCAGGGCGTTGCTAGACATGTCGGACGTCGTCGTCGTCAACGCAGTGAGTACAGCATGTCGCGCCCAGGGCAAGGACCTGCTCGTTGGGTACGTACGGAGCTGCCTTTGCTCCAGGGCCAAGCATGCTGCGCGCACAGGTCGCATTTTTGACTCGGATCAGACAGAGCGCTCGGTGTCTTTGACACAGCCCCACAGACACGGGTGCGAGAAGCGATCTTGCGCTCCATGACAGAGATCCTACGCTCTCCAGGTGTACCTTGCATCACCTATCACGCCTTCTATCAGACATGCCAGTAGCTATGCTCGTATACGAGCCTCCGCCAATGGCATCGCGCGCTTTTGTGAAAAGCGCCGACTTTTGGCCAATCCAATCCAAGTTGAATGCGAACCCATCGCGCTGGGCGCTGAATGCAACCCTACAGATCGCATCCCACTCTGTCGCTGCCCGTGCTTGGACCGTCGCGCTGGTCCATATACCAATTCTCCATCGACCTACCTCCACATGACCGACGAGTCACCCCAGCGCTCTGCCGTCTTCCGCGCCGGCGACCTCTACTGGCGCAAGGACGGCCCTTCGAGCCATGTGCTCGGCCAAGTCCTCGCCGTCAACGCTGACGAGGGCAGTGTGACCTTTGGCCTCGTCGACGAGACGACGGGCAAGCGCATCGAGAGCAGCCCGCCCCAAGTCCTTGATGTCGCCACGTACCCGCTCTTCCCTGCCAACCCACTGCAGACGTATGACGCCATCGCATGCATGTGCATCCTCATAGAGCACCTGCCTGTCTTCTTAGGAGCTGCGCCGACATGACGTCGCTGCGCTACTTGCACGAAGCCGCGCTCGTCAAGAACCTCTACGACCGCTGGATGAGCACGGACCGCGAAGCCTACACGGCCATGTCCAACGTCCTCATCGCCGTAAATCCGCTCAAGTACCTACCGCACCCCGAGAAGCAAATCGTCGTGTCGCAGTCGCTCGACAAGTCACCGCCCCACCCGTACCAAGTGGCCGAGGTACATGCTTCCTAGTCCCCTTTTCTTGCGTCTTGACTGCGGCATCGATCGTGTAGAGCGCATACCGGCAGATGCGCACGGTCAAGCAGAACCAGTCGATCGTCATTTCGGGCGAGAGCGGAGCCGGCAAGACCGAGACGTCCAAGATCATTTTGGACTATTTGGCGGACCGGTCGAGCTTGGACGCGAAGGGCCACGCAAGCCCCGAAGAAGAGCACGCAGTCCTCGAGCACGCGCTCGGCGACCGCCTCATGGAGACGATCCCGATCCTCGAGTCGTTTGGCAACGCCAAGACGCACCGCAACCACAACTCGTCGCGCTTCGGCAAGTACATGCGCCTCCAGTTCACGCCCAAGGATGTGAGCGACAAGGCGACCGTCCTCCGGCTCTCGGGCGCGTCCATCGACACGTACTTGCTCGAGACGTCCCGCCTCGTCATGCCGCCCGAAGGCGAGCGTAACTTTCACGTCTTCTACGAGCTCATGCGGTCGGCAACAAGGCGCTGCTGCAAAAGCTCCACCTCGTGCCCAACCCGTACGACGACGACGCACGCAAGCAGAGTGTCGAGGACTACATGAACACGTTCACGTACCTCCGGTCGTCGCAGTGCTTGACCGCTGACAAGATCGACGACCGCGCCAACTACCAGAAGCTTGTTGCGGCCTTGGACTACGTTGGCATTGACGCCGACGAGCTCTTCCGCGTCGTCGCGGGCCTCTTGCACCTCGGTAACGTCGCCTTTGACGAAGAGGACACGAACGAAGGCACGACGGCGACGCTGCGTGCGAGCAACGGCAACGGCCCGGACTCGCCCGAGGTCACGAGCACCCACGCGAGTGTCCTCGATATTGCGGCCGAGCTGCTTGGGCTCCACGCGGACGAGCTCCTGAACGTGATGCTGAGCAAGAAGATCTCGCGCCAAAACAGCTCGGGCGGCGAGCGCATGCTGCGCCGGCAGTTCTCTGTCTACGTCGTCAAGAAGGACGTCAAGCAAGCGAGCTACTCGCGCGACACGATCGCCAAGATGATCTACGCGCAGCTGTTTGCGTCGCTCATGCGGCACTGCGCCGAGACGCTCGAGTTCAACGCTGCGCTCCAGGACGATCTGCCGTACATTGGCGTCCTCGACATCTTTGGCTTCGAGGATTTCGAGCCGCGCAACCGCAATTCGCTGGAGCAGCTCTTGATCAACTTTGCCAACGAGACGCTCCAGAGCATGTTCAACGCGTGCATCCTCAAGGCCGAGCAGGAGCTCTATTACGCCGAAGACGTCTACGCGCCTTCGAACGTCAACCTCGCGTTCGCTTTCGGTGACGCCCCCAACAACCCGCAGCCGTACGTCCGGTGATCGCACGACGGACAAGTCATACTGCGTTGACTAGGTTTACGCCGGCGCCGCACGCGCTCGTGTCGTACGCCGACAACCAAGAGTGCCTGAGCTTGATTGCCGGCCGCTACGACAGCCTCTTCTCAACGATGGACACGGTCGGGAAGCTCGCGGGCGCGTCCGATAAGAAGCTTCTCGACAAGTTCCACCAAGCGTTCAAGAAGCACCCGTGGTCCGTGCTTGTCGACAGAGAAGAAGAAGAGGTCGCTGATGTAGTATTGATATGTAGCTACCCGATGCCGCATCCGAAAGACGCGACCCATGCGTTCTGCATCCAGCACTACGCCGGCGTCGTCTCGTACGAAATTGAAGCGTTCGTGGACAAGAACAACAACGTGACGTCGATCCAGCTCCAAGACCTCATTGCGAGCTCGTCGCTCAAGATTCTCGGGTCGCCGACGTCGCAGGCGGACGCGCCGACGCTCGCTAGAAACCCCGGCAGCATCTCCAACACGTTTGCCAAGCAGATGAAAGGTCTTGCATCCGAGCTCGAATCGACGCGCTGCAACTTTATCCGGTGCATCAAGCCCAACGCGGCGATGGACCCGTCGCGCTTTGACCGCGACAGTGTTCTAAGTCAACTGCGCTGCTCGGGGACCGTCCAAGCATGCCAGGTGCTCCAGGTCGGCCTCCCGACGCGCGTCGCGTACCGTGAGCTCAAGAGCATCTACTCGGATATCCTCAGCAAGAACGTGCTCGAGAAATTTGACGGCAACGACAAGCTTTTGGCGCAAGGGCTCTGCGCGATCCTCGGGTTTCCCGCCGACGCCTTTCGTCTCGGCGAGTCGCGCCTCTTCTTCAAAGCTGGTACAACTCCTCGTGGTTTTGATTCCATGTCGATGTGTATTCTGTAGGCCAAGTGGACTTGCTCGATCGCCTCGTCAACGCGACCGCGCTGATCCCGGCGTCGGACCTCGACAAGAAGCTCTCGCACTACGTGGCCAAGCGGCATTGGCTCTCGGCCGTCACCAAGGTCGTCGTTCTGCGCCAGTTCCAAAAGCTCTTTGCGAGTGCGCGGCTTCGCCAAAAGGCCATTTTGCTCCAATGCTTTGTGCGCCAGCGCCTCGCGCGCGCCAAGGCCGCCAAATTGCGTCAACATGCTCGTGTGGCCGCGCTCTGGTCGCGCTTCCGCGAGCGCCTCGTCGTCCGCGCGGCGTTTGACGGCTGCAACGAAGAAAAGATGAGTCTCCTCCAGGCCCTCATGGTCGCGCCGCGCGTCTCGACAAGCGCCAAGTGGCTCCTCACGTGGCTCGGCCCGATGCAGCGCGCGTTGTACGTCCAGAAGCTCGGCAAGACGGCGTGCGTGACCTACCTCGCCAAGCGCGCGTTCATCCAGCTCCTCGAACAAGTCCGCGAGAAGCGGGCGTCAGTCGCGCTCCAGTCGCAGGTACCACCTACGATGCTCTAACGTGCCTCACCATCCCTGCAGGTTCGCCGGTACTTGGCCGCCAAGCAAGTCGAGACCATGCGCAAGAAGCTCGCCGCGCAGAAGCACTGGCAGCGCGTGCGCGTGATGTGGAAGGCGTCGATCTGCTTCTTTGCCCTCTACAAGCGGGCCCACCTTGTTGGCCTCGAGCGCGACCACGAGCTCCTCACGGACGAGAACGATGCGCTGAAGGCCGAGCTCGCGACGTTCGAGCGCCAGGTTGAAACGCTATCGACAGCAGCAAGTGAGCACAAGGCGACGGTCGAGGCGCTAGAAGCCAAGCTCAGCGACGTCGAGCACCGGTACACGTCGCTCAAGGAGACATTGATCGAGAGAGACGCGACGATCGAGGACCTTGAAGAGAAGCTCGCGGACGCCGACACGACCCTCGAGTGGACGATCAGCAAGAAGGACACGGCGATTACGACACTTCAGGGCCAGCTAGCCGAGATGGCCGCGCACCTCGCGAGCCTTGAAGCCTCCCACGCCATGTGTGCCGACAAGTACGACTCGGCAGTGGCGCAGCACTCGTCGCTCGTCAGCAGCCTCGAGGCCAAGGTGGCTGCCTTGGACGCTGAACAGCTTCGCACGACGGCACAGCTCCACGAAGTGACGATAAGCCTCCAGGCGGCTCAAACGGCGCACGACCTCAAGGTCTCAGAGCTTGCTGACCATCACACGGCGGCGACGACGACGGCGACCGAGTTTGAAAAGCGGCTCGAAGAGATCACGGCGGCCAAGGCTGCCGTCGAGACCCAGGTGCATGAGGTGACGAGTGCGCTCGAGGCGGCGGAAGCCAAGGCCCGCGATCTCGAAGGAGCAGCCTCGGAAGTTTTGGCTATGCGCGCGACGGTGGCTGAACAGGATCTGTCGCGTACCGAGATGGTTGCTACCATACACTTTCTGGAGGCCAAGATTGTAGAGGCCGAGCAAGAGCGCGATGCCTTGCAGGAAAAGCTCGTCCAAGCGCGCGCCAACCATACCGCTTTCGAAGTCGAAGCCGAGGCGCAGCACGTTGCTCTCGAGGGTCAACTTCACGACGCGATGGAGGCGCACAAGGCGGCCAACGACGAGCTCGCTCTTAGTGTTCAAGCTCTCGACGCCAAGTTGACCGAGTCGATGGCGGCCCATGATGCATCCAACGTCGAGCACCAGGCTACTGTCGACGCGCTCCAAGTCGCCATCGCTCAGCACGTTGCAGATCAAGAGGCGGCGCTTGCAGCTCACGAGGCGGCCACGGCTGCCTTTGAAGAGTCGCTCGCCCACGCCACAGCTCGCCAAGAAGAAGCACAAGCTACTTTGGATGCGGCCCATGCCGCCCATGCGACGGCTGTGGCCGAGCACCTAGCGACGGTTGCGGCTCTGGAAGCCAAGATGACGGAGCACGCGATCACGCACGACGCGGTTATCACCCAGCACGCGATGTCGATGGAGGCGCTGGAGGCGCAGTCGGCAGCGCAGCTCACCAACATCTCGGCTTTGGAAGCTACCGTGGCGGGTCTCGAGGCGGAGAAGGCGGCGCAAGCGGAAGCTTGTGCCACGCACTGCAGCGACCTTGTGCTTGCCCATGAGAAGGCTGAGACGCTCAAGGGCGAACTCATGGACGTCCACGCCCAGCTCGATCTGGCCCGTGCAGAGCTGCAGACGACAACGGTACGCTTTTTTGGAGGTGTTGAATCGCTCTTACATTGTGCTGTGTAGGACACGATGACAGCCCATGCGGCTACGATTGCGACATTGGAAGCGACGCTGCTGGCGACGGACGCCGCGCACATCGAAGCGATGGCGACCAAGAACACCGAGTTGCAGCACGCGAGCAACGCCTTGAAGGCAGCGCTGGTCGACTGCGATACCAAGTCGACTGTGATTGCGGTGCGCTGGACTGTGCTTCTCGTCGGTGTCTCATGGGAATGGCGTAGGAGCTCGAGACGTCCATCGCTGATCAACACGCCAAGCTGCAGCAAGCCGAAGCCGACTACGCGTCGCTGGAAGCGGACTTGACGTCGCAGCTTCACGCGCTCGAGGGCAGAGTGCACGACGAAGTGGCGGCCGCCGCTTTGCTTTTGGCGCGCATTGCGGCCCTCGACGCGCAACTTGAAGCGTCCACTTTCGACAACAACCAGCTCGAAGCCGAACGCGCCGCGTGCGCTCACGACCTCGCTGACCGCCAAGCGCGCGTCAGCGTCCTCGAGGCCCAAGTGCTGGCACTCGAGGCTCAAGTGCACTCGGCGGAGATCGAATCTGCTGCGACCGCGGTACGGCCGTCGATCGGAAAGTATCAAGCTGATATATGTCATGTAGCAAACCCTCAAGGAGCACACGCTCGCGCTAGCGACGGCCGACTCGAGCTACAAGCAGCTCCAAGAAGCGTATGCGACCAAGTCCGCGATGGCTTTTGTACGTCGTCTGCAGATGCTGCTGCTTGCTCCTAACACGAAAGGCGTAGGAACTCAAGCTGCTCGTGGCCGAACGTGACTTTGAAATCAACGCGCTCAAGTCGGAGCGCGACGGATCGTCGCGCACCCGCCTCGACTCGACGCAGTCGTGGCGCTCGGGCTTTGGCGACCTCCCCGAGCAGCTCGAAGAGGAAGTCAAGCAGCAGCAAGAGCTCACCAAGAAGATCCGGCAGCTCGTGCTGCAGTGCCGTTGGTAAGCCGTCTCGCCCGCGCCGGTCATCTACCCCGTGGCTGTACCTCCGTGCCCGACATGTTGTATTGAACCCGATGACTAGGACGCTTGAAGACACTCGAGTCTCCAAGCCAGAATGAAACTGTTAGTGTACATAATTGCATGTAAAAAACTGATTAGGTGTACATTGAGCACTCCAAGCAGCTACTGTATCTCAGGAGGAGGACCGGTCCAGTAGCGAGCGACGCCGAAGCAGGCTCACATGTCAGTCTACACCAAATGTTTCCAGCGGGACGATATCGCTGATTTAGATAGTACCCGCCTGTATGGACTCGCAAGGGTCAAGAAACAGTTTAGTAAAACTAGCCTGCGACGTCGGGTATCACTCAAGTACGTTTGTGGCCACCACGTCATTGGTTGGTGTAGCCCCAGTGTAGCCCAGTAGGTGTAGCGGCTCTGTCTGCAACGTCGACAGCGTTTTGAACCAGCTGCCGTTCGCTGGAAGCTGCCGCAGCATCAGGCGACGGATCTTGGCATCGATCTGCGTTGCGGAAGCGTTCGAAGAACCGACTACAGTGTGATAGTATGGTAGTAGCTCCGACTGGTTGTGCAAGCACTGGTCGAGCTGCCGTTAAGCAGCGTGTAGAGCACGATTGAGACCAGCGATGCGCGCTTGGATGCTGCAGACGGTCAAATATTGGCTGCATCTGAGACGTCGGACAGGCAATGGGCATCTCATTCGCGATCTCGGGCTTTTCGCTGTCGATTCGAACGCTGGATGGCGGCAGAGCCCCTCAGCATTGCACCCACTGCCGCTAGAGCAACCGCTCCGTGCCGCGTTGGAACGGATGCATCCAGCGTGGGCGATGAGTCCTAATGCCATTAGACACTGGTGCTGCATTGTGGCGGGCGCGGGAAGTTGAAGCTGCTGCCGTGTTGCTAGCGCTCCTGCGCGTAGAGTCACTTCGCGCGCGCAGCATTAAGTGGCGACCACCCGCCACGTCGTCGCTCTCGTGGCCGGGAAGGGCATGTCGCCTGCCATCGGCATGGGCGCGTCATCGCGTGACATACCGGCGTTCAACAAGCCGACTTGTCCTTTTTTTAAATACGTCTGACGACCCAACAGCAATGTGGGCATAATATTTTGTTTTCGTGCAGATGCTCTTGGTGTTTGTATGCCAATGGCACCTCGAATAAAAATACAAATCAGATCTGGGACTTGGTTTATAAAAAACACGTGGCAACACCACCCGAGATTGCCTTTGCCACTTGCAATATGCGCTGCGCCGTGTGCAAGAAGGACCAGGCCGCCAAGCAGTGCAGCCGCTGCGCCCGCGCGTCGTACTGCAGCCGCGAGTGCCAAGTGCGCCACTGGAATGCTGGCCACAAGAAGGTCTGCGCCGCCAAGCCCCTCGCCCTCTTTCCGCCCGAGACTGGCCTCCCGCCACTGTATCCTGGCCCGCCGGGCTGGCTCAAGAACCCGACCGAGTTTCTAGAGCGCGCGGCCGGTGACCTACCGTTCATGCCAACGCTCGCGCAAGAGTACGTCGATGTCCGGGACCGCGCTCGGTACGTACGGTACCTCCGGCACCACTACAAGAAGCTTCCGTGCGGCTTGACGACCGCGATTGCATTCCGCGACCACGTGCAAAACTTCAAGCAAGTGGGCTTTGACCTCGAGACTCTGTACGTCTACTCGACTCTTGGCGCACCCTTCACGATGTCGCACCTTGTAGGCGACCCGCCGGCGTCACGGACGAAGGTCAGTGGACATACGAGGTGCTCGTCTCGGTGCTCGGCACGCCAGCGCTCTTGCCGACGCCGCTGCGGCCAGAGCTACCGTACTTGATCCCGCGCTGCTCCGTGTGCCGCGTCGAGTGCACGAGCGAGTGCGCTTGTGGCACGCACTTTTGCTCGCGCGACTGCCAGCGCGCGACAATGAAGCGCCATACGCGGTCCTGCGACGCCAAGCGCAAGCAGTTTGCGTACGCGACGCAGCTCACGGCCAAGTACTGGGAGCTGCGCGGCCAGCGCCCGTCATAAAATTAAATAGAAACGCCTCGACCTGAACCGTCTAACGCCTCATTCAACGCATCCCAAGGGACGATGGCCGAGTCCAAGCCTGCGAGCATGTTTAGCCTCATCCAGCGCATCAGCGGGGCGGGCGATGGCGCGGGCAGTGACGACGAAGACGGGCAACGCAACAACGACGACGACGACGATGACGACGATGATGACGATGATGATGACGACGACGAGGACGACAACGAAGAAGACAAGCTCGCGTTTATTGAGGAGAACCCGCCGCTGGCCGCGATCCTCGACAAGTGGTGGCAGAGCTGCCTCACACTGCTCGATGGCGACCGCAACGGCACGATCGAGCGCGGTACGTCGATTTGCAGATGCACCTCTTGGCACTAGCATCGGCGTGGAGGCGAGTATGTCAACTTGTACAAACGGCTCATCTTTGGCACGTCGCGCATGTATGGGAAGAAGGCCAAGCTCAGCGACGACATTGACGCACTCATCGAGGTACTCGTTGGGTTGGCACTGCACTCGGCACGACCACGACGTGTGTAGGAAGACTGGCAACGCGACAGCGGCGGCTTGATCTCGATGGACAAGAACCGGTTTTGCTTCTCGATTTACGAGCTCGCCGAGGTGTGGGCGCGCGGCCAAAAGGTCAAGGCGTACGTCACCTATCTCACGGGTGGGTATCCACTCGTCGCACCATGTCGATCGATACCAAAGGGTAGAGCTCCACGAGTGGGTTTTTGTCAAGTTTGCCGACGACGCACCAAAGCCGGCCAAGAAGACGCCGCGGTCGACGACGAAGACGGCCAAGACACCCAAGCCCAAGACGCCGCCGCCCACCAAGACATCAACAAAGGCGACACCGAGTCCGTCGATCCCCCAGCGTCCAAGCGTCAAGCCGACACCAGTGCCAGTACGTTGCCTTCTGCGCTTTTGTTTGGTCGAGGTTGCGTGGTTGCGTGGCTAGCGTGCCGACATCCTTGTGCTCGCGCCGCCCGTCGTCGTCGACGGTCCGGTCGACGCACCTTTGGCGGTTGTCGATGTCGCCGACTTGATGGAGCCGCCGTCGATTCCAATGCCCGAGCCGCAACCGCCGACCGTTGACACGCCAAGCTACTTGAAGGCTAGCAACTCGGTCGAAGCTCGCATCGCTCTCCAAGTCTGTTGCCATAAACACATGAGCATTATCCCATCCACTACACCTATATTTCATTTAGGACCGCATCGAGGCGTGCCAGAAGCTCTTGCAGCCGCTCGCGCGCGTCTCGGAGATTGCGTGGCTTCGCTGCACGGCGCGGGAGGCCGACGGCGTTCTCTCGGACAGTTTGATCACCGCAGTGGAGATCACAGGTAATAGTACTATTACCAACGCATAGAATCCATGGCATCTGGCTTGTAGAGCTTGGCGAGCACGTCTGTGAAAAGGTATGAATGGGTGGCGACCTAACCCCTCGATCATACCGACCTAGCTCCGACGGGCGATTCTGTCGGCCGAGACCGCGCACATCCCCGACCTGACTGCGTACGTGGACGACGCCGAGCGCGACGTGCACTTGTACATTGCGCTCGTCACCGAGCTCGCCAAAGAGGCGCCCAAAATGCACAAGTCGCCCAAGAAAAAGGGCGTGCGGCCACCCAAGCCAACGCCGGCGCACGGCCCTTCGCACCACGAGCTGTGCTTTGGCTCGCACGCGCTCTCGTTCGACTTGCCGTCCATGCAGACATACGCGAAGCGCGTCGCGCCGTCGTACGCTGCGTACAAGACGAAGCCATCAGTGTTGTTGAAATAAATACACGCACCATGTGTATACACTACTCGGCGCCGTCGAGGCGGGTTCGAAGCGTCTCCCACGCGACGCGCGACTCGGTGCTGAGCGTGCGGAGGTCTTCGCAGCACTTGGCGAGGCTCCGTGCGACAAAGATGGACCGCGTCGGCTCGAGGTCCTTGAGCTGCCCGACGACGCTCGCCTTGAGCGCGTCCAGCGTCGTCTTGGCCAGAGGTAGTTTCGACAGCGCGTCGTCGCGCAGACTCACGTCCGGACCGTGGAGCGCACTCTCGAGCCCATCGACGGCTTCTTGCTTGGCTTTGACGCGGCCAAACGCCTCTTCGATCGCGCCCAGCTGCAGCACCTGCATGCGCAGCGTCTCCTGCACCGCGTGTTCCGACATGTCGGCGACGCCGTGGAGGTCTGCGCCAATGCCGCGCAGCTCGCCTTCAACGCGCGCCTGGAACGTATACAGCGACTGGCTCCGCTTGACAATGCCATCGTCGAGCTTGACCATGCGCCCGAGGAGGTGCCCGAGCTCCGTGAGCTCCGACGCTTGCTTGCGCTGGCTGCGCAGCGAGATCTCGCCCTTCTCGGCGGCTTTTTCGTACATGTGGCATCTACGCACGCAAACGTTAGAGGCGAGTCGCGTCACGGCCTCTACAGTTGCTCGTAGCTCTTGCGGCGCAATTGGAGCCACGCGTGCTCGCTGTCGACTTCGAGGAGCCCGTCGTCGTCGCCGAGGCCGGCCGTCGTCGTCACGAGCTTGGCCGCGCTCGACGTCAGCGAGCTCACAGCGCCCCACGCCCACTGCCCCGTCGACGCGCCGGTGCGCAGCCACGACGACGAGTGGCTCTTCTTGGGCTTGGGTGGCGCGGCGACGATGACGTCCGACGACAACTCGATCGGCGCTTTGGAGAGCTTGTACTTTTCGAGCTCTTCGGTTGAGAAGAGCAGAAAGGCGCGGACATCGTCGCCGCGGCTGAGCACGGGGTTGCGGAGGATCTCGCGCAGAAACGCCTGACCATGGCGGATGAGCAAGAGATGACAGAGAGAATACGATGACGCGGACCTGCAGCGACCGCATCCTCTCGTTGACAAAGTCGGCGTGGCCGTTGAAGAAGGTTTTGCCGGGCAGAAAGGGGACAAAGAGGCCAGGGGACGCGACGCAGAGCGCGTCATGGAGCCACACAAAGTCGCTGTACCGGCGGTAGACGCGGACCGAGGCGTTGGTTTGCGTCAAGTTGACGCTCATTTGGAGGCCATACCCAAGCTTGGGCGACGAGTAGATCCAGTCGCGCGCCGCCAGCATCGAGTCCATCGCGCCGTTCTCATTGGCAATGCAAATCTAATCCAATTTGAGACGGCGAGGAGGCGGAGGAGGACGTACCACAGTGTAGCGCGTGTACGGGAGTAGCCACGAGCCGACCGTGATCGGATCACAGACCAGTACGACCATGCGGGTTGGGTCTTGCTTGCCCGAGTGCAGCAGAAGCTGCGACTTGACACGGTCGACCTAAATGACGCACGGCATGGAGCTTGGAGGGACAAATACAAGCATGTGTAGTACCTGGGCTTGGAGCGCATTGGCCTTGGATTCGAGGTCGGCTGCAATCGCTGACGACGTGCTCGCGTCCTTCTTGATCTGTTGGAGCTGCAGTGCGTCGAGCTGCACTTGCCGCTTGAGGTCGTCCGTTTCGTTCTGAAGCTTCTCCGCGAGCGAGATGGCGTCGCGAGCACCGCGCTGCGCGGCCTCGGCGGCTTCTAGTGCGGCTTGGCGCTCGCGTGCGTTGATAGCGACTTGGTGCTGCAGCGCGCGGGCATGCTCCGCGGCTTGGTCGGCCTTTTGCTGGGCAATCTGCGCCGCCTGCTCAGCTTCGCGCGCAATCGTTTCCTTCTCTTTGATGATGCCGTCGCTCTGGGCGCGGAAGGCCGCGAGCCGCTCCGACGTCCACTGCTCGAGCTCGTCGCGGATCCGAAGCACTTCAAAGTTCTTTGGCAGGCCGTCGCGGCCCACCAGCGTCTCGCGCCGACAGCTAGGACACGTGATGATGTTGGTGCCCGAGTGGCCATGGCTCGCGGTCGTGGCCCACCCGCCAAGGCACGACTACCCGGTAGTACATCAAGCCGAGGTCATCTCGGAGCGTATCTTGCTGCGTACCTGGCAGAACGTGTGGCCGCAGCTCAGGAGGCGGGGCGTATGGGTCTCGGTGTTGTCGTACGGTAGGTTGCAGATCTCGCACTCGAGGCTGCTGTACAGCATCTCCTTCCACTCGTCGTCGCTCGTCGGCGTCGCCATGCTCGGTCGCGTTTCACGAAGAACAAGCCAAACTCATAAAATAGTGTGGCACGGAACTTGGTGTTTGTATGAGAACGGGCGGCTGCCGTTTTCACGCCTCGGTATACATTAATCCCGTGTCAATAAAACGTCCATTATTGTATGATCGCCGCCGGCCGAACTCCGGGATTCGAATCCCGGACCGGCCATGGGAAATTTCAATGGACTTCCAAAACGCGAAAAGCATGGCCGACAAGAAGAAGACCGACCTCCTCCGGGCCAACTCGGACTTCAAGCAGCTCGGTACGACCATGAAGCGAAGGAAGCGCAGACGATCATGCGTCTCTCAATGGTGTAGAGAAGATGCTGGATGCTAAGGACGCCAAGCGCGACGCCAAGAAGTCGCCGCCAATGCCGCAGTTGAAGCCCGACCTCGCGGTGCGCCGCCAACGACATGCGCTTCATCGCTCATTGACATGGCGTGTATAGGCGGGTATGGAGAAGCTGTCGCTGACGCCGGAAGAAGGTAGCGTGCCATTTTGCATCGATACAACGATCTCATGCCGGATGCAGACAAGGCGCTTCAGAAGCTAAAGAAGAAGGAAGCCATGGGTGCGCAGACCTTTGAGAAGAAGCCCAAGCTCTCCAAGGAAGAGCGTCGTCTTCTTCAGGAACAGCAGCGTGCTGCCAAGGCCGGTGGCCCGGCCAAATCGGCTGGCAAGCCGTCGACAGCGCCGACGCCGCCCACGGCGCGCATGCAGGTACAACCAACCGTCCCTACCGATTCCATATCTAGTCTCACACATCGAATGCATGTAGTACGACGACCCGAAGAAGGTCGCTCGGTACTCGAAGGGCTCGGTCATCCAGCGCACGCAGGCCCAGAAGCAGGTAGCTCCACACGAACGATCGTCCAGTTGGCTCATGGCCGCGCGACAGGTGACGCTCTTCTCGCATCTGCCCCAGTACGAACGCGAGAGCTCGCTGTCGCTCAACGTCGGTTTTTCCAAGACGGAGATCCACCCGGCAATCCTCTCGCTCGGGCTTAAGTACGCCGAAGGCAAGATCGCAGGCGGGAACGCGCGCTGCATTGCGATGCTCACGGCGTTCCAGGAGGTCATCAAGGACTACCACGCACCGCCCGACAAGGTGGCGTCCTCACCTAATTTGCATGGTTTCTCGTGCTCATGTTCAAACCAAGGGTCTACGCCGGGATCTCGACAAGTCGCTTCGGCCACTCATCCAGTTCCTCATCGACTGCCGCCCGCACAGCATCGGCATGGGCAACGCCATTCGCGTAGGCTGCGTGTCCGATGCGCCTCTTCTTATACTCTGTAGTACGTCCGCAACGTAATCGCGACCATTGACGTGACCAAGAACGACGAAGAGGCCAAGGAGCTCATCATTGACGAAATCGACCAGTTTATCCAGCACCGCATTCTGCTCGCGATGAAGGCGGTGACGAAGCTCTCGTGCTCCAAGATCGTCGACGGCGACGTGATCTTGACGTACGCGCGCTCGGAGGTGCTCGAGTCGCTCCTCAAGGAGGCCCACGACCTCAAGACCAAGTTCCGCGTCATCGTGGTCGACTCTCGCCCGCACTTTGAGGGCAAGAAGCTCCTCCGCGCCCTCGCGACCCACGGTCTTCCGTGCTCGTACATCCACATCAACGCGCTCTCGTACGTGATGAAGGTGCGTCATGCTTGATATTTTGATGTTTTGGGTGTTGAAACATTGTGTGTGTAGCAAGTCACCAAGGTGTTTTGGGCGCGTCGGCTTTTATGAGCAACGGTGCGGCGGTCGCGCGTGTCGGCACGGTGCGGATCCTCTTGGTCTAGTGCAATGGCACTATCGGCTGGCGATGCTAGGCGCTCTGTGCGATGACGGCGCACGAGTTTAACGTCCCGGTCCTCTTTTGCTGCGAGACATACAAGGTATAAAACGCGTGGCTTCGTGACGTCCAACGCATTTTACGTAGTTTTCGGACCGCGTGCAAATGGATTCGATCACGCACAACGAACTGCGCGACCCGGACGAGCTCATCTCGTCGTATGCGACCGAGACGAACGCCGACCGACTGAACCGACCCAAGTCGCAGCAGGCCGAGGACCACCCGCACGTGCTCGCTGATTGGCGCGACCTCCCGAACCTCAAGCTCTTGAACTTGATTTACGACTTGACGCCGATGGAGTACGTGACGACGGTCGTGACGGAGATTGGCATGATCCCGCCGACGTCGATCCCGGCCATCATCCGCGAGTACCGGAAAGAAACGAGCAACGACGACCAGATGCCGTAATCCGAACGTGTAAACTCGAATAACCATCGACCGAAAATTGCATCGACAACCCTTCTCTACGGACCTGAGTGGCGTCCTCTCGCCAGACCCAAGGCTGCATCGCAGCTGGCACCCATGTCCGAGACGCTCGAAAGCATGGAAATGGTGTGTTGGTCAGGCATACTTTCAAGCAAGGGGCCATACACCCTTGGCTATATACTGTATATTCAAGTGCCAAGCCGACCGCCACATAGGATTCTGGCCGCGTCCAAATGGGTCTTGGCCCACAACGTCGTCCGCGCATCTGCATATTCATATTGCACTGTGAACGAGGACGACCCTTGCATGGAACGTCAAGAAGATGTGATCAACGAAAATAGTGTACGGACGCAAGCGACTAGATTCAGCACCAGATCCTTTATCTGGTGCGCTTGCTGCTGTCAATGGAGTGGTCGTTGTCGTTGCTGTTGTCGTTGGCGCTTAGACACATCTGGGTGAGCTGTTTGCCGAGCCCGCCCGCTCCACACAGGTGCGCGGGGCCCCTCTGGGATTGGTTGAAATCATGTATTAGTAGCGATGCCATTGGTTGAAAAGCAGGTCGGTTTTGCCGGGAAAAGGCTGTGGGCAGCATTTACCGGATTTCGGCAATGGCGACGATGGAGCCGCCGGCCAAGAAGGCGCGCGTGCTCAAGACGCAGGCCAGCACGTGGCCGCGGAAGGAGATGGCGCCGGTCGTGGCCTCTCAGGCGGCCATTCGCTTCCAGTGGATCGACATCAGCATGTACGACGGCGAGCCGCTGGCCGAGAACCCGTTCTCGCGAACGCAGCCGATCCCGGGGCCGCGCACCGGAAGCACGTCCATCATTCGCCTTGCGGGCGTGACCGAGGAAGGCCACAGCGTCATGGCGCATATCCACGGCTTTGTGCCCTACTTTTACGCGTCGTGCCCGGACGGCCTCAAGGCGGCGGACTGCGGCCTCGTGCGCGAGGCGCTCGACGCCATCGCCAAGAAGAACCCGTCGGACGCGACCGCGATCCAGGGCGTCGAGATCGTCGAGGATATGATGTCGCTGTACGGGTATCAGTTTGAGAAGAAGGTGCGCCTCATCAAGATCTACTTGAGCCTTCCGCATCTGGTCCCGCGCGTGCGGTCGGCGCTCGAGTCGGGCGCCGTGCACATTCCCGGCGTTCCCTCGCGATCGTACCAGACGTACGAGTCGAACGTTCCGTACATTCTTCGGTTCATGATCGACAACAACGTGCAAGGCTGCAACTGGGTCGAGATGCCGGCGGGGACGTACCGCGTCCGGCCACCGCACAAGCACGTGTCCAACTGCCAGCTCGAGCTTGACGTCGTGTACATGAACATGGTGAGCCACCCGCCGACGGGGCAGTGGGGCAAGCTCGCGCCATTGCGCATCCTCAGCTTTGACATTGAGTGCATGGGCCGGACCGGCCACTTTCCCGACGCCGAGGAGGTATCAAATGTTTTGTACCATCTATGAGCGTATCAACACTCGCTGTGTAGGACCCGGTGATCCAAATCGCCAACGTCGTATGGGAGCAAGGCGCCGAGCACCCGCTTGTGCGCAACGTCTTTGTCCTCGGCACGTGCAAGCCGATCGTTGGCGCCCACGTCATTGAGTTTGAGACCGAGTCGGCGCTCCTCGAGGCGTGGGCCGCCTTTGTGCGGCAGGTGGACCCGGACATTCTCACGGGCTACAACATTGACAACTTCGACATCCCGTACCTCATGAACCGCGGGAAGGCGCTCAAGCTCAGCCCGCAGTACGCGTGCTGGGGCCGGCTCAAGAACATGTGCACTATTTTCTAGACACAACATGTCTCATGTGGAATCTAGTGCCAACATTATGGAGAAGAAGGCGTTCCAGTCCGCGGCGTACGGCAAGAGCGACAACTACCGCACGACGATGCACGGGCGCACGTCGTTCGACATGCTTCCGATCATCCGGCGCAACCAGCAGCTCTCGTCGTACTCGCTCAACTCGGTGTCGGCGATTTTCCTCGGCCAGCAAAAGGAGACGTGCCGCACGGTATCATCTCGGACCTCCAGCGCGGCTCGGACGACGACCGCCACCGGTTGGCCGTCTACTGTCTCAAAGACGCGATGCTGCCGCTGACGCTCCTCCAGAAACTCAGCTACCTCGTCAACTACGTCGAGATGGCGCGTGTCACGGGCGTCCCGCTGGACTTTCTCATCGATCGCGGCCAGCAAATCAAGGTCTACTCCATGTTGCTGCGCAAGTGCCGCGAAGCGTCCTTGGTCGTGCCCAACCTCCCGCGGTCCGGCGCGGGCGACGACGCGGGCTACGAGGGCGCGACCGTCATCGAGCCCATGAAGGCGTACTACACGATGCCGATTGCGACGCTGGATTTCGCGTCGCTCTACCCGAGTATCATGCAAGGCTACAACCTCTGCTACTCGACGCTCGTGGCGCCCGGCGACGTCGGCAACCTCCCACCGGATGCGTACGAGACGTCGCCGTCCGGTGACGTGTTTGTCAAGAGCGCCACCAAGAAGGGCATTCTGCCGCTCATTCTGGAAGAGCTTCTGAGTGCCCGCAAGCAAGCCAAGCGCGACATGGCGACGGCGCCCGACGCGATGACCAAGGCCGTCCAGAACGGCCGGCAGCTCGCGCTGAAAGTGAGCGCCAACTCGGTGTACGGCTTCACGGGCGCCAACGTTGGCCAGCTGCCGTGCATTCCGATCGCGTCGTCGGTCACGGCGTATGGTCGCCAGCTCCTCTTCAAGACGCGCGAAGAGGTCGAGCGCGTCTTCACGGTCGCCAACGGCTACAAGCACAACGCCCAGGTCGTCTATGGTGACACGGACTCGGTCATGGTCAAGTTTGGCGTCTCGACGGTCGAGGACGCCATGCCATTGGCCGAAGAAGCCGCGCGCATCGTGTCCGACATCTTCCCCAAGCCCATCAAACTCGAGTTCGAGAAGGTTTACTATCCATACTTGCTCATGAACAAGAAGCGGTACGCTGGCTTGCTCTGGACCAGAGCCGACAAGTTTGACAAGCTCGATACGAAAGGCCTCGAGACCGTCCGGCGCGACAACTGTCTCCTCGTGCGCCGCATGGTCGAGACGATTCTCAAAAAGATCTTGATCGAGCGCAACGTCGACGCCGCGATCACGTATACTAAGGGCATCATCTCGGACTTGCTCCAAAACAAGGTCGACGTGTCGCTCCTCGTCATCACGAAAGGCCTCAGCAAGACGACCGAGTCGGCGGACTACAAGGCCAAACAAGCGCACACAGAGCTCGCGGCGCGCATGAAGAAGCGTGACCCGGGGTCCGCGCCCGTGCTCGGCGAGCGCATTGCGTATGTCATTATCGACAAGGGCAAGAACACGCCGCTGTACGAAAAGGCCGAGGACCCGGTGTACGCGCTGACCAACAACGTGCCGATTGACTGCGACTACTACCTCACCAACCAGCTCCAGAACCCGATCGAGCGCCTCTTCGAGCCCATCATTGGACTTGCCAAGGTCAAGAGCGACCTCTTCGCTGGCGACCACACGCGCAAGCGGTCCAAGCCGGGTCTTGTGCAGAATTCCGGTGGGATGATGAACTTTGCCGTGAAAAAGGCCAAGTGCCTCGGCTGCAAGGCGCCGCTGAACGGCGACGGCGCGCTCTGCGCTGCGTGCCTTCAAGACGAAGCCACGGTGTACGCCAAGCAGCTCAACGTCGTCGTGACGGCCGAGGCGCAGTTTGCGCGGCTCTGGACGCAGTGCCAAAACTGCCAGGGCAGTTTGCACCAAGAAGTGCTCTGCAAGAGCCGCGACTGCCCCATCTTTTACAAGCGCATCAAGGTCCAGAAGGAGCTCGGCGAGGCGCAGCAGGCGCTCGAGCGCTTTCAGTACGAGTGGTAATCCATGTTGTATCATCATCTCATCACGGTGCATTTGCGACGTACAATCGTTCTTGGACGCGGTTCAAAATGGCGGTTTGGGAGCTCCGAAAGCTCGGGTCGGTCTCGTCCAGAATCAACGACCGAAGGTGCAGCCACGCGTCGTTGGCGAGACGAGGCGAGGCGTCGTCGTCATTGCTGCGCGTCGCGGGTTGTTTCCACAGACTCGGAAAGGCCGACGAGAAGAAAGCGTCTTCGATGATGCCAATGCACACCATCAGGACCACGTACGTGAAGAGCATGATGTACGAGTAGAGGTAGATCTACAGCACGCAACACTCGAGACTCCAACTAAAAACACATCGTATCTGCCACGCACCTGGCCCAAGAACGGCGTGGCAGCGAGCGAGTCGAACGTCAAGCGCACTTCGTCCCCATTCGCAATAGCAAAGAGAGTCGTCGCCGTCGTTGTGAGTCCCTGAAAGCGGGGTACCTACCGATATTTTCAACGGCCCGTCATTTTGGTGCAAGAGACGCGTACTTGGCTGCCAAACATGACGGTGCCAAAGAGCACGTAGCCGACAAAGAGCGGGCCGACGCCGATGAGGAACTCGAGCACGCGCGGCAGCCCCCGTCGCAGCGTGAGCCCGAGGATGTAGAAGCGGGCGTTCGCGTGCAGATACCGCAGCGACGAGACCCACGCGAGACCACACGCCGTCGCAAACGTCAGCGAGAGCTGCTCAAAGTAGGCCAAATGCCCTGCGTACTGCCACGCCTACATCGCGCATGACACAGGATACAAAGAAGAGGTCCGCGCACTTGGATCGAGACGGCGACAGTCGCAACATTCATGCAGAGCACGACAAGGCACCATGGCTCCGTAAAGTACAAGTGGCGACTACGTAGAATGAACTTGTAAGAGCCACAGGATGATGCGGTGCGTCGTCTTGGCTACCCGATGGTCTCGAGGCTCTGCGCGCCGGGCAGCGTCGCGACGAGGTGGCCCAGCTCGAGGAGCTAGCGAACCATTGGCGCAAGGCGGGCGAAGGTGGAGAGGTAGGTACCTGGTACAGCACGGCGAGCACGATAAACGCAACGTAGCGCGGAATCAAGTCTTTGGGGGTCGCGCGGAGCGTGAGGGTTGGGAGCAGCCGACGCACGCGCATCTGTCCGTGGAGCTGGCCCTGCGCCGAGAGGTCGTACGCAAACGAGATGTTCCAGTTGGTAAACTCAAAATCCGCATCCACGTCCTCTTCGCGGGACGGCGGGTGCACCTCGACGCGCATGGAGAGCTCCATCGACACGAGGGCGTCGAAAAACACCCGCGAGACGTCATGCGGCGTGTTGTAGCGCAGCCCGACGGGCCAAGACGACTCGTTGCCGCGCTGGAGGTCGTAGAATCGCTCGACCTGCGTCATTGCATGCTGCTGTCTAGTCGATGCACGAGGCGCGTCGTACCTCGTCCGTGCCCGTGGCCGACTCGACAACGCGCAGAGTCGGACAGGCCAGTGGGTCTTGCGCATCTACCGCCGCATGAGCTGCGCCGAGCGTACTGTACATGGAGGCGAACCATCGGCGCCGTCGCAAGCCGCGATGCGGAAGCGGCCAAGCGCGACCACCGGCAGCATAAAGTAGTTGTCGAGCACGCTGTGGACGTGCGCAATCGTATCGTCCATCGTGTAGAGCTCGTAGTCGTACGCGCGGCTCGGCGGCTGCGCGCTCACGAGCGTCCAGAGCTCGTCGGCGAGGCCGCGCGTGTAGGCCTGGAGGTGGTTGTCCACCTGGCTCGCATGCAGCGTGAGGCCGACGACGAGGAGCGCATGCACAGCGCAGCGCAAGATCCACGCCCCCATCTTCGCGATCGATTATGCGGATGTCATCCGGATAGAAGACGAAGCGTCCGTCCCATTTTCAGCGGTGGCGGCAACCGAGCAAGCTCACCTCGAGACATGGCACTCGACTCGTTCGTGTCGTCGCGAGCTCAAGAGCTCGAGATAGAGACGGGTGCAAATACTATACTGCTGTCCGTCTGTGTCTCGAAACTCAAAGCGACGTTATTGAGGTACACGTGATCTTTCTTCTTCATTTTACCGGACCCTTGCACTTGCACTACGTCACAAAGCCGTGTTCATCGTCGACGAGGAAGAGGAATCCCCTACCCACTGATGGACGCACAAGTGCCATGATCTCTGAAACCGACTCGCGCCAGCCGCCGGTACGAGCCCTACCCGCTGCGGCGAGCGCAACCGATGGCCGAGTATACAAACCACAAGTGTATTCACGGGCCGCGTTGTTACGTGATTGGGCTCCGTCAGCACCGACGGTTCCTATCGGTTGACGCTCTTTTCTGCTACACTCCCATCTTCTCATGCAGTGCGCCCCTCCAGAGTCGTGGTGACACGAACGAGCCGAGTGTGTAGCTGGTGTTGATGCGGCCGGGGGCGTCACCGAGATGATGATGACGTCCAGTCCTCGTGACGTGAATTGCAGCAGTAGCACGAGAGGAAGCGCGCATCGGACCACTTTTATGCACCGTGAAATGGAAAGATCCATGAGGAGATGCAGGTCGTTCCACAGATATTTTTGGCCGCGCTCGCCTCTGCGACCCCGTGCTGGCCAACGACGTCATAACAGCAAAACGAGTGTGGCCGTCACGCGATCATGGACCTCGCCTTCCTCCTCAACCCCGTTGACGACCGCTGCCGATGGAGTTCGCCCACGACGACGCACATGACGCACATAACGCCGACGACGCTGACGCCGAGCTGGCCACCCAAGCGCCGCATCGACAGTGCATGGAACGACCTCCTCTCCAAACGCTACAAGCCCTACGGCAGCCGCATTCTGCGCCAAGAAACGCGTTGCGCCAAACCGCTCGAGACGTCGTTCACACCCGAGAGCGTCGACTGGTGCACTACATTCCTCGACGTGGGGTTTGACGCCAACAGCATCTTCAACCAGATCTGCCCACTGCGCAAAGGCCGGTGGCGCCAAGAAGAGGAAGCCTACGCCATCGAGCTCGTCAAGATGGTCCACGCCAACCGACTCCCGCTCAAGTTTCGCCAGTCGCTGCGGACGTTCCTCGCCCAGAAACTCCACAGCGACGAGATGCGCGTGCTCAAGAAGGTCGGCACCTCGGATGCATTTGCATTTGCGCGGCAGCGCGGTCACGTGGACGAAGACGCCGTCGTGACGGGAACAGCGTACGAGAACGAGCGATCGATCGAGCCGCTCGAGACGCTGCGCCGGGCGTTCTTGCGGTCAGTGCAGCTCGACGCAATCGTGGCAGCACGCCAACACTTGGATGACTAGAAGACGTAATACTATTTGAGAACAGAAAGGAGTGGCGTTGAATGTCATCTATCGCCTAGTCTCACAGGCTCACATGGTTCTGTCGCTCTCCTGCTAGAAATAAGCCGAGTCGAATGCGGGCAATCCAAGCCTTCAGCGAAGGCGTGCTGTAGAACGTCTCTTGTGGGGACTGGATACGATCGCTCGCTGAATCGTTTCGCTCGAGCAACAACGCGGCTTTGGCTGTCGCCTTCGCAGCGATTCAAAGGTGTATCGTTTTTAAGTGCATCACGAAGGCCTCAAGCGAGCGACATACTTCACTACACCAGGACATGGTTTGTGTGGGCGGGCTCATTGCAGTGGCGTGAAGTAACGATAATCCATCGGTTCAGGAGAAAATGGACTGCCGCTGCGGGAAAAGGTTCGGGACATCTCCGTCGAAGTATTGGTACACGGTTAGGTAATGTATAAAAAACGCTAATTTCCTTAAAAGTCTCCCAGGGTTGGAGAATCCAGCAGCCCTTGTTTATCGTACTCGCGCATCGCAACCACGACTTCAATCTGCACCGACTTCAAAAACGCCCGGCGCAACGTCTCGAGCGGCTCGATCGATCGCTCGTTCTCGTACGCTGTTCCCGTCACGACAGCGTCTTGATCCACGTGGCCGCGCTGCCGCGCAAACGCAAATGCATCCGAGTTGCCGACCTTCTTGAGCACGCGCATCTCGTCGCTGTGGAGTTTCTGGGCGAGGAATGTCCGGAGCGACTGGCGAAACTTGAGCGGGAGTCGGTTGGCGTGGACCATCTTGACGAGCTCAATGGCGTAGGCTTCCTCTTCGTGGCGCCACCGGCCTTTGCGCAATGGACAGATCTGGTTGAAGATGCTGTTGGCGTCAAAACCCACGTCAAGGAACGCGGTACGAGCGTCGGTGTGGTGCTTGAAGAGGACATGGCAAGTCGGGTCTGCATTTCTGAGCTGCAAGTGACGAAAGTACGGGTGCCAGTGCGCGTTGTCCACTTGATGCGACCGGTTTATGGCACACAACCCAGCTTGATGTCGGTGTGTAGTACTGCGTCCTGGTGCCGTGCCGGTGGAGAGGTGATGCGTAGTCGTCACGCCATGGTCTGTGCGGGGTCGCTTGGGAAATATTGTGCTGAAATCTGCATCGCGACGTCGCTTGTACGTCTGGTCGGCGACGAAGTTGACGGTCGATGCTTGCCGTGGCTCGGGTTGGTGGAGGTCGCTGCTTCTACGATCGAGGTCCACGTGCCCGTCGCACGGGTTTAGCAGCAAGCGGAGATCCATCGGACAGCAAACTGCAACTGCGCTCCAAGCTGTGGGACCGACGCAACGCTTCGGTTGCTGTTTTTGTCATGTAACCGATTTTGGGGCGCACGGATTGGTTGGCATTTCGGTGGCGAGGGCTTCTTGGCCAATGAATGTGCGTAACCAGTTTTACGCCCTCGTCGTAAAGTTTCATTGGCCAAAAAAATGGAAAATTTCTTGGGCAGCAGGGCTGCCGTGGCGTTTCGAAGCCAAGTTCTATATTCCCTCGTTGACCACACAGCTTTCCATCACCGAGTGCCCAAGTGCATCGACGCCTGGTGTCCCTCCTGCGACGTGTCGAAGCCTACCTGTACCTGGCACGGTTTGCTCTCTGGCACATACCTTTTTGCATAGCATCCAAGAAAAGCAATCGTCGCTAAAAAAAGATGCGAACTCGATGGCACTCCTGAGATGCGGTTTGCCTATGGTTAGTAAAATCCAGAGAAGGAGTTGGTTAAGCCTTTTTTTCAGATCTCGTCGAGATGCTGTGCGTCGCCCACAGTGTGAGACGTAGTACGACAACAAAAGGTATGTAGCGTCGCATCATGTGAATCCGTTTCTCAATCGCATCATTCATTTGTTCGCTACAAATTGACGCAAGAAGGGCACTGCAACTGAGATCAGTCAATTTCTCGCCTAGGACTTGACGCAAGAGGGCTCTGCAGCCAATGGAAGAGATTGGATGTACCGTAACTGAAACCGAAAGCCAATCTAAATGCGAACCCTTCCCGGCCCTTGCCGAAACCGATCATGGAAAATCGTCGAGCCAGCAGCTATAACGACAAGCTGAGTTGTGCTCGCTTTGTACATGCTCACATGCTGTTGAGTCTTCGTCGATGGCACGTGTTAACTGGTGCATTGGAGAATTTTCCGTGCGTCGGTCTACGGTCTACGGCACCAAGCCGGCGGTATTTGACAAGTCGGTTCGCCAAGTCAAGTCGTTTACGCTCACTCTTGCAGCTCACTCGGATGACACTGACTCGCCCATTTCCGCGCATGCGTCTGGTTCTCAATGGAGCGCTAATATTGAACTGTCTCGCACGTCGCTCCCCCCGACGTCTTCAAGGCATTGACACCTCTCATGATCGCCTTGATCAAGAGACCTCATATTGTTGCTCTTCCTTCGTACGCTCGCTGCTGCACGGCTCTCGGTGCGGTACTCGGTCACCCTGACGACGATTGCTCTCATTGCTTCATGCAACGCAGATCCGATCTTCAACGTCACCTCGATGGTGGAGTAAGCAGTTTGAAGCAGGCTCACATTAAGAGAACCAAAACCAAGTATATTTGCAACTACGCCTGCGACTCAAGAGAGACCTATTTATCGTACTCGCGCATCGCAACCACGACTTCAATCTGCACCGACTTCAAAAACGCCCGGCGCAACGTCTCGAGCGGCTCGATCGATCGCTCGTTCTCGTACGCTGTTCCCGTCACGACAGCGTCTTCGTCCACGTGACCGCGCTGCCGCGCAAATGCAAACGCATCCGAATTGCTGACCTACTTGAGCACGCGCATCTCGTCGCTGTGGAGTTTCTGGGCGAGGAACGTCCGAAGCGACTGGCGAAACTTGAGCGGGAGTCGGTTGGCGTGGACCATCTTGACGAGCTCGATGGCGTAGGCTTCCTCTTCGTGGCGCCACCGGCCTTTGCGCAATGGACAGATCTGGTTGAAGATGCTGTTGGCGTCAAACCCCACGTCAAGGAACGCGGTGCGGACGTCGGAGTGGTGCTTGAAGAGGACATGACACGTCAGGTTCGTGCTGCTGGGCTGCATCTGGTGGTTGTACGGGTGGCAGTGCGCGTTGTTAACTTCATGAGATCGGTCGAGGCGATGCGATTCAGTGGCGGAGTGCGTTTGAAAAGTAGTGCTGTACATCATACAAGCCGAATTGACGTGCGGCTCGTGGGTCGCTGAAATGGTGTAGTCCACGCGAGGTCGCTTGTAAAATGTTGACGGGTGTTGTACGGGCGGACGGCGCTTCTTGGTCGGTGCTTCGTGAAACTCGACGCAACGAACGATGCTGCATGGGTCGAGATGCGAGGCGTCCATGTCTTTGTGGCCCAAACACGGGTTCAGGAGCAAGTGGAGGTCCATTGCGCAAGCGAGCAAATGCAAGTGGCCGCACCGATGCGAGATCGAACGGAGCGTTTCAGGCTGTTCGCCGTCCGATTGGACAAAATACACGTCGAATGGAAAGCTCTGGCCAATAAATGACCGCGACAGCTCATACCAGGTGTGTTTCATTGGCGGAAATGGGAAGATCCACTTCAAACACGGAGCGTTTCGAGATATGCGGGACAACCCGTGGCAGATTCTTTCACGTGCCACGCCGAGTGCGGGACGAATCAACGCATTAGGCGCTGCAGTTCATACGATCTCAACCACGACAGTCGTTGGACATGACTCGCCGTATCTGGTCGCTCTTCTGGTCGCTCGATTATCCTAGTTGCTGTGACCTCAAAGCGACACGGAGCTCCTCAGCGCGCCTCTTGTTCACCCTTTCGTGTTTCGGGGTTGTCGGTTACACTATCACGCGGCCAACGATCCACACCCTGCTGCGGCACAGACATGCACAGCTACGGCCAATCCCAAGCGGTTTCACCGTGCCCGTCGTGCAAGTCGACTGACGTGGTGCGCTTCTGACTGACACCGCGAGATTGGTAGTACCACGGCGGTACATATCCGATTTGTACGGCCTTGGTAATACTCAACCTCTTAAAATAGGCAGCACGTTTCTCGGGCAGAGCCATTTCATAGATTTTTGGGGCATGCAGGCGGGTCTTCTCGGTCCTGTGAGTGGCCAAATGCTTCAGGTCGCAAGTGCCCTAGCAATCGTGCGAGGCACTAGGTCATAAAAAGAAAAGAATTCGAGTTGTGAGTTTGGGTGCGAGAGGAGTCGCGCATCAAGAGAACAGCAGAAAAACGTGCGTTGAGGTTACACCCAATCTAAACCGGTTTCAGTTCTATCAATACCCACCACGTGATTCTATAACAGTGGCTTCCAACTTCAGTGGCCACGTCAGTGACCGTTTGAGATCATGGACATCAGTCGTCTCCTCAACCCGGTCCAAGCCGCCCAGTGGTGCGACAGTGCCACTAGCTACTACGCGTCACGTAAGTCCACTCATGCCGTGCAAGAGGTGCCCCAAGGCGTTCAATGGATGCGACCACATTTCACTCGCAAGCGCACTCACGTCTTGGACGACGCTGGGTCTCCTCCGCAACGACCACGGCTCAGCGCTCCACTTGCGCCCACGATGGGTCACACATCGCCCAGGGCTGGACGGATCTTTTCCTCGTCAAGCAATCGCGGGTGGCGCGCCGCCTTCTTCAACGTGGGTTTTGACGCCAACAACATCTTCAACCAGATCTGCCCACTGCGCAAAGGTCGGTGGCGCCACGAAGAGGAAGCCTACGCCATCGAGCTCGTCAAGATGGTCCACGCCAACCGACTCCCGCTCAAGTTTTGCCAGTCGCTCCGGACATTCCTCGCCCAGAAACTCCACAGCGACGAGATGCGCGTGCTCAAGAAGGTCGGCAACTCGGATGCATTTGCGTTTGCGCGGCAGCGTCGGGCCCATAGTATAGAGACAAGTGCGCTCCATGGCTACGAGAACGAACGGTCGATCGAGCCGCTCGAGACGCTGCGCCGGGCGTTTCTGAAATCGGTGCAGATTGAAGTCACCTTGGCCATGCCGGGCTCGACCTCAACGCCAATCGATGTCCTCTTTTAGCGTAGCACTATATGTCGCTACCGAGGAGCTACCTAAACTACCATCAAATAACAGCAGCGTAGTGTCGTTTGAGTGCAATGTCATCTCGTCCATACCTCTGACCACCGGTCGCTTCACCCGGCATGGCCCACTCCTCCATCCAAGAGACCACTGTCGGTACGGGCGCAGTCGCTTTCTTTGTAAAAATGCAACTAGAGTGTACATGCACAAGAGTTCGAGTATAGAAGCATGTGCAACACAACGTTAACGACGCTTATATCACTAAAATACTACCCGGACTGGCGCCTGTCACCAAGACCCACCAACGCGCTTCTACAACTACGGGGCAGTTGATGGAGGGAACAGCTGCATACAACGGTGCACTGTCAGGCCCGGTCCGTGTGGCATCGGGTGCATCTTAGGCGACCACGCTGTACCCGTCGTCGTACTCATCGGCGTACGGCTCGGGCTCCGAGGCAGCGTCCTGGGTCGCAAACTTGACCGAGAGGCACCGGTTGTGGAGCGTCTTGAGGACGTTGAAGAGGTCCGAGTACAGATCCTGGTTGGACCGGCAGTCGTTCTCGGATTCGAGAAAGCACTTTTCGTTGGCGAGGCGGCGGAGGAAGACGATGTGTCCATCTTGGACGGTCGGGTCGAACGCGCCGTTGATCTTGTTGTAGAAGCTCACGATCTCGTTCTCGGCCATGCAAATGTGCGTGCGCTGGTGCAACTCGTCCAGAAGCGGCTTGGACACTTCCTTGACGTCTTGGGGCGTCAGGTACTTGCTCGCGAGGCACTCGTTGATCTCGACCGTAAGGTCGTTCCACGTCGGCACCCAGTAGTTGGAGCTCAAGAGGTCCCAGTCGTCGCGCGAGACGCTCGGGAAGCAGCTCGACGCGTCACCGCCGTTGTTGGCGCGGCAGGCGTAAAAGGCGCAGAAGTACAGGACTCCGTTGCCTTCAAGAATCGGCTGCTTGGCGAGACCCCCGTTGTTGGCCGCAATCTCAGCGATCGTGCGGACACGGAGCGTCGCGTCGTTGCGGTTCGTGATAGTGTTTTGGCCATCGAGGAGCCCGAAGAGGGTGTCCGGGTTGGTCCACAGCAGCGGCGACAAGTCCTGGCCATGGTTGTTTTCCTCGGCCAGGTTGGTGTGGAACTTGCACTTCTTGACAAGGAACTCGACGCCAGTCGTGTCGACAGTCGCCGACGTCTTGCACTTTTTCAGTGCACTGAGGCTGTACGTAATGTCACCAGCATCGCGTCTGTACGGAAAGTAACCCAGTGGCGCGCTAAGCAAGCCCAGATCTTCGACGTTGTTGCAGTGGAAGCGGCCGTTGGTCTCGGACGTGTCCCAGCCTGTCGCCGCGTTGGACGTGCAGCGCGGCAGCTGGACGCGGTACGCGCTCCCGCCATACACCGAGTACGGCGCCGTCGGGTTGTAGTTGCCGGACCGGCGCCACAACGTCGGGTAGTTGGCGATCTTATCAGGCTGGCACGCAATGACGCTGCTGATGAACTGGTGGAGCTTCTTGAGGTACAGCACCGGTCCTTCGATGGGGTTGACAGACGCCGACGCCGCGTAGCGCTCGATGAAGAGAATGCGCACCGTGTTTTCCGTGAGGCACTGGACAGTCGCGAGCGTGATTGACGTGTACTGGCTCTGAAGGCATTTCTCCTCTTGGTACGCATCGCAGTAGTTTGCCTTGGGTGGAGCCTGCGTGTAGGGCGCCTTGTACCCCTTCGGCTTCTTGCCGTACCGGCTCTTGGGCTTGGGCTTGGGCTTGCCGTAGCCTTCTTTGTCCTCGGCGAGCACCGATCGGCTGCGACCGTAGCCGTAGCCGCGCGTCCCGTCGTGGTCCTCGGCCGTGCCGTACCCGTGGTAAAACGCATCGCTGCCCTTGGACTCGACCTTGCCAGAGCAGATACCGTCGGCCGCCGTCGTCATGGCATAGTACATGGAGAAGCACTGGTCCAAAAAGTAGTCGCGCAACGACCGACCGCCGCAGTTGGTCCACGGCGCGCCACTCAGGAAGCAGTGGAACGTGTCCAGCGCCGGCAAGCTGAGCGGCGGGTCGTCCTCGAGCGTGATCGTCGGATGCGGAGCATTGGCCTTGGGCGCGCGCGGCTCGTACCCGTCCGTGTACTCGACGTACTTCTTGTCGTCGGTCCGGTACGGCGAGTTCTTGTACATGGACGTTGGGTACCCGTCGTAGCCCGCCGGCTTCTTTGTCTTTCTATAGCCGCTGGGCTGGTCGTAGCCGCGCGGCTTGGGCGCGCCGTATCCGGTCTCCTCGCGATCGCCATAGCGCTTCGGCTTGGGAGCGCCGTAGCCCGCATCTTCATTTTCGTTGCCGTAGCCGCGCACGGGGGCACCGTATCCGGTTTCTTCTTCGCCGCCATACCCATTGTCGTGCTCGTAGTCACCGTTGTAGGCACCGTAGCCGTCGACTTCACCGTATCCGTGGTCGGCCTCGGCGTAGTCGTGGCTGTAGTCGTCGTCGCGTCCGTAGCCACGGCCTTGGGCCATCGCCGAGAAGGCGAGCGCACTGACCGTCAGTGCGACGACACGAGCAATCTTCATGTCGCTGTCGGAGGTCTTATTCGCGAATGGAGGATCGCTACGCTGGTCGACCGCGATCCTGGTCAGCGTCCGTTTCAAGATCCCGCAACGTTGTGGCGAACCTTTCGTGCAATAAATCCAAATGTCGTGGCCAATCACACCCGTGGATTCAATATTTTGTGGCCAATCCCAACGCGCTCTAAGATCGCAATGGACGTACGTGCCGGGGAGTACAGCGTACGTACGTCCCGTACATTCCCGTGCGTACGGCCATTTAGATATACGTTTTCAGAGTATCCGCGTGTCTGTGATAACATCCATTGTGAGAGGTCTGTGACCTCCCATACTAGATCTTGAAGTTGCAATGTTCGAAACTTTTTTTAAGCGTTGCAAATCGATACAAACAACAAGCTTCTTGGCCAACCACGTGAAAATAATATCGAGACGTTGCACGCGTAGCGCACTTAAACGGGTTGCTAGAACGCCGGGCTCGTTCATTCTGCAACACCTGATCGCAATGGCCGCGCCGGCCAAGGCGACGACGCCCCGCCTCCATGTGACGGACTCGGGCAAGATCCAAGACCAGTACTACCATGCACAGGCGAGCTCTCGGACGATGGGCCTCCTCATGCGCCGCTCCATGGACCACCGGCGGTCCAAGCAGTCCAAGCACAAGCGCGCCGAGGACCGCTTCACCGACGCCGAGATTGCATTCGCCGGCGAATTGACCAAGCAAGGCTCCTTTTGGCGCACGTGGCGGAAGCGCTACTTCATCTTGCGGCGTGACCGCCCCATGCTATGCTACTACTCGTCGTCCAAGGAGCTCACGAAGCTTGGTGAGATGACGTTGGATGCCGATACCATCATCGAACCTGTCGAGTCGTCGTCCTCGTCGTGCTTCTTCTCCATCAAGACCAAGCACCGCAAGCTCATTGTCAATGCGAGCGACGGCGGCGACGCTTACATGCGCGCGTGGATCGATGCGCTCAACGTCGCGGTTGAATCCTGTCGAACGACCGTGCCCTTTGCCTTCAAGAACGCGACGCCGATCTCCGACCACGACAGCGCCAGCGTCCGTGGACGCAAGTCCAGCGGCGCGCTCGACATTGTCCGGCCATCGCTGACGTCCTTGGCGTCGGATGCGCCGCCGCCCATCATGCCCTCCATCATCCACACGACCGATTTCGCGCCACCGTCGCCACGGCGCGCGTCCAGCAGCCGCGAAGCCTCACCCGACTACCGCTCGTCCGTACCGACATTCTCACCCGCCTTTTTCGCGCAACTGCCGCCTCGCCCGCAAGACGAGAGCTTGAGCATGCGACGTGCGCGAAGCCTCAACGAGCTGCTGAACCGGACGCGTGTCGCCCGCGCGTCTGACAGCGGTAGCAACGACAGCAACGCCAAGCCGGCGCCGACACTCATTGCGAGCAGCTGGACCGAGCGCAACCACAGCGCATCGTTTTTATCACGGACGGCCGCGACCGAGGCTGCCGACCACCGCGGCTTTGGCCTCCAGTGCCAGAGTCTGAGTCTGGTGCACATACGGCCGCCCGACGCGCTCCACTTTGCCATTTCGTTTGGCTCGATCGAGAAGGTGCCGCACAGCGTGCCGCTCCTCGTCGTGCTCAGCGTCCTCAACTGGGAGCCGGACGATGCGTCGTCGAAGAAGCAGGCCATGACCGAAGTCGCGCGCACCGAAGTCGAGCGCACGAACCACTTGCGTCCGTGCGGCGACCGCCTCGTGCGCGACTTCCAAGGGCTCGTCGCGCTGCCGCTGTTCCTGCTCGAGCCGCGCATTGTGCTGCAGCTCGACGTGTACATTGTCTCGAACGAAACGACCGAAGCGCTCAAGCACCACAAGCTGCTCGGGTACTTTACCATTGCGGCTACCGACCTCGTCGCCGACTCGGACGACGGGACGCCGCTGCTCATGGACCTGCGCCACGACGGCCGGAGCACGACGAACATTCTCGGGAGCCGGAATTTCCTCGTGCTCGAGCAGGTCGCGACACCGCCTCCGTATGCGCTCGCGCACGGGTTTACGTTTGCGACGCACCAGTTTCTGGCCGACACGGCCGAGACGTCGCCGCCCAACGAGCCGCCGCTCACCGACGAGCCGCGCGTCGGACCCCGGGCCGCGACCGACGTGCTTTTGTCGGAGGAGATGTCGGCGAGCTACTGCTCGCTCACGGTTGTCCGCGCCTATGTGCAGATGCTCCAGACGCGCAACGCGACCCGGATCGCCGAGACGCGCGATATTATCCGCAACATGGAAGCCCGCGACGTGCAGCGCTCAGTCATGACGTCACCGCACGCGAGTGACGCCGCCGTGGTCTTTGCGGACACGGACGACGACGTGGAGAAGAGCTACACGACCTACCTCGAGGTGCGCGCGCGCCTCATTGAGCTTAACAAGCTCCAGTCGACGTACGAAAGCATGGAGCGCCGGTACAGCGCGCTCGTGTCCATGGTCGACGACGGGGCCGAGCACGGCATCACGAGCTGCCTCAAGCGCAGCACGATGAAGAAGGATCCGAGCGTCGAGTTCATGCCGACGAACCTCGTGTGCCATTTGCTCCGCGCGTCGCTGCCGAACCACGACGAGATTGTGTGGTCGACGATCACGCACGGGTGCGCTGCGGCCCACTTGCTTGGCTTCAAGGACGGCGGTCTGCGGCGCCTGCTCCAGAACGGCCGGTCGCTCCAAGAAGACCAGATCGAGTACCGTCTGGACGTGGTGCTGTGTCAGCTCTTGTCGGTCATCGCGGCGGCCTTCTTGAGTTATGTGCAGCTCGCCGCCGACGACGTGCACGATGTCTCGGGCGCCCGCCTCCGCATGCTGCCGCGCGTCGGGTTCCTACTCGACATCGAGTCGCTCTTGAGCACCGCCGGCAACGAGAAGGGCATGCTCGAAGACATGGCCGAGGGCGTCAAGTACGTCAACCAGAATGCCGTGTATTTTCAGATTACGCCGGCGGCATCACCATCGGGGCACTGCATCTCGATGGCGACGGACGAAGGTGGCGCGATCGTGCTGCAGGTCGCCCTGCCATCCGTGCTCTTCGCCAAGCTGCCGCTGAGTTTTCATGCGCAGCCACGCATCCAGGTCCACGCGGTGCTCTTCACGCAGGGCATCAACGAGCGCCAATCGGTCGCCAACACGGTCGGCGACACGAGCGTCCAGGAAGACATCAACGTCGAGAGCATGGTGACGCTCGCCGCGTACGTCGAGCAGTACGTGACGCTTGGCGTCTCGCACGAGCCGTCGCTCTTGCCGCTGGCCGAGATCCAGTCGCAGCTCGCCCTCGTCGTGACGGCCGTCGAGTCGCAGAAGAAATCGCTGAAAAACGTCAACGTGCTCGTGGACTCGAGCTACCTCTGCCGCCTCGTGGGCGCGGGACGGACGACGTGCTGCAAGTCGGGGAAAGACCGAACGGCCATGTCGGTCACCCTCGAGCTCACGCGCTTATTGGTCGACGTGGTCGGCGTCAAGCAGGGCATGTGTCTCTGTCAAGCCATGCGCGAGCGCGGCGTCCGGCGGACCAACGTACTCGTCAATACCGGCAAGACCATGTACGCTTTCAACTCGCTTCAGCTCAAGTGCCTTCCGGCCTGCTACAAACCACCCGTCGCGACGGCGAACGCCAATGTCGCGTCCTAATCGTCTCGAAGGACATAATCGCCCTATTTAAACATGAGGAATTTTCTAGCCTGTACCAAGTGTTCGAACTGCGCAAGGCGCTTGCAGGTGTCGCCCACTGGGTGCAGCCAGCGCCGTCCTCCGCCGGCGGCAACAGAAAAGGACCTCGCGATGATTCTCAGGCTGGCTATGCTACAGAAAGTCCGCGACCAGCAGACCAAGCAAGACGGCTCCATCACGATGGAGCAATATGCGTAAGCGCAAAAGTGTCGGTGCAGCCGGGAATGACTATCGATCCGCTGTGCGAGTAAGCCGTTTGTAGTTTGTAGTTGCTTTTTAACACAAATTATTATTCAATGCTCTGTATCTTTGATTGACGACTGCGCGCGATACAGACCTCTACCGAGGACATGGCGTAGTGCGCTCCACTTGCCGATACCTTGTCGACATCCTTGCTCAGTTTGAGCTACTTCATTTTGAAACGTGATCTTGACGATCGAGCGCGGTGGAAGCGCCTGCGCAATTTACAAACTCCATCCATTGGCCAAAATAATTCTTGAATGACCAATCCAATCGCTCGAACGTGGCCATTTCGCAGTCCGAGGCATCGAGATGGCAGCGACCTCGACGGCACGCCGCGCTCAAGTTGTCTTGCAGAACGACCAGCTGGAAGCTCAACCTGCGCGCGTACGACCAGCTGGAAGCTCAACCTGCGCGCGTATAATATGTAGTGCTTGAATGCCGATTCCAGTGGTCGAGACGGCATTTATCGAGACCATCGGCCGTGGTGACACAAAGCGCCGCCGTGCGTTGCTTTTAGAACCTCCAAGACTCACCGCCGGAGAGTGCAGAGGAGCTTGTTACGGCCAGTGACCGCGCCCGCCTTGCTGCCGAGTTGCGCGAGCTCACGGACAAGCACGGCGGCGATCGCGTGCAGAACACACGGCCGTGCTCTACGAGTGCCAAGCCCAAGCGCGCGATGGACGACGAGTGGATCAAGCTAACTAGTAAATCGCAGTGTTTCGTGTCTAGCCTACCAGTGTGCCTTTGTGCACACGTCTACCCGCGTCACGGACATGTTTTCATTGGATGGCGTTTTTCGTTCCCTTGATACCTTGAAAGTCGGTGCGCGACCGCTAAAGATCCAACTCATCGCGTGTTCCGGGACGACCAGTGCCGTTGGCCAATGCACGTGGGACCATGATCGTGGGCAAGAGCTTGAGTGAAGGACCGCCCGAGGCGCCGCCCGTACGCCTCCTCCAACACACGCCTTCTCATCCTGTGGGTTGTAGGCGCCGTCGATGCCGCCGGTCGTCTCGCCCATCAAGAACCCGTCCAACGTACTTCTTCTTTAGGTTACCATCTCTCACACCCTCGTCTAGCACGTCTTCAAGAAGCGCCGCAAGGTGCAAGAGGTACCATACGTTTCTCTCTGCGCGCGCTTGGTTCCATTCTTGCATTCGACAGCGTCTCTTCTTACGCCCGCTCACGAGTGGGCTGGGGGCGGTGACACCGATCGGCGGGCCCGAAGACTCAACCGCCACCGACGAGGACGCGTACATCTCACGCGCCCTCAAAGCAGCGGCTCAGTGATATCGATAGGGTGCGCAAACCGTCCCGACGCGCCAGCGCAAAAGACTCGCTGGGCGCAAATAGCCCGACCAAGGCGTCCCGTGCCACGCTGCGCAAGCGACAGCTGCAGTGCAGCGTGTCCGAGCCGACGCTGCGCCCCATGTCGCGGGCGTCAACGCCGCATGCGTTCAACGACGCGGTGCACCCGCCGCCGGGCACGCATGTCGCCGCGCTCGCCGAGAGCTTGTCGTCGGCCTTTGTGCAGCACCACTTTTCATCGTCCGACGCCCAAGACACGGGTGGACATCCCTCTTTTCATTGCATATCGAAGCATACGTGGATCGTGTAGCGGCGGAAGGTCGGCCGCTCGTGCTGGACCCCGACATCCAAGCGTATTGTCAGCGCGGTACGCCCGTGTAAACGGCTCTATTCCCGAAGCGGACGACGATGGTAGGCCCCGTCGCGTCCGTGTGCCGGGACCTCGGGACGTTTTGGCTCACCAACATGCTGCGAACGTACGACATTCCTCGATCGTCACCGTACGCGCGACCTAGTGTGACGTGCCATGCGTCATCATTCTGTGCACTGCTAGCGTCGATTGCGCCGGCGTCGAAACGCAGCTGCAGACCGTCATTGCGCACGCCACGCAGCACTTTCAGTCGTCGGACGCCGCGTTCATCCAGCAACTCATGGATGCTGTGGCAGCCAACGTACTCGAGTACTGCTCGTCTTCGCAGGACTTTATGCACACGGTGGCGGGGCACTACCGCGAGCTCCTCACGCGACTTCCATTTCTTCTCGACGAGCGCGAACGCAAGCTCGAGGTTGCCGCCCGCACGATCGCGTCCCTCGAGGTTGACACTCTTAGTCCATTTTACTGGGCAAAAGAGTTGTACTAGAGCACAATCTGTGACCTGCGCGCTTTGCAGTCGAGCGCGCAAGACGAGACCGCGACAGCCAAGCACGAGTGCCAGCGCGCCGAGGCAGCTCACCGAGCGATCGAGGTGCGCCTCCAGGACATGGCGGTCGTCGTCGACGGCGCCGTCGCGGCGGAGTTAGCCCAAACCAAGGCACTGCGCGAGAGCCAACTTCAGTACGACGCACGCAGTCGCGTCCACCCGTGTCATGCGATGCGGTGTAGAGCGCAGGAGCAGCAGTACACGTATGAAATGCGCATCAACGAGCTGCAGATCGAGGCGCAGGACTTGACGTCCAGCGTCCAAGACCTCAATGCAGTCATCGAGTCCAAAGACGCTGCCCTTGCCATGTACGCTCACGTAAGAAAACATCCGTCAAGGTGCCGTGGTCCCACGGCCACGCTAGGTCCAGAACGACCGGGACACCGCGCGCGCCCATATTGCCGTACGACGACCCGATGGCAGCGAGTCCTACTGCCTGGCGTAGGAGCTCATGGAGCAGTTGACGACGCTTTCGGCCACGCACAAGGAGCTCGTTGTGCGTCATGAGGACACCATGCGCACCCAGCAAGTGCTTCTCTTCCGGCTCAGTGTGGCGGACGCCACGTCCGATGACCCGCCCATTGTACAACTGTTGTACTACGATGCGATGCTATCACAACGGGAATAGGGATCCAAGCCATCGCTTGAGAGCTCAAAAAGCAGCCAAAGCGTCTCCGACGTCGACGAGACATTGCATGCGCTGCGACTCAAGGTGACCGAGTACGAGCACCAAAGCGTCCTCGCCCACGCCGAGAGTGCTCGGAAAGAAAACCGCGTTCGCGAGCTCGAATTTCTCCTCGAAGACCGCCGGCAACAGCTGCAGGCGGCGGCGGCCGCGCGCTCCGAGCTGCAGCGGCAGCACAATGTGCTACTGGACCAACTGCAGGCGCTACCTGGACCGTACGAAGCAACAATTGAGCGATGCCGCGCCGACATGGCCTCGCTCCAAGCCGACAAGGCCGACCTTCTCGTCGACTATGGTCGGCTAATTGCAGAGCGCGACGCGGCCAAGGCCCAAGCCTCGCTGGACCGCGCCAAGGCCGCGCGCTATGAGGTCGGCCTGGGAAACATGATGCCTCGCGTACGTTTGTGCAGTGGTGCGCAGGTTGAAAACTGCGTTCTAGTTTCGCGCCCTTCAAACCGAGTACACGCGCAGTGTGCTGACGACGCGCGCCGAGCTCCAGGCCATGCAAACCCTTCTCTTCGCCACCAGTGTACGAACTGCATCCCGGTCGTTTCCGGCAACGAATACGCGAGTAGCTCGAGGTTGACAGCCGCGCGCGTGCGATGGCCGCCAACGAAGCGGCGCTGGAAGCCAGAATGCGCGCACTGATCAGCTCCGCGGTCGGGCGAGACCCTGCTGTCGTGTTTGTCTTGCAAATGCTTCACGTACGCCGAGCCTGCTGGGCATGGGATGCTCATACTTATCTAGACCAAGCTGCAAGCGCTCCGCACGTTGTTGACCGACTTGCGCAAGGAGGCGACGTCCACGATCCAGTCGCTCGTCTCGACGCACACCAAGTAGTGACCAACAGTGATCCACTGCGATCGCATCGTTTATCTCTGCGTAGAGAGCTCGTGGCCTTGCGGCAGCGCGTGAAAAAAGCCCAAGCCAGGTTGTATGCCAAGCCGCCCGTGCTCACCAAAAGCAAATCGCGGCCCATCGTCGAGACAGTGAACGGCGCGACCCAGACCGAGGCCGTAGAGCCACCCGAAACGACGTCAACCAATGACGTCTCGAGCGCCCTCGACGAGCTTCTGCGCCCTGTGGTCGCCTCGACCCAAGCCAAATTACAGCACGTGATGATGCGCGTTGAGAGACAAAAACAGCTCCTCCTTCAAGCCTACGAGCGCGAAGCCGACTTGCGCAACCAGCTGCGCGCGTGTGCACCGCCCGACAACGACAGTACTAGGGACGTGCACCAATCATCACCTCCGCTGCCGCTGAGCCCGGAGCCGTCCAAAGAGGCGCTCGATGCACATCCAAGCCAACTTGGGAGCTCCGCGCGCACCAAGTTGATGCGTGTGGCCTCCTCCTTGGTCGATCGACCTAGCGTCGACGCCCCGTACGCGTTGGATGTCTCGTCTTCTTGGCGCTCATGCTTTGTAGACTCTCACCAAGCACTACGTTGTCGCAGCCTTTCGCTCACCACGTAGCGAGTCTCTACGATATGCTGCACGCCAACCTCGATGCACTCGCCGAGACGTTGGCTGCAGAGCCGTACATTTACACGGACTCGACACATCGACAGTATGAGACGACGGCGAGTACGCGAATGGAGGACAGCAGCGACATGGCCGCAAACGAGCTCAAGGAGGCACGGGTGCGCGAACTCACACAGAAGGCGTATTTCTACACGTACCGCGCAATCTCGCCAACGGAGCAAGAGAAGAAGAACGCCTCCGATGCGGCGGTCGACACAGCGCCGGTCGGCGCGTTCGAGACCAGCTCTCGCACCTTGCACACGACCGCTGCACAAGATGCCGTCCACCTATTACCAGCTTTGGCCCAAGCAACAGCAACGTCTATGAATGCTCCAACAACTATGAAAGACACCTTGTGGTCAGATGACGACTCGGTCACGGCACAGCCGCCAAGTACCCCGACGACCGCAAGCGCCGTCGAGGGGCAACTCTCGGCGAATGGCAGCTTTGTGCATCTCGCCGACGACGTTCGAGCGCGTTTGAGCCCATCGACGCTCAGCGCATGCCAACGTGGGCTTGCGGACGATCGCCTGACCGTGCACGAGGCAGCGTCCGTGGTTTTGCTGGGCGACCCGGCGCGCGAGACGCTACAGCACTTGCACCCTCCGTCGGCGGTGACGCCAGAGACGCATGTGCACGACCTGACCCCATGGCAGCCAGCGACACGATTGCGCGACGCTGTGCCGACGCGGCTGCTGCAGTTTCTAGGGTGGGACTTGCACTTTGACGTCGGTAGCCTCGGGCGCAGTCTCCACGGCCGGCCGTGGCTGCTCAAGCATATGCGCAGCATCTACCACGACAAGTACATTGCCGAGTGCTTGGAACACACGACGCTCCACGTGGTGCTGCCATTGCCCGAGTTTCTCATGCGATGGGCCACGGTGCAGTACGGCGTCGAAGACCTCGTCGCCAAGGTACTAGCTGCTATCGAATGCATCCTATGTAGTGTGTCTGTAGCACTGCGAAGACATCTTGCGCGCAGTGAACGCCTATCAACACACGAGCATCGAAATCGCGCTCTTCGCTTCGTTCGTCTCAGAAGCGTTTGGCAAGTCGGACTTGTCGGTCTTTCTCCACGCCCGACAGCTGGTGCGCACCAGAAATCCACGCCAAGGTGTCGTCTCATCGTATGTCTAGATCATCGACAGCATTGGCGACTGGACCGCCGCCGAGAGTAGCGACGACAACACCCGGACGACGGCGGTGCACTTGCCTCTGTCAACGGCGCGCGAGATCCTCACGCAAGTGTTTGCTTGCATGTTGCCGCGACACCGAGAGCGCGCTATCAAGAGCTTGGAAAAGCATCTGCCCGTTCCGTCGCCGCCTCGGCACTCGACAACACCTCAACCGCCAGCGCATGACGTCATCACTGCAGTGTCCGCGACGTCGACCGTGCCGGCGTGGTGTGTCACTGCGCCCGAGTGCGTCGCGCCGCCGCTAGATGCCTTTCCAGCGGGACATGTGCTCAAGGCGCCAACGCCCCGCCTACACATCGATGTCCTGCCCCTCGAACCTTCTTGTAGGAGGAATGCACGTCCGGGTCTCACCACTACTCATGGTCTTTCTTTTAGCGCCCCAGGAACAAGCGGTCGACATCCAAGTATTCTTGCTGTACCTCGTGCTCGAGTTCCGCGCCGAGCGTCGGCGCTTTTACGCGCTCTTGCAACGACATGTCCTCGCAACCAAAGCCCGCGAGATGGAGAAAGATGCGTTTTTGCACGTGCTCTCGAGCTCCACGGGGTGGACCGACGCAGTGTGTTGCCTCGTGTTTGCCGAAGCTGCAGCCGAGTCGAGTCAATGCACGCGCACGAGGTACACGACGCAGGTTGAAGCATTGCGATGAGCCGCCTTTTGTTGCTAGTTATGGCGGCGTCGCAGTCGACGCGGAACACTTGATGACCGTCGCGCTGCGCTACTACGCCACGCTGTTTTCTCTCGCCCGGTTTCCTCCCACGTCGCCATTGACGTCGCAGGGCCTTGTCGCCCCCGCGCCCATGTACCGCGACCGAAGCAAGCGGCTGCACGCACTTGACTAATGTCGTGCAAAATCGTCATAACTTGCTGTGGAGCGAGCAGAGTTCGAGCACTACAGGCTTGTGCAGACATGATCTGGCGCATCAGCTGCAGGCGGCGAGAGACTTATGGGGCTATATCTGTAGCGTGGACTTCAAATGCAGGACGAACTGTAAACTGGGCGCCCACAGCCTGCGCACGACGAGCCGTCGAGGTCGCTGCAAAATCTCGATGGCTCGGATTTCGAAATGGCCACGGTCGAGCGATTGGATTGGCTATTCACGAAATATTTTGGCCAATGAATGGCGTTTGCAAATCGCGCAGGCGCTTCCACCGCGCTCGATCGTCAAGATCACGTTTCAAAATGAAGTCGCTCAAACTGAGCAAGGATGTCGACAAGGTATCGGCAAGTGGAGCGCACTACGCCATGTCCTCGGTAGAGGTCTGTACCGCGCGCAGTCGTCAATCCGAGATAAAGAGCATTGGATAATAATTCACACTTTTGTGTTAAAAAGCAATCGCAGACGGCTTACTCCCACAGCGGATCGATGGTCATTTTGAGCTGCTTCTCGCGCTCGCGGCTGCGCCGACACTTTTGGATCTACACCCATGTCCTTGGTCGTCGAGAAGACGAAGAGGTGGACGACGTGTACCGCTGAGAGTACATTATGGCGCTCCGTGTCGAGGGCGAATTGGAGCTCGGCGACTGCGCTTTGCAGTCGGCGGACCTCGGGGTGGTCGTGCACAGCTGCATGAAGCTGGTCCTGGAGCTCTCGGATGGTGGCTTCGTGGGCTTCTGCCGCTCGATGCTATCGAAAGGATGCATCGATGCTACAGGAAATTCAATCCATGCCACCTGCTCGAGCACGAGTTGGGCTGCGACTTGCTCTCCAAACTTGATGGTAGCGTCTTGCATCGTCTGCTGGTCGCGGACTTTCTGGAGCAAGTAGAGAATGATCGCGTCCTTCTCCGACTCGGCGAGGGCACCGAGTGCGGACGACGGCGCGGGTTGCACCTGCAGCCGCGCGAGCGCCTTGCGCGGGCTAAACACAGCCGTTGGGTGTCCTACGTCGACGTCGTGAGGCTTCTCCTGCATCGCAGCGTCGTCATCGCACGGGTAGCCATCTCGATGCGTGTGACCTTTGCAAAAATCGAACACGAAGCGGCAATCTTTTCACGGAAGTATCAAGGTATCAAAGAAGTGGGTGGTATAGAATTATAATATATTTCAATCACGACGGCAATATAACAGCGTCAGGCAAAATTTACTCGTCCGCATTCTCGTCGTCGTCGTTCTCGTCCTCGGCGACCTCTTCCTCGTTCTCGTCGTCCTCGGCGAGCTCCTCGTCGGCCACGTCGGCGGTCGCGTCGACGCCTTCGTTCTTGAGCGCTTCGATCTGGAACGCGTTGAGCTCGTCGAGCGAGACGTCTTTGCCTTCTTCGACAAACACCTTTTGCTCCTCGGCCTTGAGCGGCGGCGCAATGAACCACGGCAGCTTGCCGCGAATGAAATCGTTGATCATCTGGACCGCGACGTTGTTGTGGTCGGGCTCGCCCTTGGGAAGGAGCTTGCCGCACTTGGTCGCGAGCTGGTCGAGGAAATGCCACTCGTCCTTCCACTCGGTGATGCCGTAGACCTTGACGAGGTGCTCCTTCTTGACGCGGTTGAGGATCGCGGCCGTGAATTCCGTCGGCTGCGGCAGCTTCTCGGCGCGGACGACGCCCTTGAGGACCGTCTCGACTTCGTCGTCGTTGACGCCGTCGTAGACGACACCGGGGCAATCGATGAGGAAGATACGGCGCATGAGCGTAATGTACTGCCACACCTTGGTCTCACCCGGAATCGGCGCGACCTTGCAGACGCGCTTCTTGCGGAGCGCGTTGATGACCGAACTCTTGCCGACGTTCGGGTAGCCAATGATACCGACACTGATCTGCTTCTTCTCCGGGTGGAGCTTGGCAAACTGGCGGAGGAGGTTGATGAGCGCGCCCTTGCCGAACGGCGCGTTGAGGCTCGCGTGGAAGGCCAGCGTCGGCGTCGTCTTGGAGAGGATCTGGACCCACTTCTTCGTGACCCAGTTCGGGACAAGATCGCACTTGTTGATGACGTAGATAAGATGCTTGTGCGCGGCGTTCGTCTTGAGGTGCTTGTCAATGTGGTCCGAGCGCGTGCCCGGCACGTTGCGCGCATCGAGGACTTGGATGACGACGTCGGAACAGTCGAGCACCTTGTAGAGTTCGCCCCAAATGCGCTTACTCTGGCCCTTGTTGAAGACGTCGTGGGACTTCTTGTCCTTGAACTCGACCTCGACAGCGATGTTGCTATCGACGCCCTTGGTCTCATACGACTCGGCGCGCTCGCTGGCCTTGTTGACAAGGCTTTCGAGGTCCGAGACGGCGCCGAGCTTGGCGCGCTTGCGCGTCTTCTTGGAGCCAAACGTTTCTTCAAAGCTCTCAGTCTCGAGGAGCTTCATGCGCGTGACCTTGGCCGAGTCCTGGATGAGGCCCATGGGCAGCTTGCGCGTGCGGAGCACGACCGAGTACGGGTCGGCGGCCTTGACGCTCATTTCGTTGCGGAACTTGTCGAGCTCCTTCTGGCCCACGACGCGCGTGTTGCCAAACCAGCGGCGATCCGGCGCAATGCGCGACGGCGCGTCCGCGTTCTGCATCGTGATACCGCCCTGGCGCCCGGCCATCATGAGGCTACCGCCGACGATCTTGCCCTCGCGGTTGCGGATCGGGCCCGAGTTGCGGTACATGTTGAGGCGGTTGATGGTGCCCTTGTCGCGCATGTTGGCGGCCTTCTGGCGCTTGGGCACCTTACGGTTCGGGTTGTCGGCGCTCGCGCCCTTGGTGTTGATGCCCATGCGCTTCTTCGGGATCTTGGCCGGCGGCATGATGGTGCGACGTCCGGAGCAACTTGGCGATTGACCCTCTCGTGAAAATGACCCGGTCAACCTACTGCTTGTGGGCCAATCAACTGACCTTGGCCTTTTCGTAAGGCCATGGACTTTTTTTTGTTTTCAAACTTTCTCTTCTGCATTTGTATGTAGAGATAAACCAATTGTTTCTATTGCATCGTCGCCTAGAAATAAATTACAATGCTGGCTTTTTGACCAATCCCACGCACTCGTCAAGATGCACACGGATTGGTGCAAATGCAACGCAGGCAGCGCTTGGATTGGCCAGTGGAAAGATTTGGTTCTAAAAATAGATTCGAAAGGCCAACGTGCTTGGGCTGGTGTGTTCACGTCAAAGTATACGAGCGCCAAGCACGAGCGCCAGGCCCTTTTGCGCGAATTGGCTAGCCATCGCCATTGCCCTAGTCGTCCTGGTCCGCTGCACGCTACCGTCGAGATGGCTGCAGATACACGGCGGTGGCGAGAAAATGTGTCGGTTGGACTGTGACCTAGTACCTCGACGGTACTATACCAGCCTCGCTAAGCTTTCGGAATTCTTGCAGCAGCTGTGGAGAGACCCAATACCTGCGTCGAGGAGGCCGTATCAAGTGGATAGCAAGGAGCAAGCCACTTGAACCTTGCAGATCATCGTGAATGTCAATAATATGACTCGCAAGAGCGAAATAAAGTCTACCAAGCGCTCGCAACCAGCTCGCCGGTCACGGCACACTGTCCATCTCGGGCGTTCTGGATGGCGCTCGTCAAGCGCTTTAGAAACACTCGTTGAATTGTCAACCAGACGACGACCATGGCACGATTTATCGAAGAGCAATACAAGCTACTCCATCTGTGCGAATCATCTTGGGCTGCTTCTTCTTGGGCAATGATGCGCTAGGCAAAGCGGTCAGCTGCGCCCAAGCGCCGCTTCCATGTAAACGCCGCGTCTTGACAAGTGGCACTGAAACATTTTCAAGAGTCAGTCGCTTTTAATGCGACTGACTCTGGAAAAATGTTTAAACTTTTAACTTTACGCTCTGGTTTCTCGGCCCAAGATCTGGTCCCACGTTCCGAATGCGGCTTCTCAGAACGGGTGCATGAGCTGCACTGGATGCGTCACCAAGCTTCTTCTCGTGTGGGATGTTGAAGGTCGACGTCGTGCACGCACGCATCTTCAAGCTCCTTTCTTCCAGCCTTCAACAGCACTCGAATGGAATCATAATATACTTATACTGTTAGTGTACATCCAAGATCGACAACATTTACGGCGGCGTCTGCAAAAAGGGGTGGGCGAGGGCGGCTTTAGCTGTCAAGCGCTGGTCCGGGTTGCGTGCGAGGAGCTTCTGAACAAAGTCGACGCAGACAGGGGACACGTGGCGGAAGTAGCGCTCGGGAAACGTCGCATCTTCATTGACACACGAGCCGTACGGGTAGAATGGAGGGAACGCCACCAACGCTTCGTACGCCATGATACCGACAGCCCACATGTCGGACGCGGGCGCCGGCCGGCTCCGGCACAGCAGCTCCGGCGCCATGTAGCCAAAGCTGCCGGCGAGCTCGTGGCGCGCGGCGCGGGGAAAACGAAGGCCTTCCTCGAGGCGCACGGCGTTGCCAAAGTCGCAGAGCTTGGCGACCATCCCCGTCTTGGTGGACTCCACGAGCACGTTGAGTGGCTTCAAGTCGCCGTGCACAATATGGGCCGACGTGTGCAGATAGTGCAGCGCCGACACGATGTCTTTCAGCACCGGCGCCAGCGTCGCCTCGGTGAGCGCGTGCGCGGGCCCGCAGATCGGGCCAATGTGCCCGTGCATGAGGTCATGGAGCGTCCCGCCGCGCACCCAGTCGAGTGCCAAGACGTAGTGCGTCGGCGTCGAAAAGGCAGCGTGCAGGTTCACAATGTTGGCGTGGGCGAGTCCGTGCATGATGGCAATCTCTTCGAGCGCGCCGAGGTTCTCGGCCTCGGACTTGAGGCCCGACTTCTTGACGCATTTGATCGCGACCGCCTTGCCAGAGGCAACTTCATGGCCGCGGTACACGTTGGCGTACGTGCCACTGCCAAGGAGCGACTTGGTGTCGATCCAATAGCGCTGGTGAAAGGCCTTGTCAAAGAGACCGTGCTCAACCTGGGGCGTCACGACACTCTGCGACCGACGAAGACGCGGCTTGGCGAGGCCCTTGTGCGCCGGCAAGAGCGTTTCGACCTTTTGCTCGCAGTGCGGCACGGGGCAGCAGTCGTACGTGTCAATCCAACGAATGATGCACGAGCCGTGGAAGTAGTGACCGCAGCCCGCGACCATGCATGTCGCGCCGGGCAAGGCGCACACACCGCACTTGAACGGAAGGTGCCAGCCATGCGTTTCCTTGGCAATCGCCATGCTGGCCTGGAAGATCTTGCGGCCCATGTGGCCGTGGCCATGATGGAGCGGCGGCGGGAGCTTGTCGACGCAGCCAAGCTGCTGCGGGTGCGGGTGGTGATGGAACGTGGCCTTGGCGGGCAACTTGGGCGTCTCGTACTGGCGCAGGTCACGCTGCGGCGCCCACTGGCGCGCCTGCGAGAGCGGGTCGTGGGGACTCACTGGTGGCGATGTCTCCTTGGAGCCGCAGAGCTTCGAGTCCGACTGGACACGGTGGAGAGAACCTCGTCGCATCTTCTTCGGGACACTTGAAGTTTTTGGAAATGAGCGTTGGCAATGGCTGGTACGCTGGGTACCTTGCGTGGGCGATCGCACAGGCGTATCTTTGCGCAGGACTGTTGCATAAACAGGGCGTAACTGCAACACTGCACTTGCGGTTTGTATGATGTATTCATTTATAGAGGTGATCGCCAGCTTGCACTTCAGAAACTATGCCCTTTGGACGTACTTCAACCCCAATCGGTTCCTGCGATATATTATATGTCACAGGTCATCTAAATTCGGCAGCTGCCATTTTTTGAAGCACAGTAATTTACCTATTTTTGATAATAGTGTATGAAATGGCTCGCCACCGACCAAGAACGATCCCCCTCGTATACCGTCCATTCTATTGGACCACGTGGCCGCTTTTAATGTGGCACAACAAAAATAGTGTATATAGTCGTGCTTAAGATTCGGCATCTCACCAGCACCGCCTCGCACTGGGACATTCGCTGACCGATCGGTAGGGCCAATGTCGAGGCCGACGCACACTTGTCATGGCGCTGTTGGCGTCCAGACGCTTCGTCGCAGCATAGAAGGTTCCACGGTCGCACCACGTTGTTGTTGGCCGGGAATTATAATCGGCATCTAGGTGTTATCTGCCGATTCTAAAGACGCGTGTGCCACATTTAAAACCAGCTGGTGCTCCAAACCACTTCGATCGTAGGTGCACTTTGACACCCAGCAAAAGCTTGGTCAATTGGCAAGATGACTGAAGTCCGCAACGAAAACGAATTCTGCTTTGGCATCGATGAGGCGCGCGTGCTCACGGGCATGGACCTCTTCTCGACGGCCGACCTCTTCGCTGTCTTTGAGGCCAACCTCGACGAGAACAAGTGCTTGACGAGCGACGCGTTCAACACCAGCTTCCGCACGATCGTCAAGACCAAGTACGAGTCGGCGCCCGCCGAGGCCCAGCGCATCAAGGTCATCATCAACCGCCTCTTCGACGTCCTTGCGAGTGGGCCCGACACGGTCGAGTTCCGCCGCCTCGCCTGCGGCCTCTCGGTCTTCTCCAAGGACCCGCAAGAGGTCAAGGTCCACGCCGCCTTCCAGCTCTACGACACGAACGGCGACGGTGTCCTCTCGTTGGAGGAGATGATCGACTACTTTACGTGCGTCTTTGCCGTTGTGTTTGCCCTGGACCCGATGCGCCAAGCGGCCATGGGTGGCATTCCGTCGGTCGACCTCGCGCAGATCACGGCCAAGCAGGCGTTCGCCGACGCCGACAAGGACGGCAACGGCGAGATCTCGTTCGACGAGTTCAAGGAGTGGTTCAGCGCGTCGCCCACTGCGTAAGCGTCTCTTTGCTGTGTGCAACATCGAATGATACCGTTTTGAATGCTTGGGTTGCTGTTTCAACACATGCAAAGCTGTCTGCCAGAGGTCGCTGCGTCGAAGCTTTGGATCAAGCCCTAGTGCACTCTGTCGCAAAGTTTATCATGATCGACTTGTGCTGGTGCGATATAATCGTCCAAGAAGATGCCCAGGGCGGCCTCGTCGACGATAGTGCCTTCGAGTCGGCACGTACGCCTTCCAGTTGCCGCTCGACTTCATAGAGCTCAGTACACCATCTCCAGCGCAGCGCTCGTCGGCAAGGGCCACTGGACTAGCGCGGTCGCACCTGCCTCGGCCACGTCAGAATCGTATCCACTGCAAAAATAGAGCGCTCCAAAATAGCTTGCGATGGGCTGCACCTCGAGCACCGTCAAGCGAGAGCTCGCTGCGCTCAAGGAGGCCGAGAAGGCGCATGCAGACGAGCTCCTCAAGCTCCAGGACGAGCGGCGTATGCTACAGTACAAGGTCACGGTCCTTGAAGAAATGGTGGGCACCTTCTGACGACATCATCGAATCACGCTGACCGCGGCGTAGGTCGCGACGGCCCACATTGAAGCGCACGAGAAGAGCCAAGTAGCAGCCAAGTGCGAGGAGCGCATGAAAGCGATGAAGTGGGAAATGGTGCGTCAGTCGCTGCCACACTCACCGCGCCAGCCCGTGTCGTGGGAGCTAAAAGAGGGCAGCGTGCGGTCACCGACAAACCAAGAGACGCCCGACACACCCGACCCCGTCGGCCTCGAGACGAAGCCAAGCTTGATCCCAAAGCCCGAGACAAAGGCCGAGTCCAAGATCGACGCGACGGCAACATTCAAAAAGGCAGTGTCACGAACGTCGACACTGGAGAAGATCAAGAAGCCGACCACAAACGAGCCGTTGACACAACGGGAGACGAAGAAGCCGTCCCTCTCGCGCGGCTCGTCGGCGTCCGACATGTCATTGGATGGGCCTGCCTCGGGCATTCCAAAACCCAATAGCATCGCCAAGCGAAGCGACGACGAAGGCAAGGCCCTGCCCAAGGGCGAGTTGCGCAAACCGTCGTCCAACAAATCTATCGCATCGCTCAAATCCATGAGCTCGATCGGGAAGGGCTCGATGTGCGAGAGCAAGGCGCCGCGCAGCGAGAAGGAGCCCGAGAGCGAAGACGACGACTTCATCAAGGAAATTCATGACAACGACGACGTGGTTTCAGTTGGGTCCAGCACCAGAAGCCACCGGAAATGATTGGCCTCCATCGTCAAGTTCATGTATTCAACAATGAATGTGTCGACCCTCCCTCCGTCTGTATGGGTTCACGTGTAGAGTGGGCAGTGCTGGAGCTGGCCCCTAGGGCTTCACAGACACGTTGCCTGAGTCATAGCTGATTCAATGTACCGGTATGGTGTGCTCAAAGACTCCTCGTGTCGCACGCCTCAGAAATCCGAGGCCTTGACGCAGTTGACGCGCTGGGCGATATGGCGCTCGTCGCAACTTCTCGCACCGTCGACCTAATTCCTCACCTTCAACAGTTTTCTCGGGCAGCGCCGTTGCACTGGACACAACAAAAAAGTCTCTTTCATGAAGTTGACGTCATTCGGCCAGCGTTGAGCTACAGTAAACTACCGCTATGGCTGGAACTTAGACAATTGTAGGACGTTCCAGCACCGTCCATCGAAGTCATATAAGCTTCAAGATTATTGGTACAGTACTCACAGTCCATGTATGACACGCATCCTATGGCTGTCCTCACCGCCACATTGTTTTGGACACGCGGTAAAGCATTATAGAGGTCCGTCGCAGAGCTGTGTAAAAAGGTTCGCGGACGGCGGGACGGCGGTACATCTTGGCCATGATATCCAAGCTGTTTCTTTCGCCACTTGTCTCGTCCGACCCTTCAGGCCAGTCCCAACGAAAGTGATTTGTCATGGCCAATCACGCCTCGGCATTGCGATCTTCTTGTCCTCCCTCCAATCACGCCCGCGCAATTCATCTATTTTGACCAATCCTGTGGCCGGACTTTAGGGATACTCCATCACCTCGCCTGCCAACCTGTTGTTGAACTGAGTTATATTACATGCAATTATAAAGATATGGTGGACTTCCTAATGCGCTCGTGAGGCGTGGCCGGTGCGTCAGCGAGGAGCGTTAGTGGTCGTGATTCGAGATCGTGCGAGGGACCAGGTAGCGTGCACACCAGGGGTCGTCGCGGAGAGCGGCCAGCGACGCGTCAAGAGATGGCACCACAGCGCGACGAGCCAAGTGCCGGATGTGCAATCGTGCGATAGTGGCTGCCCGGATCGCTCGCCTGCCAACCTGTCATACACATGTGTAGCAGCAGCTGCGAAGCGCCTCGTCATCGGATCGCCCAGCTTCTATGGACATGACGCGCCGATTGGAATTCAGCCGTCGCCAGAACTCGTATTCTCGATGGCTGGCCACGAGCCTGTCCATATTTGCTGCCCATATTAGTATGTTGCCCCTTGTACTGTTCTCCATCGCATGTTATAGCTACTTATCTGAGAAACATATCACATTGCGCCGTGGCTGGACGTGGGAGCGGTACCAATCAATCGATCATTCGATTTCCTAGCTTCGAGAATCGTCGTGATGGAGAAATGGAGGAAGACACTGGAATCTAGTCCTCGGTGAGAGCTTTTGCGGCCAACCGAGCTGGTGGTTGCGGTCAGCGTCCCATCGATGCTGGCGCACGGAAAGCAGCCAGCATTACCGTGCCGCGAAACAGAGCCAGAAGGGAGGGACACTCTATCACTTCGGCTTCTTTACATAATCCAAGTGCTTTTATATTTTTGCAGCAACTATTCTACTCAATCCCTCTGCGGTCTCACCAAGCAGCAGCACCAAGGAGGACCATCGATGCGTCGAGCCTCTTCAACGCCTTCGCCGAAACTCTGCGCAAATTATTCGCGCCGGACGATTCACCTGCGAAACGCCGTCTTCGGACTTCGGCCTATCAACAGTGTGTGCTCAGAGGCGCGACGGCACGTCACACTTCGAACTTCGTTTTCAATAAAATGGTCGGTGGTCCCTGTTGGTCATTGTATGCGTGACGGCCGATATAAAAGGTGTGCAATATAATGGCAGCCAGTGTAACGTTGGGCGTGTCACAGGCAAAACCGACCAATCCACGCTGCCGATCCTTGTAACGGCCAATCACATTTCGGATAGCCAAGATTCGCCCAATCAGATGTGTGGTGCAAAGTCGCTGCTCCAGGCGATGGCATATTCCTATTTGCATCTTGACACGAAAATGGTCTGGAAGCGCAGCGAGAGCACGGCGACGGCGCCCATGTCGCCGAACGACGTCATCCGCACCGGTATCCTCTACAAGAAGGGCCAGGGTGCTCGCTGGTTTGGCCGCCGCAACTGGAAACCGCGCTTCTTCCAGCTCACCGCCACCAAGCTCGTGTACTTTACGTTTGAAGGCGGTGCGCAGCGTGGTGAGCTCGATTTGACCAAATGCAAGAAGGAGGACCTCCAGGTGATGCCCGCCGACTGCACCAAGACGGGCAAGTCGTCGTCGACGATTTGGCGTGTTGCGATCCAAGTGCCTGGCCGCCGCTTCATCTTTGCAGCCAACTCGGAGTACGAAATGAACCTCTGGGTCCACGACTTGCTCTCGGTCTTTCACTCGAACTCGCACCCGGGCGTGCCGGTTCGGCCATCGCTCATCAAAGAACAGCTCGCGTCCGTGTACAAGCCGCCTTCCACGAGCGTGAGCCACCTGCCGCGACAGAGCTTCAACGGGTACCGTCTCCGCGGCGTTCGGAAGGAGCCGCGCGGTTCGGACTTTGCGCTCGATGTCTATTGACGCGCGCGCCGTGTTGTCTAGCAGTAGTCTTATAGTAGTATCTCGTCCATTTTCTAATATTATCCCTCTTGATTGACGCCATCTCTTTTGATCGACGCCGTCGACTAGTACTCCGGGTCTTGTGCCTTGTAAAAACCTCCCACCGCAGTAATTCAAGCTACCATCGTTTATCGACCGGTGCAGCCTCAACTACCAGCGACCGGTGGAATGATCGCCAACGACACCTGCGCATGGCTCAGGCGCCAGTTATGTTCTCGTTGGTGCACGGCAAGCGTAGACCGAGGCGTCTACAGTGCTACATCAAATGCTGGCAGAGGATGCCAGACCTCGGTCCGCCCATGCCGCGGACTATGCCACGGTACAAACGTTATGTCAACCGAATACACCATTATACCCAACATGATCCCATGTGTGCCGAGACGACGACTGCATGTTTGTACGCAGTGGAACGATGCAATTCGCAATTCAATCGAACGGTTAGATAAGGCGCCAAGCGCTTAATACATAGTGGGTGGGGTGTGGAATCGAGGTCTCGTTCGGTGCGATTACAGAATCGCAATGTTGGCTTCCGATGGACGATGCCCGATCACCGGGATGCTCAGAGAAAGCCGGTCGTTCTCCTTGTCCTCGACGATCTTGCGCCGGGCCTTCATGACGACGACGGCAAAGACGACGCCAGCGATGAAGACGCAGCCCATAAGGCCGTAACCAACGTAGCTGGCCGTGCTGGCGCCAGATTCGGCCGAGTTCTTGATGCTCACGACGGGCCCCGACGATGGCGAGCCCGCAGGGACTGCAGCACCCGCCACCGGCGCGGCCGTCGGTTCTTGAGCGGCACCGGTAGGCGACGGAACCACGTCCGACGTCGTCGGAACGGTCGCCGTGGTCGACAGTGGCGTCTCAGTCGTCGGCTCCGAAGTGGTGGGGGCCATAGTAGCGGCTTCCGTCACCGGCGTAGACGTCGTCGCTGGCTGCGTCGTCGGTGCTTCAGTGGGAACCGGGGTCGGCGCAGGTGTAGGTGCTTGTGTCGGAGCATCAGTAGGCGCGGGAGTCGGCGCGGGCGTCGGAGCCGGCGTGGGAGCAGGCGTGGGAGCCGGTGTCGGTGCAGGCGTGGGGGCATGGAGCAGGCGTAGGGCTGGAGTCGGCGCGGGCGTCGGCGCAGGGGTCAGCGGAGCAGGCGAAGGTGACGGCTGAGGTGCAGGCGACGGCTGCGGCTGCGGCGCGGGCGGCACAGGATACGAGCCGCCGCCAAACTGCTGAGAGATTTGCGTGCACTTGTCCGCCTCCAAAGACACCTTCGTCGTGATCGTGTCACCAGAGTACGACGTCATCGTGATCTCTGTCTCGCTCAGGTCCACGCCCAGCGACTGCGACTTGAAGTAGTACGCGTCCGCAAACGACGGCGCGTCCTTGCCGTTGATGCTCATGCTCTTGACGCCGCTCTTCGAGTTGCCTGGCTGCACGTACAACCAGTACTTGGAGCTGCCGCTCTTGGCGCACACGTGGAGGCCACCGGCGACGGGGCAGTCGACAAAGTTCCACTTGATCTTTGGCCGGTCCGTCGTGAGACCCGTGATCTTGTTGAACATGGGCAGTGACATATCGAGGTCGCCGTACGCGCACTCGGGGCACCGATCCGTGATCTGACCGAGCACGACGTCGTTGCGCGTGCACTTGGGGTCGGTGCACTGGACCTGGACGCAGCGGCCGCAGTGGGCGCCGGTGCTCCACTGGAAGTTGTTGAGGGCGACGTGGAACTTCTTGGCAAAGTCGAGCGGCTGCATGAGCGCACAGTTGCCGGTCGTCGAGCTGTCGCCGCCGTCGGGCGGGCCATACGTCGTGCCTTCGCCCGCGTAATACTGGGCCGAGACGGAGGCCGTCATCATGATCGCCAGCGCTGCAAGGGGCTGCATCGTGCAAATGGCAAATGGAAAAGTGACCTCAATCGAACCTACACAAGCACGCGGGCGATCGGCGCTGGCGCCAGCGCGTTCGACGCCGCCACCTGGCAACGCCGAAGCCGCTGCGTACAGTATCTGGTTGGTGCTGGTGCGCTTTTACCGACTTGTTGAGGTCAACCCGACCATTTTAACGCGTTTTAACAGGACTTTTCAGCCAGAGATCCAGTGGCTGGTGGTACCGTCGAGAGGTCTTCCTTCGAACCAGTCTGAGACTTGAAGCGCGCAGGCGACTGCTGACCGCTGCGAGGTTGAGTGGTCTGTCACATCGTGTCCTTCCTGTGGACGCCGTGGCTGGCAAGCCGCGTGGAGGCGGCCGCGCCCGGTGTAGCTGCGTTTCAAAGTATCTGCGATGATCGCATTGCAACCTCGGCGCTCGCATCTACGGTATCTGCCGATCCTCTCAGTCTCTGGCAGTTTGTATGGAACAGTACAAGGCCGGGCTGCATGGCCACGTTGCACGGGCTGGGCTGGGTTTAACGCGCGTTAAAGCCGCTGAATCGTCGCACGGCGCCGCCCTTTCTCGTATCTGTCCCATGTGATCGGCCGGTCCGATCGAACGCGATGTAATGCAACGTTGAAGAGGTGGTCAGCGATATCATCTTGGGTGCAAGTTTCTTATCTAAATGAACGCAACTACAGCACGGCAATGTCGTCCGGGTGGCTGCCGCCCATGACGGGCACGCGGTGGCTCAACGACATGCGATCCATCTCCTTGTCGTCGTTGATCTTGCGGCGCGCCTTGGTGGCAACGACGGCAAAGACAGCGACAGCGACGAGACAGCAGCCGCCGAGCGCGTAGCCGACCACCGACCCGGTGTTGGGCCCGTTGTCCGACGCTTTGTTGTTGACGCTCACGACGGGAGCCGAGTCCGTGGTGGGCGCAGACGTCACCACCTCCTGCGAACTGATAGGCGAAGGACGGTGCACGGGAGCTGCCGAAGGGGATGTGATCGGCGTCGCATCCAACGACGACGAAGTGGGCGCATCGGTCGGCGTCGCAGTAGCCGTGGTTGTCGAAGAAATATCTGTCGGCACCGGCGTCGACTCCACCGTCGCAGACTCCGTAGGGGCATCGGTTGGCGCTCGGGTCGGGGCAAAGGTGCCAATTTCGGTCGGAGCGTAGGTTGGCGTTTGGGTCGGTGCGTCTGTTGGTGCAGGTGTGGGCGCGGGCGTCGGGGCCGGCGTCGGAGCTGGCGTCGGGGCTTGCGTCGGGGCTTGCGTCGGGGCTTGCGTAGGCCCTTGCGTCGGCGCGTCTGTCGGAG